GTTGTCCATTACAATTTCCACTGTCCGCAATGTTGATCACATTGCATCTCCAGTTTTTACCAGAAATCCGGACTCCATCGTTACTATCAAGATCGACGACGTCGAACGTGGACGGACCAAAGGATCAAGAAATGATAGGTGGAATGAAACATTTGAGATCAACGTTGAAAAAGGAAATGAGGTTGCACTTACCGTGTATGACAAGTCTGGCGACCAGCTGGTGCCTGTTGGCCTTGCTTGGCTGCCCCTGTCAGATATTGCAGAGGAAATTCGCAGAAAGAAGGTTACTAAGGAACGCGGGGGCGACTGGATGATCGGTTCTGCTTTGCAGCAAGGTCCCAGAAGCCAACTCAGTTCTTCGGCATCCAATACGACCATGGAAAGCAGAAGCGATTTACCAGGTCTTTCCTCTGCTTCTGCTAATGGATCCTCGACGGCATCAGCAAGCGATTCAGACACAGTGACCTCGACTTGCTGGTTTGAGTTGGAACCTACGGGTCAGATATTGATCACTATCGGTTTCACAAAGGCCAACGAACACCGCAAAGGAGAACGGTACGCTTTTGGAGGTGGCTTGGGACGTCATGGTGCCATTCGTCAAAGAAAAGAGGAAATTTACGAGCACCACGGCCACAAGTTCGTCCAAAAGCAATTCTACAACATCATGTGCTGTGCAGTTTGTGGCGATTTCCTCAGATACAGTGGATTCCAATGTGAAGATTGCAGATTTTTGTGCCATAAGAAGTGCTACAAGAACGTTATTAATAAGTGCATTTCCAGAACCAGCACAGATTCTGCGCCAGAAGAAACACAGCTCAATCACAGAATTCCTCATAGATTTGAGCAGGTCACAAACAGAGGCACGAAATGGTGTTGTCATTGTGGCTATATTCTTCCATGGGGTAGAAAGAATATTAGAAAGTGTTCTGAGTGTGGTATATTCTGCCATGCTACGTGCTCGCATCTGGTTCCAGACTTCTGTGGTATGTCAATTGAAAAGGCAAGCCAGATTCTGTCTGCTATCAAGTCAACACAGGAGAGCAAGACTACGAAGCCTAAACCTCCAGTTCCTACCCAATCCTCAGCTACTTTAGCCACAACAAGCAGCAAAGCTGCTTCTTCCTTTGGGTCAGATCAGACTAAGGTGGACAATATCTCAACAGCGCAGCATGAGTATCCTAGTACCGCTGTCACAAAGCAAGCGTATCAGAAGCAACAACTGCAAACTAGTCCAGGGCAATATGAGGGTCGCCGGCTTCCAGAAATTCCATTGCAGAATAAGCCTGTACCTCCAACCCCTCAGCAGGCTGGCTCGTATCCAGCTGCACTACCACAATCCAGACCAATCACACAACCAGCTGCACAGCTTGCCCCACAACAATCGGTCCCATCCGCCTCTCAAGAAGTTGCCAAACCTGTTGAAAAAAGATCTCCTGCTAAACAGAGCGGCCCAGCTTCTCACCGTTCCAAACAACGCCGTCATCGTCACAGATATGGTTTGGACGACTTCAATTTTGTGGCTGTTCTTGGTAAGGGTAACTTTGGTAAGGTGATGCTGGCTGAAAGCGTACACACACACAAGCTTTGTGCTATCAAGGTGTTGAAAAAGGACTTCATAATTCAGAACGATGAGGTGGAAAGCACAAAGTCGGAGAAAAGGGTGTTTATGATTGCCAACAAAGGGCAACATCCATTCCTCTTGAATCTACACCAGTGCTTCCAAACTGAGAATCGTATCTACTTTGTTATGGAGTACATCACGGGAGGAGATCTGATGTGGCACGTTCAACAGAAACGCTTCTCTCTGAGAAGAGCACAATTTTATGCGGCCGAAGTTCTTCTTGCGTTGAAGTTCTTACATGAAAACGGCGTTATTTATAGAGACCTCAAGTTGGACAATATCATGTTGAGTGAGTCCGGTCATATTAAGCTGGGTGACTACGGTTTGTGCAAGGAAAATATGTGGTATGGAAACAAAACGTCAACGTTCTGCGGAACACCTGAGCTAATGGCGCCTGAGATCTTGAAAGAACAAGGTTACGACAAGGCTGTTGACTGGTGGGCCTTTGGTGTTTTACTATACCAGATGTTGCTCACCAAGTCTCCATTCAAGGGTGAAGATGAGGACGAGGTGTTCAATGCTATATTGACTGACGAGCCTTTGTACCCTATCAACATGGCTAAGGAAGCTGTTGACATTTTGCAACGTTTGCTGACACGAGACCCTGCGCAGCGTCTTGGTTCTGGAGAGGCGGACGCGCTTGAAATCATGGCCCACCCATATTTCGCAAACATCAATTTCGACGATGTTCTAAATCTGAGAGTGACTCCACCTTATATCCCCGAAATTCGCGACCCGCGTAAACCAGAATGCTTCGATGAGGAATTCACCTCACAGGCAGCAAAACTTACTCCTGTCAACAGTGTTTTATCACCTTCCATGCAAGAAATGTTCAGAGGCTTTACTTACGTCAACGAGGAGAATGCCATTTAAATTCGCGAATTTTACAAAAAAATTTAACACTGCTCAGGTATATCGCGGCACGCAATTCAGTTGACCGATGGTAATAGTGAATACAATTCAAGAGCTATGTAGCTTGGAGCTTGCCAGCTTGGTGAAAAGCACTTTCCAGAAAGCTTTGCAGAATGGACAATTGGTTTTTTCGCCTAGCAAACACGAGCATTACACTGATCCTCAAACAGGTATGGAGTGCGAGTTGATGGTGGTCGAGGGACTTCGCAAACGCCCTATAAATAGACCCACGCAGCCTGGATCTGACGAGAAGATTTCTAGCGACAAGATCGAGCAAGTGAAGGCTAAAAATCCATTTATGAAACCGGAGCCAGAATTGACGCTGATTGATACATTGTTGCATGACTACCGGCTCATTTTGAACAAGTTCCCCAACACGGAAGAGCACTTTTTGATGGTTACGAAAGAGTTCGTCCAGCAGGACACTCTACTGCAGCCTGTGGAATTGGATCTGATGCTCACCATTTTGAGGAAGCTGAACAACTCGGATGACAAGTTTTTTGCATTCTTCAACTCGGGACCTGAGTCAGGTTACTCACAGTTCCATAAACACATTCAATTCATGAAACTGCCGCCTGGTTTCCATGTCTATCAAAATTCGCTAGTCGAAAACAGCGATTTTTACATTCCCACAGAGACGTCGGAGTCCAAGAAGCCGCTTGTGAACAAGAACTTGACGTTCAAACACTTCGTGCTCAAACTGCCAAAAACCTTTGCATCTGAGGAGGAGCAACAGTCGACACTTGCTCTAATGTACATGTATTTATTCAAGCGCGTTCTGAACGTTTTCAGAGAATATGAGGTGGATTCAAGCAAGTTGAGCTATAACTTTCTAATGATGGATAACTGGATGATGATCGTACCTAGACGCAAAGCTTTTTTTGACGGCATTTGGCAAAATAGTCTTGGATTTATGGGTCTTTTCACCACCAAGGACGAAACGATTAAGTCCAAAATTCTTCATCACGGCGCTGGGACTATCCTACGCGAGTGCGGATTCGAATTGGATCCTACTGATGACAACCATAAATATGATGAATACGGTTACTAGAGAATTACCAACTAATGCTATCAACATGTAACATATATTTCTGTTTTATACAGTCAAGCCTTGGCGATGTTGTTGAGCTCTTCCTTTTCGAACTCCTCAGCTTCAGCCTCTAAAATGTATGGAAGCATGTATGGAATGTCCTCCTGTGGCTTCAAAGCCTTGGATGGGGGAAGAACTTTAGCGGACAAGACGAGCTGGTGAGCGGTGATAATTCTGTAATTTCTGGCGTAAGACTCGTCGGCTGGCAATCTGGAAATGACTTTTTGCATGAGTGGGGTCTCTTCAATCATCAAATCGTCGAGTCTGGATGTTAGCTAAGGACAATGTCTTAAAACTTACCTTAGTCCAATTTCTCTGTAGCCGGAAAGGTATGTAAAGGTCTTAGCAACTGGCAGCATGAACTGTCTCAACATTGGAGTCTTGAGAACATAGTCAGCGGCCTTTTTGATGCTGGTAACGGAAGCCATGATTGATTGTTGAGAAAGAAAATTATAAATTTTATTCTCGCGAAAGGTGATTGGCGAAAAAAAGATCCTTTACGTAAGCATTAACGGTATACGTAATACTGCTTAAATGGTTCCGGCGACGCGATGAACACACCACTAGCAGGCACATTGCTGCTCGTTTGTAGAAGGTCTCTGATTCAGGTCTACTGTGCGTCTTCTGCGTTGGCCCTGCTGGCTCAGCTTTTCCTCCAGTGGCAGTTTCAAGGCAATGTCTTTGAAGCAGTCTTTCACCTTCTCCCCCGTCTTAGCACTTACCTCTGCATACATGAGTCCCAGTTCATTGGCAAAGGCCTGTGCCTCGTCTTTACTGATTTTTCGCTCCTCCTCCAAATCAAGTTTATTTCCTACCAGGGCGATCACAATGCCTGAACTTGCTTGTTTCTGAAGCTCTTTGATCCAGTACTTAGCCTTGTCGAGCGACGATTCCTGTGTGATATCAAAAACAACCAGCGCTGCTTGTGCGTTTCTGTAATACATAGAGGCGAGTGATCTGTATCTTTCCTGGCCTGCAGTGTCCCATATCTCAAACTTGACGGTCGTATTAGCGTCAATCTGGATGGTTTGGGTGAGAAAGGCTGCGCCGATGGTAGACTCCCGCGAGTCTGTAAAAGAGTCTTTCACAAATCTGTGGACAATAGAGGATTTTCCCACCGCAGATTCGCCTAGAGCGTTAGCAAGATTGATGTTTTTTACATACCCAGCAAGACAAGCTTAAATTGCGCAAACCTCATGGCCGGCTGGCCGTGTTCCGTCGCTGTGTTGGAGGACATGTCAAGAATCTCGCGAAGATAAGGGAGATAAATATAGGAAAATTAACAAGTCGAAGCAAACACAGCCTTGATTTTTTTGAGGACGGCTTAGCCACAGACTGACTGTTCGAATGATGAAAGTAATTTATGGTTGTGTGTGCATGGGATGGTAAATTTGTCTATGTACACTCTACATCAGCTACTCGTCGATCTTCGCAAGAATCTCCTTGTCACTGAACAATAAATATTCCTCTCCATCAATCTTGACCGGGGATCCACCGAAGCTTGGCAATAACACCTTATCGCCTTTCTTCACGATGGTTGGTACAAGCTCACCCTTGTCGTTTTTGATGCCTGGTCCGTTTGCGACAACTGTACCGAATGCCAGCTTGTCCTGATTCTTCTCAGGTATGTATATACCTGATGCGGTCTTCGAGGCAGCCTTGGCTCTCTGGACGAGGACACGGTCGAACAATGGCTTGATTGAGTTGAGCTTGAGAAGATTAGACATGACAATAATTTCAGGCAACGCCAGTGCTGGCCAAATTATTCTTATATTTCTGGCTCGGAAATTTCGAGAAGCAGTCAGTCTCCGAATTGTCTCCGGCCTTCATGCCATACCGACTTTTTTCAGCATTTTTTCTCTTTTGCGTCTGCTATTGCCTTTTTTCGGCTTCACAATCACAGACGCGCGCGTCTCCACACTGTTCCACAGCTCGTCATGTATAGTGGGTGGCAGTTTGCGCCCGTACAGACACTGGTCGACAAGCCATGTTCCTAGGATGAATTCTTCCTTCGTCAGCGTGCCGTCGTCAAACTCCAGATCGTCGTGCTGATCGTCCTGGTCTTGTTGGCGTGCAAAGTACTCTTTCTTGCGGTGTTCAATCAGAAGGTCCCAGATCCGCTCCAAAGTCTCGTCGCTCAGTCTCGACCTGCGCCAAAGTTCTCTCACAACTAGTCCATGGATCCGTTGACCGGCGTCTGCCACAATGCTTTCCTCTCTGTCATCCACGTAGGATCCCTTGTTGGCTGCCCAGACTCCTTCGTACCGTTTTTTCTCCTCCTCGGTCACGTAATTAGCATCATTGTGATGCTTCCATGGTTTTGTCTCGTTGAAACCCTTTTTCGTATGTTTCTCCTTCCGAAGCGTCGTCTTGAACTTCAAATGCTGGTCCTGCTCAGCAGGTATGGGGTAGGTCGATTGGCTCGAGTCGTGTCGTTGTAAGCCCAGCATACGCTGGAATTTTTTGCCATGCGCCCCTCTCACCAGTCCGTGGTGATGGTGAGGCAACCTGTACTCAGCGACGGGGGACACAGGATACTGGGGCAGCGCTTCGTCCCCACTGGCGGGCATATCGTCAATAGCAGGCTCTGCTGAGGCTGGCTCTTTTAAGAGAGAGGTGCTCTCATTCACTTCAACCGCTGGAGGTGGCTTTCTGGAGAGCGGGCGTTTCGTGTCAAATTTCTCGTTGTCTGAAGGGTTCTGATCATAATAATCGGCTATTGTAGCCGGTTCGGGTAGCTGATTAAGGGCATGTTTCGGGAAGTCGTAGCTGAGGTCCAAGTTGCTGTAGCCAGATGACGGTTCTTCGGGGGCGTCTTTATAAAGGTAATCCTCGTCCTCGGAGATCATGGGCAATGAGAGGGAAGAGTACGAGTTGGATGTGCTGATAGACCCGTCATGAGAGACCTTGGGCGGCGGCGATAGCAGCTTGATGTCATCTTTCAAAGAGGAACTCAAGCTATGCACTGACGACTTGGCAGAGCGGTTGGGCGAGGAATTGTAGTACGGACTTTTAGAAAGCGGATCGGTGTAAAAGTCTGGATGCGGCGGAATGGGGTCGTTGGCACTCGGTAGCTTGGCTGTGCCGAAATTGGGCGATTTTAGGTTGGAAATGGAATGTGACGAGAGACTCACAGGGAGAGGTCTAATGGATGGTGAAGACAGATTCTCGGGAGTAGTGGACAGTTTTGGCTGGCTCGTTGACACCATTAGCGATGGCTTTGACTTGGCGACGACAGAGGCAGCAGCGAGCGCTGCAGACGAGCTGTTGCTGTTCACCGAATCCCAAGTCGTGCGCGAGGCATGCTTACCAGGGGTTGATGGTCTTTTCACCCAGTCTGCAGAGGAGGGCACCGGATTCTGTTTTGATCGCACGGATGACACGCTGCTGGCCGAGCCATCGCTCTTGCGAGGATGCGAGTTTTTAAGGATAGGCTGTGGGTTGGCCTTTTTGGCGCGGGCCAAAGACGCCGCATGCGGGACAATCTCGTTAGCCGAGGCTGTCTGGCTAGACTGCTTCCTGACGGCAGCTTTTGCTGCCAGGGAGGAGTCCATGTTCATAGTGCAAGAGGGCTAGAGGAACAGAGTGTACTTAACAAGGGTCGCAACAGATTTTTAAAATGCTCGATTATGTAATTATTTATGGCAGATGACAGTGGCACCCACCATGGGCGCAAGTTAGACGCTAGTTCAGAGAGGATTCCTTCTAGCAATACAGCTGGAAAACAGAAACTGCTTCAGACACACACTATGCGAACGACCACGTTTCAAGTCCAATTCCGGACGATACGTCAACGGTGTCTTATCCACACAGCCAAGCAAAAATTTTTTTTCAAAAATGGTAATCCTTTTGATTAATGACGATTGGTAACTTTGCCACTGACAAAAAGGCGCTGCCGTTCTCTGAGCAGCACTACTTTTCCTCATATGACCACTTCGGCATCCACGAAGAGATGCTGAAGGATACTGTTCGCACACTGTCGTACAGAAACGCGATAATGAAGAACAGACACCTGTTTAAGGATAAGATTGTTTTGGATGTGGGATGCGGAACGGGGATTCTGTCGATGTTTGCTGCCAGAGCCGGGGCCAAGCACGTCATTGCCGTGGATATGTCGAACATCATTGAGATGGCGCAGCAGATCGTCGACATCAATGGGTTTTCGGACAAGATCACGCTCTTGAGAGGAAAATTGGAAGATGTCGAAATGCCTTACGATAAGGTGGATATCATCATTTCCGAGTGGATGGGTTACTTCCTGCTTTACGAGTCCATGTTGGATACGGTTTTGGTGGCCAGAGACAGATACCTGAAACCAGGCGGGCTGATTTTCCCTGATAAGGCCAACATCCAGGTTGCCCTGATTGAGGATGGCAGCTACAAAGACGAAAGAATCTTTTACTGGGAGGACGTTTATGGATTTGACTATTCGCCGTTTATCCCTCTTGTGATGACTCAGCCTCTCATTGAGACCGTCGAGAACAAGACTGTGGTGACCAACCATTTTAAACTGATTGAATTCGACCTCAACACCGTCACGATTGATGAGCTGGCTTTCCACAAACCATTCAAGCTGACGGCCACCAGAGATGATCTAGCACATGCTTTGGTTGCGTGGTTTGATATCGAGTTCCCTTATGACCAGCCACAGAACAAAGTTGTATTTTCGACGGGTCCGCACGTGAATTACACACACTGGCAGCAGACGATTTTTTATTTGGACCAGGTGCTGGACTTGAAAAAGGGCGAGACGATCGAGGGCTCGCTGGCCTCGAGACCCAACGAGCACAACAACAGAGAGCTGGACATTGAGCTGGAGTGGGACTTTAGAGCCTCGGGCGACCACGACTCGCGCCAGCAACGAGGCAAGTTCAATTACTTCTTGCGGTAACCTAATTAGATGCGTCTCCTGGGGTTGTGATTATGTCAGCCACATGGGGGTTCCAGGATAGAATTTAAAAGTATAGACAGCCCTAAATGGTATCGCCATTGCGAATTGGTACCACGTGGTCTGAATTAGTCTAGTACATTGGCTCCAATAAATAGAAAACAGGCGAGCGAGCTTAAGGTTGTGTTCTTTTTGTTTTCTTGCCGGATGTTTATTTTTGTTCTTCTCCTTGGCAGCATTGTGAGCTGCGCACCCATTGCGCAAATGCCGTTGGTTCGTCCAGCATTGACAACCGAACTGACCAAGGATGTGCTTGTCAAACAAGTCCATTCGCATAACGACTACTGGAGGGAATATCCGTGTCTCACTGCTCTGAGCCTTGGAGTCCAGTCGATCGAGGCTGACGTTTGGGTATTCCCCGAGCTCAACGACTCCACTATGTATGTGGGTCACAACCTTGCATCCTTGACGCGGGACAGAACGCTAGAAAGTCTGTATTTGAACCCTATTTCGGCGCTCCTGGACGCTTTCAACCCGGTCACCCGTGCGAACGAGAAAGCCGGCACTTTGAACGGAGTTTTCGACACAGACTCCGGCGCAACCTTGTACCTGTTTGTGGACATGAAGACGGATGGGCTCGCTACATGGTCATACGTTTACAATGCCCTGGAGCCACTAAGAAAGAAAAATTACTTAACCACCTACAACAGCACAAATGATACTTGGAAACAGGGCCCACTTACCGTAATCGGTACTGGTAAAACACCGTTTGAGAAGGTGCAGAGTCTGGCTGTCAGAGACGTCTTTTTCGACGGAGTTCTAGGCGGCCTCAATGATTCGTTTACAGCCGGTACATCACCGATCGCGTCAAGCTCACTCGAGACGTTGGTGGGCAAGGTGGACAGTATTGACGGCCTCAATGCCAGTCAGATCCAGCGGCTCAATGAGGCCATCAGCGACGCCCACGCCAAGGGCATCTACACGCGGATCTGGGACACTCCGTGGTGGCCTGTCGAGAAGCAGACGAACGTCTGGCGCCAGATTCTGCAGGCCGGCTCAGACTTCTTAAACGCAGACGACCTTGAGTATGCGATCCACTTTCAGTAGACGTTTTTGAGTATAGCTATCGATTATCAAGTCGGTGATTTTTTTGAGGCCCATTACATAAGCTCACATTAAATGTATTTGCTGTGCCACCAGGACAGTTCAGCTTGATTATCTTTTTGTGTTTTCTCAAATTAGCCAGACTTTGTCGATAATCCACAAAGGTACAGCTTCGTCAACAGTCTGACTTGTACACGCGTTCGGCTACTATAATACAGTCATTGGGGAACTCCGGAACGTGCGGATCAGAATCATGTTACAAGCTTTGGGATTAAGAGGTTCTGCTAAGATTCCAGAAGACCAGAAGGTCTCGCGGATTATAACGCAGGCTCTTCAATACGAGAATGCGCTGAAGGCCATGGACTATTTTCTGGACGATAGATCAAGCGAAGGACTCAGGCTTCTTGAGGACCACGACAAATCCGCCATCACCCAGCTGGCATACGCCGTGATTCAATTTATCGAGGCCACACTGGGGTTTGAAGCGGCCACTATGAAAAAGGCAAACGATGCGCTTGTCCTTGCGGAAAACATGTCTTGGAAAGAGAAGACGTTTGCTGAGAAGAACAAGATCCAGACCTCTGCTATATATCCGCCCGGCACCGAATGGGCCGTCACTTACGCGGAGGCAAATCTGCTGAGTGCGCTGCTGATGCTGCTGAGTGAGAGCATGGTCGATAGTGCAAAGGCCCTTTTGAAGCTCAGGCGCGCGTACCACACGTTGGACGAGATCAGCAAGAGTATGGAGCGGAACTCGGTCGAGAACGGGACGAGCAACTCGTCGATGAATAGCGGCTCATCGAGCACGAGCACCGCTTCGTCGCAGCGGTTTGCGGACGTTCCGGGCCTTTCGAGCGAGCAGAGTGTGAAGGACGAGGATGTTATCAAGCGACTCGAGAAACTGTACAAAGTCAGGAAAGCACGCATCGACGGCGAGCACATCGGCAACCCACCAGCATCGGAGTCGCTCAGACACAACTTGGGCTTCAAGGAGAGACAGAAGGGCGAAATAAGCGACACAATGGGTTACACGGTAGAATACGGCAATTCTGACGTACCGACAATCGACGAATTCATCCATTCGGGAGTCAACCTGTGTTTCGGGATTTTGCAGGTTGTTTTGTCTTTGATTCCACCTGCTATTGGAAGAGTTCTATCGGTGGTTGGCTTCAAAGGGTCCCGGGAGCATGGGCTGAAAATGGTCTGGAACGCAGCCAAGGAAAGAAACATTCACGGCGGACTTGGGCTTCTTGCGCTACTGGTGTTTTATGACGGGCCTTTCCAGTTTACGGATGTCGATTTCGATCTTCCGTCCACTATAGAACTGAAAAAGATGAGCTCGCAGTCAAGCCATACGCTTGTCACAACCGAGTCCGTTGGTCGGAAAGCAAAAGTGGAACGTAAGATGGAGCTGGAAAAGATGGCAAGTGTTGGGGACGGTGAGCCAACCTTGCTGCATCCGGGGCCAAAGCTGGTTTCGGTGCTGTTGCACGCCCGAGCTCTGTTCCCAAACGGCAATTTGTGGTTGCTCCAGGAGTCCCGAATGCTTGCCAGCCGTGGTCGGCTGGAGGAGGCTGTGGAGCTGATGGATACTGCGCATAAGTCGGAGATGAAGCAGGTGGATGCTCTTCTGGGCTACGACCGCGCCATGATACTGGCTTTCATGCACAAATTTGATCGTGCGGGCAGAGAATTTTTGGAGCTGGTCAACATCAATTCTTACTCACATTGTCTTTACGTCTACTTTGCTGGAGCGTGTTACTTGGAGTGCTACCGTATGTGCATCACTGGACTGAATATTGAGTCCGACGTCCCAGATAAGGTGGATCTCACAAAAAAAGATTATTATAAAGAACAGGCCGAGAAACATCTCAAGGCAGCTCCGTCGCTGATTGGCAAGAAGAAATTCCAATCCAAGATCCCTCCGTTCGAGAAGTTTATTGCTAGAAAATTGAAGCAGATTGAGAAGACACAGCAAGCCACCGGATTGCCGTTTTTGGATTGCATCGGCACGTCGCTGATCCATGAGCTGGTGTATTTCTGGAACGGCTACAATCGAATGACAGAAGAACAACTCAGACTCTCGATAGAGCTTCTCGGCTACTCGGCCGACGCAATCAAGGACAGGGACCTGGACCTCGAAAACCCAGTCACGCATGAGCCGTATAGCAAGATCAGCGAGGCGCGCGAAGAGGCCATGATCAGGCACACATTGCAGGCGATAACGTTGAGAAGACTGGGAAAAATCGAGGAAGGCAGCAAACTGCTGGACTCTGCGGTCATAAGCAACATGACGGAGAACGGTAAGGTTGGCGTGAACCAGAAACTGCTCAAGTTGACCGAGAACCCATGGCTCTATCCGACTGCATTATACGAAAAGGCGCTTTTTTGCTGGAAGCAGCAAGGATTTGATGGTCTCGAGGAGTCCAAGAACTGGCTCAAAAAGTCTCAGACATATGGGGGTGATGACTACGAGCTAAGCACCCGGGTGTCGATGAAAACGAAAGCCGCTCTCGATAGATTAGAAGACATTCGTATTTAAGGCTAGAAGTAAATAGGTAGTGCACTATGATAAAAATCCACGGTTCAAAAATGACCTACGGGGTTGATATTTTCTTGCCATATTTCATTATGTCTCAAATCAAGGTCTCTGACAAACTACCAACCGATATCAAGCTTTTCTATGTTCCATACTCTCCGGAGCACGAGAACATCTGCTCAATTGCCCTGCCAAAGGAGCTGGATCTGGCCGAACTGGCTCCAGGCAAGACATTGGTGATTGTGGCTGCTCCGGGCGCATTCACTCCAACCTGTACCGAAAGACATATTCCAGCGTTTGTCCAGCACGCCGAGGAACTGAAGAAGAAGGGTGCCGACGAGATCATAGTCCTCACCACCAATGATCCATTCGTCCAGTCGGCTTGGGGTAAGGCCTTGGGCAACTCCAAGGGCGTTGTCAAGTTTGCTACCGATCCATCTGGTGCATTCAGCAAGAAGCTTGGCCTTGCTGTTGATGGTGCCCCATTCGTCACCTACCGTACTGGAAGATACGCTCTGATTGCGAAGGACGGTGTGGTCACCTATGTTGGTGTCGAGACTGGCAAGGACGTTACTGTCAGCAGCTACGAAGCTGTTTTGGAGCATCTGTAGATGTCGGACATAATATTACATGGTGTAAGGTTGTGTATTTTTGCGCACTAACCTAAAAAATAACTAAACTCAAAACAACTAAGTAGTCGGCAAATCTGATGGACGCGAGTTTGGATGAGTTGGAGAGCTGTTTACGGCACATTGAACAGGAATGGCCTGAACTTATGTCCGACAGCTGTAATCCTCTTGAGGTTGTGATGCCGCTGCTTGACAGCTCGTCTCTAGGGATGGCCCACAAACAGCCTCAGTTCTTGGAACTCAAAGATACCTTCAACAAGATTCTCAAACACGCTGTCAACGAGCATTTTGAGGCCTTCAACGATAGCATTGGGTCTTACGGTATCACAGTGGAGACTATTCTTGAATCGCAGTCGAATCTGGAACGGGTTCGTTCTGAGCTAGCTACCGCGTCTTCTCTGATGAGTTCTCCCTCCGAGGTTCTCAAGGAGCTGAACCATCGTCAAAAACAAAGCGGAGACATCATTGACATACTTGAGAAGATCTCTGAAGTAAAAGAGAACCTGGATCAAATCGATAGTTACAATGCAGAGAAGAATTTTAAAAGCGCTCAAGAACTCATAAATACGACGTCGAAACTGGCAGAGCAATACGGCCTTTGGCAAATCGACGCACTTTCTGGACTAGAGCAGACTCTTACTTCACAATCGCAAACACTCTTTGACGCCCTTTTGGAGGAGATCAACGGACTGATCTATTTCAAGATCGACGGGTCTCGCCGTACGGTGTACGACGAGCACGTCAAAAGCCGTCTTATCAAAATGAGTACATCAGATATTGACGATGTTTCGCGAGCGATCAATGACCCATTGTACGAATTCATCCAAAGTCTGACCGAGAACACGGACGAAGGAGTGGCGCCTGGCAAGGATGTGCACACGTTCCAGCTAATTAGGGACTATTTGATGGTTACACATGACCTTGGAAGATTGGACGAGGCACTTGCAGTTTTGGCCGAGAGGGCATTAGACGAGATGAGACTAATGATCAATAGATCGTCGGAAGAAGTTCGAATCAAATATCCTGAGCAGATGGAGCTATCAAAGACCACCGACTTTGATATTTTCGATTTTTCGCTGTTCAACAATATGAGTGGAACAATCTTACAAGAGCTTTTTTCGCTCCTGTTCAAGAGGTGTCTGTCACTGCTACAGAGCCATCGTGCGATTTGGGAAATTTCAAAGATCAATGGTTTTTCTTACGACTTCCAGCAAGTCTGGAGCGCGTTGGAAAAACTGCTAAGTTCGGTCCTTGTGTCTTATTTGGTTGACGAAAGCCTGTTGGACAATGTGGAGAATGCATCAAAACTGGACGACTCTCTTCCCTATGCTAGGCTGCCGAGGGACTACATTGCCAACCGTTCACAGCCAATAATTCAGTTTGCTAAGCTCTCCCTGGATGACAAGCTATTTTCAACAGGAAACGTTCAAGGAGTTTTGAACGATCTATTTTCAGGACAGCTGGACGCAGTGAAGGAAGAGCAAGGGTCTTTCTTTATTGAGAACGAACACACCACGAAAAGAGATGTTCTAGTTGCGCCTAACATATTCAACATGAGTGTCATTATAGAGGACCTGCTTTTTTTCGTCGGCGGCGCCAGCCACGCCTTTCCTCAGGAAGATGGCAAGAAGGTGCTCCAGTTCTTCAATAAATTTATGGATGTCATTTTCATCACGCAGCTTGAGAATACACTAACTTACCAGTTTGAGCGCACTTTAGAAACCGGACTCTCATTCCAACGCTTTTTCAGTCATCTATTTCAGGTTTTCAGCACCTCAATGTACTATAGAAAACCCTATGTCCATGTTATTTTACGAATAATGTCAAAAATGGTGGCCAAATATCAATCGCTTTTCGACGAATGCGTACCTCATGATTTGACTGGAGCACGCTCGTCCTTGGTGTCGTACTGGCTGAATGATTCTCATCTGAGCAATATAACGCTGTCTATTTTGGCTGGGGAGCTGCAACTCATTCCGGAGGAGATTTCCGTGCAACTGAAAGACGGAGGTAAACTTTTCAAGTTGGCTGCTCTGCAACCAAATCCTCGGTATGAGGCTCTAGCAAAACTGCTGAAAAGTTTGGAAGCCACATTGGACTGGTTGCCTAAAGTGAAGCGCGAAGTTGAACCTGTCAGTGAGACAGTCTCCAGTATGACGGTATTGAAGGCGAATTGGCAATTCATGGACAGGGGATCCATCTCTACCGTTGAAAATACATCTCAAACGCTATTTCTTGCTCTCAGTGCAGACGCTATTACCAAGTTTGATGAGATTATTGCCAGCCTTCGAGCAATTACCTCTAGAATCAAGCTATTTATTAGATACACAGTTCAAAGCACAGCAGTTTGGCATGTAACGTCCATGCTGGACAAGACGAACTGGATGCCCGACTCAGAGACTGACGAGATCAGCGTTGATCTGAATACTTTGAACAAGAAAATGGCGTCTGTAAGCAACATCCTAGACTCCATCGTGGGCTCTGACCAGAAACAACGAATTCTGTGCGGCATACCTTCGTTCATTGACCATTTGATTGTTTCTGAGTCCAAGAGAATTATCAAGATGAACCAGTACGGCGTTCGTCAGCTGTTCTTGAACGTGAGGGTTGCACAATCGATGTTGAGGAATGTGATGGAAGATCCTGAGCTGGTGGACTTCAGGAAAACAAAAGCATATTTCGATATGTTCAGCAGCTCCCAACAAGGGATCTTGGACCGAATCCACCAAGACTCCACCAACATGTTCGATCTCGAGGATTACAAAAATCTCATCCGGTTGGTGTTCAGCGAAAGTCTGCACAAGAGCATGTCGAGCAGATCAACCGGCTCCTACAGTGCCAGCAAGCGATACGCTGACTGTATACACAAGCTTGAAGCGAAGTTTAATCAGTCATAATTAGATGCTATATGTGGTCGTGCTCAGATATGTTTTTTTTAGCAGCGTGGGTATCTAGCCTGCGTCTTTTCTGACAGTCTTCCAAAACCATGGACTCGTCAGACTCGCTGTGTTCTGCGTCTTCCGAGTCCTCGTCGTTGGAATCATTCACAGCCTTTTTGAAGTTTTCTTTGAGTTTATTCAGCCTGTTTGTCAGTTGCTGTGATGAACTGTGGTGGCTTATATGTTTGACATTACAGTGCTGGATGGAAAGGGGTAGTTTAGAGGGAGGAAAATGAGGCGACGGCGTATCTGAGGAGAAATGGAATTTGTAGTCTGCAGGAATCTCTCCCGTGGTGGAAATCTCATCCTTGGCAGGTTCCTGTTGCTCTTGCGGTTTGTGCGGTTTGTCTTTCTTTCCTGTGAGTTCTGTCTTTTTGGTCATTAAGGCTTTTTTTAGTTGATCCAGAGTCGCGATCGACTGATCGTTGTCAATTAGATTGAGTATGTCGTCTAAACAGCTGAGATATCCCTTAGCCTTCAACAAGGAGTTCTTGGCGTTGGACAACCGGTAGAGCGCTGCAATGGACCGTGCTCCAAGCTTGAACTCGTTCGAGAGCTCGCGATTAATCTGCTCAACCGAATCATCATCTATCGGCTGAGACAGCGGTAAATTAGAAGACAAATTAGAAAGATCCATCTGTACAAGATAACGCTTTAGCAGAGGAGAAAAATTGTGCCGCAACTTGTGTGGTCTAATATTGTGGTGTACGGATGTCCCCAAGAGTTACTAGAATCACACAGGAAGCACACGAAAAAAAAATCAACCTGGAAATTTTTTGCACAAAACTGTGTGGCACACGATTGACACCCTGGGTATAAATTGAAGAAGAGTCTCGTGTGAAGGGAACTTGGTCCGACGCAACGCGCAAAGCATTTTTTAATCTAGCAAGAATTATAAGTCTAGGCCACGTACGACTCAACCATTGCAAGGAAATCACGAATCTGCACGCGTTATGATGTACCCATCAATGCTGTCTCATTACACAATAAACTATGCTGACCATTCACAGAAGTCCAGTCCCCAGGCTAGCTTTCGATCATACAGCGCATCTTCGACTCCAACGCGTCCAAAGAGAAGAAATTCGGACTATGAGGACAATTTCAAAAAGGTCAAACAGAGCCCGACTACTCCTTCGAACAAGATCCCAACTGAAAAATTAACGTTGGAAAATATCAACCTCAACGAATATCCTAAATTCCACCACCCGGATGGGGGCTTTATCCAGTTCACCCCAATAGGAAACGTAAGGACCTGGATGGGTGACGACAACATCGTACGCAAAACAATAGAGAAAAATTCATCTTTCGATTTAAACAAGCTTAATCAAGGAATAGATGGGTATACCCTGTACCTTGGAGACAACAGAGATTCAGGTATACAAATAGACAGTTCTCCGTCGAACGAGGTCGAAAATTATATGCGAGTTGGTTATAGTGGAACTGGCCCTTCTGGCAGTAGTACAACTGAGAATACCGGGTACTACGATGATGGAGGGTCTTCAGCCAGCCGACTGCAATACTTCTTTGACGACGACGACGAGTTTGACAGCGACGAGAACATGGAATAAAGTCTTACTCCAGCGACCCGACGACATTACATAAGCGATTACCTTTCCAACCATTTTTTCAGATTCCATGCTAGGCGGCCCGCGCGCATACACCGATGCCCTGTTTCGGCAGAATGTATATTAGACAGCAGAGTGTGTAGTTTTCAACAGTGATTTATTATAATAGACCATCAGATGCGTACTACTGCAACGCAACTGACTCGACGAAGAACATCCGTAACTCTGTAGTGGTGATGAGCGGCATATGAACTGGGGATAAGGTGCATGTTTACAGGCGCGGGTGATCTCTTTTTGAGCCGCATGTTAAATATAGCATAAATCGCATGGCCCCGTAATGAAGGCCTTGTAGTATTTATTTTCTCCAAACAACTCTTCTGAAGACCCATGCAAATTCCGTCCATCAGACCACGCCGCCATTATATAGTACTTCTTCTTAGTCTGGTTCTGTGTGTGTTGCTGTATTCCGCAGCTACCCACACACCTAGGGTGGACGAAAATGCAAAAATACGAGAGATTCTGAATGACGCCAACCCAGCAGCGGAACTAGACCCTGACACGATTTTGCAGCGGCTACAGAATGGACCGCCTTCGGCAAGCGCGTCCCCATCTTCAGTGACCTCAACCGGCTCCTCAGGAGAGCATATTAAGAACAAGCTCAAAAATAAAAAGCCCAAAGTTACTCTTGAAGAATTTGAAGAAAGCCGGGCCCAGGTCATCAAAGCCATCTTCAAACTCATCGCCTCCGTGCGACCAGCAATCACCTACACAGAAAGACATTCCAATCGGGGCGACGACTCTCCACTATCCCACAGTGTACTCACTGAGGATCTGCTATCCCAGTTTTTGCAGTTTTCGCCGGAGTTTGTTGACGCATTCAAATCTAGCCATGCAGATGCAGTCGAGAAAATTTACGGCATCAAGTTTCCACAGGGACTGTATAAGGGAAACGGTGTGGTGATGATCGGTGGTGACGACTACTCGTGGCTCACCTTAGTGTCCATCAAAATCATGAGAGACTTTGGGGGGGATCTGCCCGTCGAGGTGATCATGCCCCGCCGAGTCGAGGCGGACGCTCTCTTTTGCGATAAGTACCTACCTGAGCTGGATGCCAAGTGTGTCTATTTGACTGACTTGTTAGGCGAAAACTATGAGTCTGAGATCAACATCAACAAATACCAGTACAAGGGAGTTGCATTACTGGCATCCTCGTTCGAAAATCTTTTGCTCCTGGACAGCGACAACTTGCCTGTTGCTCCGGTTACCGGCCAGCTATTCAACAGCACACCTTTCTCTGAGTATGGGATGGTGTTTTGGCCCGATTTTTGGAAAAGATCCACCAGTCCCGTGTTCTACGACATAGCTGCAACAGAGGTTTTGCCGATTCGTGTCAGAGACTGCCAAGTGGACTATCCTGAGTCTCAGTACTCAACCTTGCGTCCCAAAGATGCCAGAACGCAAATTCCTTACCACGACAGACTGGGCGCCATTCCTGACAAAAGTACCGAATCAGGCCAATTGCTTATATCGAAACGAGAACATGCCGATGTGGTACTACTCTCACTATACTATAATGCATATGGTCCTGATGGCTACTACGCCCTTCTTTCACAGGGAGTGGCAGGTGAAGGAGACAAAGACACGTTCCCGGCAGCTGCTACCGTTCTCGAAAAACAATTCTATCAGCTCAAAAAGAATGTTGGTGTTAATGGGTTCATGCGCAATGGCGAGTACCGCGGAGTGGGGATGCTGCAATATGATCCGATAAAAGACTACGAGAATTTCCAGGAATTTGTGAAACTCCACCAAAGCTCCGATGAAATGTTTGAAGCCCAAAATATGGACAATTTCTTGGGCCCTGAAGAGAAAAGCAAAGTCATGTTTGCGCACTGCAACTTCCCAAAATTATACCCTGATGAACTGTTGCAGGACTTCGTCATCAGAGACCATGAGCATATCAAGATTTTAGAATCGAGCCAGATTCCTGGCAACTACGAGTACCACTTCTGGCAAACTATGTACGAGCTGATTTGTTTGGATTGGGTAGATCTGGCATATACACGCAATAAGGAGCAGATGAGCACTCCAGAAGAGCGCACCAAGTTCTGTGACGGTGCCTTCAAAGAGCACGTTGAGTGGCTCAAAACGCAATAATCAGCTCATGTATTGGCTCGACGCGTCGATCGTCTGCGGAGGCAAACAAAATATAATTTTTCTTAATAAAAAAGACAATAATTAAATGATTCGACTTACGCTGGGTCGTTCATTGTTTAGACCCACGCATCGCCAGATCGGCACTTCAAGGTGCCTTGGATGCTTTTCTCATGTATCCCGCTTGAACAAGAGAACAGTGTCTGTACTCGCGCCACAACATATTAGATATTTTTCGGTCTATGGTTTGGGTAAGGCTGCCACCAAGATCATGCGTGTTCCAGCCTATCTTGGCGGAGGAATAGCGGCTGCAGGTTCTTATGTGGCCTACAAAGTTGATCAGGCTACCAGCTACACGCAATCCCATCTTGAGTCGGCTAAAGAATTTGCCGGAAACGTAGCAAGCGAGGTTGGGGGGTTCTTCAGCGACATGTTCTCTGGGTCTGGCGGCTCTTCAGGCGGCAAGGATGGAGGGGATACAGGAGTGGTTGCAGGGTCCGGAGCAGCTGCCGCAATAGGTTTGGCTCAAGATAATGAGGACGATGAAGACATGGATATCCTCGACAACGAGGAAGAGGAGGACGACGCTCCGGACAACATTGACGACGCGATGCTAAATCTCACGCGCCAAATGATTGAGATTAGAAGCATTTTGCTCAGTGTCGGGGGATCTAATGCTTTACGACTCCCCTCGATCGTGGTGATAGGTTCACAGAGCAGTGGTAAATCTTCTGTTCTTGAATCTATTGTGGGGCAAGAGTTCCTCCCCAAGGGGTCAAACATGGTCACTAGACGTCCAATAGAGCTGACATTGGTCAATGACAGCACACTTGCGGCCGAAACAGCAGAGTTTCCTGCGCTAAAGATGTACAATATGACAGACTTCCAACAAGTGCAAAAGGTGCTGTATGAGCTCAACATGAGCATTCCTGAGACAGAAGCCGTGTCCAGCGATCCTATCCAACTTGTCATAAAGTCCCCAAAGGTTCCTGATTTGTCCTTAGTGGACTTACCAGGTTATATTCAAGTCGAAGCTGCTGACCAGCCGGTTACACTAAAGTCCAAGATTCGTGAGCTTTGCGATCGCTACCTTGAGGAGCCAAATATTATACTGGCCATCAGTGCAGCAGATGTAGACCTGGCTAATTCCTCTGCGTTAAGAGCTGCCAAGAAGGCTGATCCTAAAGGAGAGAGAACGATTGGAGTGATTACGAAGCTTGATTTGGTCGACTCCGAGACTGCTCGCCAGATGCTCACCAACAAAAAATATCCCTTAAAGATGGGATATGTGGGTGTTATTACGCGACCTCCCCCATCGACATCCTTGTTTCGTCGTCAGAGTGGGGCAGAGGCATTTATTGCACAGCAGAATTTTGAAAGAGCGTATTTTAAAGAGCACAAAGATTCATTCATAGGCACGACAGTCTCTACAAAGGCACTGAAGAAAAAGCTGATGAAGGTGCTTGAGCGCTCAATGGCCAATTGCCTCAGGCCTATGCATGTTGTCGTTTCCAACGAACTTGAGGAGGCCAGCTACAAGTACAAGGTCGAGTTTAATGACAGGGACCTAACAAGTGAGAAATACATGGCACAGACGATAGACAATTTGAAACTCGCTATCAAAGAGTTTAGCGAGCGATTTGGAAGACCAGAATTACGAGCACTACTGAGAAGCGAGCTCGATCAAAAAGTTCTCGACCTCATTGCACTGAGGTACTGGAACAAGCCTCCGGTGACAAATAAAAACAAGGAGAGCGAGAACGAGCCATCACTCGATGAACTTGCGACTGCACCTCCAAATGACACCTACTGGCATCGCAAGCTCGATATTGCGACAGCAAGTTTAACCAAGCTGGGAGTTGGACGTCTTGCCACCTCTTTGATTTCCGACGCCATTCTGACGGAAATTGATGTTCTTTTGGACAACACAGACTTGCGCTCGCATCCGATGATCAAAAATGCTATCAAGGATGCCGCTGTGTCGGTACTAACCACCCGATACAATTCGACTGCTGAACAGGTGGAAAATTGTATCAAGCCTTATAAATATGAGATCGAGGTGGATGACAGAGAATGGGCTCTCAGTAGGCAGCATGCAACGATGCTCCTGAAAGAAGAGCTCAAACAATGTACTTCAGCTTATAACCAGTTGAAAAAGACGTTAGGAGGTAACAAATTGAAACAGATCACAACTTACTTGGAGAACGAAAACAATCTTGTTGGTCAGACGATTGCTAAGGAAAACCTTGGGTTTAGCCCAGGCCTCCTTTCACGAGGACGAGAGGCATTGTTTTTGAAGGAGCGTTCCAGATTACTGGCCATGAGACTCAAGTTTTTGCAGTCGGGCTGCAAGTCGAAAGATAACAAGTATAAATGCCCAGAAGTGTTCATGGACTTGGTAGCAGAAAAACTCACACAGACGGCCGTTCTCTTTTTGAACGTTGAGCTATTGAGTGACTTTTACTATACTTTCCCTCGGGAGCTGGAAAAGAAGCTTGGAAAGAGCTTGACACCAGAACAGATTGAGCAGTTTGCAAAAGAAGATCCTAAAGTTAAGAAACACATTGAGTTGCAAGAACGCAAAGAGCTTTTAGATTTGGCTCTGTCAAAAATTGAAGATGTCATGGCTCTTCAAAAACGAATTGTATAAAGTATATTTAATGGATTAATGATAAAATGTCAAAAATAGATCATGGGGAGGAGCTTTGGATAATATTTTAGAGCTATTCTTCGGTGTTACTATCTTTAATTATTTATGGTCCATATTTAATTCTAAGTATCCAATGATGTAATGCAGGCGGCTCAATATTCCACTTCAGATGGGTATGAGAAACTTTAGGCCATTTGCACTTTGCATAAATCGTTATCCTTTACATGCTATTTGTTTCTGACAAATCGGCTCCCATAACATACAAGCAGTTGTAACCACTTGTTGTCATTTGTCTTTTCAAACTGTGTGTATTTGTTCAGCGGCACAGTCTACTGGTTCTAGGTTCCTTGGCCCAGTTGGTTAAGGCATCGTGCTAATAACGCGGGGATCAGCAGTTCGATCCTGCTAGGAACCAACCTGTATTTTTTTTTGTGATACCTTATATACATTATAAGGAAGCACTATACATCGAATGTCATATTAAATTCGTCAATAGAGTCCAAAAACTGGCCCCATCCATGATCTCCCAGAATATCCAAAATCGCCGTATGCAATTCAGGAACCTGTCCTGACACCTCTGGAAATGGATTTTCGCTCTGTTCCGTGCTGAGCGGAACGTCCGATATGTCGAGCCTTGCCGGGCCTTCTATCTTATCAAATTTAGCCTGAGGCGTGGCCAAATGTCTATCTTCGGTCCTGGCATCGCTGCTAGAAGGATTCGAGACCGAAGAATAATTAATAAACTTAAGCTGCTTTCTTAGCTTACTTTGAGCTTTGGAGCGCATACTTCCTTGAGTCTTGGACATTTGCGGGTCCTTAGTGTTGCCAGCCTGTCGCATTTTTGTTATTGACTCTATCGACTGAAGGCTTCCCCTTCGATCACCTGCAACCATCAGATTAATTAACTTTTGAAGCACGTAGAGGCCTCGCACAGCGGGACGAACTATGAGCTTATGGGAGCCCAAAACAGGCATGATTTTCTTGACAGCTGAGATGACCGATTTTTGACGACTAGCGGTCTGTTTGTTCAGCATTGCGTCCACGAGCAAGAACACTGCTGCAGAGACGGCTAATTCGCACACAAACCATGGTTTCTTGAACAAGTTTGGGACACGTGGATCCGCGTACCGTTTGAGGATGGTCTCTGCACAATTGCAGCACAGTTCATAGCAGTCCGAGGTCCAGTGCTCATACGTCATGAATCTGGACATTTTGCTGTTGATATCAAGTCTTTCTTGGAGAATGATGTAATCAGTCAAAAACTTGATGAATTCCACTGTGGTAGAAAAGTGAGGGTCAGCGGTGAGGCGTTCATGATCCATGTAGTTTTCAAAATCTTTCCTAATGGTGATCTCAAGCACGCGAAGCTCAAGATCTGCTTTTTCTAGCGACTGCAGAGTCAGCTCGCTTTTCAGCACCGTGTCGTCAAAATAGTAATTTCTCTTGATGGTTGCAATCTCGGCAACAAATCTCTGATAGTAATTATCCCAGTCTAAAACTTTATGTGGGATTTTCCACTTTCTTGGCTTGGGCGTACAGAAAGTCCCCGGTGCAATCAGAGAATAGCGGAACTGGTCTTCGTACCAGTCAACATTCACTAGCGACCACCACCATCTGAGCTTCATGTCGGTTTCAGGGTCGTCCGAGTCGCCAGCAACGCTATCCAATTTCAGCTTCCGTGCGCTGTAGCACATGGTCCCCACAAGGCAATTTTGTAGGTGAACACCTCCCAGAGGATGTGCACATAGCTTGAGCAGCGAGAAAAACTGGATTGCACCAATGCTGGGGAAGGTCATGTATCTGCCGCGGAACAGGCATTCGAGGCCGCATGCGAAAAAAGAGCGAGCATGAAGATCCAACGTCTCATCAGAAAAAGCTAGCTTCTGTTGCAGAGTGTCGTCTGAATAGTATACTCCAATGCATAGTAGCATGTAATATTGAGCCAGAAAAAGATATTCCTTGCTAGATTTCGAATAGTACGGCGTAATGTGCTTCTCAATGATGGAGGGATCGTTCCAATACGATTCGTATTCTTGTAGAAATCGGTCGTTATCCAGAACATTGTGGAGAAAAGATAGACGCAGTGCGCTCTCCAAGATCAGGTCGGAATGGGTCTTGTTCAGGTTAGCTATGAGCCTCAGTTGGTAGTTCCAGACATCCGATTTTTCATCCCCGCTTCGAATAGACTTCATGAGTTCCTTGTTGGGAATTCTGGACCATTCTTCGGTATTAGCATCGAAATTTTGGTCATCGTCGTCCTGTAGGCCCTCGGCTAGGCCTTTGTTGAGCAGGCTGATAACCACGCTGTAGCTGTCCCATTTGGTGGACAACTCCAAGGAGACCCCACCATGGGGTCCAGAAGGCTCGAAGGAAAATGCCTTTCGTCCTGAAGCTCGCGGCACGGCAGCAGAATTGGAATTGTGGGGAAACGAAAACTCCGATCGGAGTTTGAAAACCGTTCTTTCCAAGTCCTTGATTTTCCGTTTGAGTACCTCGTTTTCCTGGGCAAATTTCATCTCTACAAGCTTTTCGTCCCCTGCATTATTAATCACCACCCCGTCTACGATGACAGGCTCGCGACTGCAGAGATGGCCTTTGTTACGGGCAATACATTTGTCACACGGCACCTCGAAGTTGCACTTAACTTTGCGCTTCTTGCAGCTGAGACATGTCTTGGAAATACGAGTAGTACGCCGTAGCTTGGTTATGTCGAGCCTAGTAAACTCCGCAGGAGAATTCCTCTTCTCCGAAGGCACTCTCTCCGCAGAAGCCATAAATTATTTGAAATCAGAAATGTGAGCGATATAAACACCCCTGCACGGGGCTGCACCCCGATTTTTTTCGGGTGATCGTATGATGCTACTATGAGCCCGCAGATAACATCTGACTTTACATTAAGGCAAAATTCTGGTGTAGGGTGTCCGCAGGCCGAGTAATGCTGACCGGTACGCACCTTTTTCGTCCGTTGTGGTGTGCTGCTTCATGGTCAATTTTTTTTAGCTCAGATGACATCGGAAGGTGTTCCTACAAAGCACACCTCCAATTCGCCGTAAAACCTCGGAGTAAATCATTCTCCCTGTAGTGTAAACTAAGCTGATGAGGCGTTCGGCAGATCCAATTGGACACACCCCGTCATGGGGTGTGAAATACCCCGCCACGGCCATCCGGCAGCCCCACTCCACCACTTTGGGTTGAATATGGTCCAATTGTTATGTGCAAATTTTCGGACATTGGAAATCACCCACTCGGAGTAAAGCAACTCGTAGTGACTGAAAAATAAGACGTCATCATTAATTAGGCTGCAACAGACATATAAATACGAGACACTTTTCCCTCTTCTTAGGCATCCTTCTATCAATCAATCAATCAATTTAAAATGCCTTCCATTCCAAAGACTCAAAAGGCCATTGTTTTCGAAACCAACGGTGGTCCTCTTCTATACAAGGACATCCCTGTTCCACAGCCAAAGCCAAATGAAATCCTTGTCAACGTCAAGTACTCTGGTGTGTGCCACACCGACTTGCACGCCTGGAAGGGTGACTGGCCATTGGCCACCAAACTTCCACTGGTCGGTGGTCACGAGGGTGCTGGTGTTGTTGTTGCCAAGGGTGCCAACGTTACCAACTTTGAGATCGGCGACTACGCTGGTATCAAATGGCTGAACGGCTCGTGTATGGGTTGTGAGTTCTGTCAACAAGGTGCAGAACCAAACTGTCCAGACGCCGACCTTTCCGGTTACACGCACGACGGTTCCTTCCAACAATACGCCACTGCTGATGCTGTCCAGGCTGCCAAGATTCCAAAGGGAACTAACCTGGCCGATGTTGCTCCAATTCTCTGTGCTGGTGTCACTGTGTACAAGGCATTGAAGACTGCCGAATTGAGCCCAGGCCAGTGGGTCGCTATCTCTGGTGCTGGTGGAGGATTGGGTTCTCTTGCCGTTCAATACGCTGTCGCTATGGGCCTGAGAGTTCTGGGTATCGATGGTGGTGACGAAAAGGCCAAGCTCTTCGAGAGCTTGGGCGGAGAAGTCTTCATCGATTTCACAAAGGAAAAGGACATTGTCGGAGCCGTCCAGAAGGCTACCAACGGTGGTCCACACGGTGTCATCAACGTTTCCGTGTCTCCAGCAGCTATCTCTCAATCCTGCCAATACGTGAGAACTCTTGGTAAGGTTGTTCTTGTTGGTCTTCCAGCAGGTGCTGTTTGCGAGTCTCCAGTTTTCGAGCACGTTATCAAGTCTATCCAGATTAGAGGTTCCTACGTTGGTAACAGACAGGACACTGCGGAGTCGATCGACTTCTTCGTCAGAGGCAAGGTTAAGGCTCCAATCAAGGTTGTTGGTCTTTCTGAGCTGCCAAAAGTGTTCGAGTTGATGGAGCAAGGAAAGATTGCAGGAAGATACGTCCTCGACACTTCCAAATAGTTTATGATGAGTAAAATGATGTTTTTATTGTGTGAATAGGTGAATGAATATGATGAGGATATTTTAGTAAGAAATTATTTTGCCGTGCTAACAATGTCGAGTAGACGATTGACCTTTGCCTGCAAAAGCTTCTCGTCCTGTTGCCACTTGACCGATTCCGGCACCTGTCCCAGTATCCATGCCTCCTTGAGCTGCCGTGTAATGGCTAACAGCTCCTCTGTGAGACGCACTATCGTGGCCGCGTTCGACTCAATTTGTAGTGCCTCAATGGCGTGTGTCTCTTGGGATTTTTCCTGAACGGACGAAAGCTCGATAATGTCGTGGAACTTCTGCAGTATAAGTTCGACGTTGTTATCCACGCGGGATAAAATAGAGGTGAATTTTCGGGACATTGAAGAAGAAGCGATTAATTTTTTGGCCAACTAATATTTGGCTGTGAAATAGAACCTAAATTTAAGGGTTGCAACAAAGCGCACCGAGACAGATCGTAATCATGACAACGCCATTTAATTCTTCTGCCGTAAGTATCCAGCAGCATCAGTACATAATTCTGTTATTTTTGGGTATTAGAATGCCCGTTTATAAATAAGCCATATTCACGAGCTACCATTTTTAATGACAGGCCCCCACAACATCCCCCCTTGGGACTACGGAACATGTGCCAATGGCAACCGCGCGCCTTCAAGCTCATCTTCAGGGCTTATGCTGAGAGGTAAGGGAGCTTCAGAGATGTCTAACATATAGAACATGGAATTGTAGCCGTTGCCCAGCCCGAGGTGGTGCAAAATTACCTTTTCCCGATTAGCGACATGCTCGCAAGCAAAATTTTGACATACAGGGAGTCGGTGAATAAACTAATGGTTGCAGACACCACTGCAGAAAAACACAAACTCCTGATAATCGCCGGTCCGACAACCATAACAAGCCCGATCCAGTCCAAATTTTGCGCTCAGTGGATCTCTAAACTTTGCGGAAAACGGATATACAATGCCGTGGTTCCCTCGGGCGATGAGATCCCTACTAAACTCGCCCACACATTACAAGACATATACTCAGAGGAGCTGAACTGCTCCGGGTCTGTGATGCTGACCATGAGGGCCAACTTCACCGACTATGACCAGGGTGCCGGTCCTGTCAGACAATCCAAGGAAGTGATGTATGGGTTGCCGCTCTACCGAACTTTAATGCACGAATTGGCTAAATTTTGTCCATTGACTGTGAATCTGTCCAATACGATTTCCCCACAGTATTTTTCGGACTTGTGCTGTCTCGGACTTGTGGATTCGTCTCTTCTCGAAAGCCAGCTCCACAGGGAGTTGGTTTCCGGGGTGTCGTATCCATGCGGATTCCAGATCACTGAGTGCGACAACTACAAAGTCGGCAAGGGCGTGGAGGCAATGTATGCGTCTCGCTTCCCGCACAGTTTTCTCACAATCACCAAGAATGGATCTGTGGCACAGGTGGAGACGACCGGTAACCATGATACATTTATTGTGTTGCAGATGGCGGATGATATTGCAGAGACTAAATTTTTCGAGCTGCTTGCTGCCGCAGACGAGGATTGTGCAAACGGTAGCAGGCTCCGGGTGGTTGTCGACGTGGGCGAGCTGCACCTAGCAAATTTTGAAAGAAAAACTGCCTTGGTGCTACAATTGATCCAGACACGGAGATATTATTCAAGATTGCTCGGATTCATTGTTGACTCCGGTAATGTGTACTTACCGGAAGAGGCGCAACTTGAGGAAATAAATCCGATGGTGTACGACCAGCAAGAGTTTGTGCAATACAGCAACTTAGGACAGAAACTGATCAACAAGAGCGACAAGCCGAAACACGAGACCCAGAAAGAGGACTACGTGCAGTTCATCCTTGCACACAGTCTCATACGCACGATTGTCGGAGTAAACAGCTGATCACGAGATTCGCGACATGGTGAACATTACGCAGCCTGCATTTGCTCCGGGGAGGCGGTAAAATAGTCTACAAAGTAGTGTGAGCCGGCACGCAAATTCCCAGCAGGTTCGTTCGCGAACTTGTGGACCGGTTTTTTTTTTATGGCAAGTCTAACTTCCCCTGCGCTTGGCAGCGACCCGGAGTTTTTGCTCTGGTCAGGCATTTTCCCAAAAAAAACCCCAGCTAGTCAAAATAATATATAAAGACAGCTATTGCAACTTATTTATTCCCTGTAACTATATTAAATAATAAACAATGGGATTGGACTTCTTGAAGAGAAAAACAGGTGTGATCGTTGGTGACGATGTCAGAAACCTGTTCCTGTACGCGCAGGAGAAGGGCTTCGCCATTCCAGCCATCAATGTGACCTCCTCATCGACCGTGGTTGCTGCTTTGGAGGCTGCTAGAGACAACAACTCCCCAATCATTTTGCAAGCTTCCAACGGTGGTGCCGCTTACTTCGCCGGTAAGGGTGTCAAGAACGATGGCCAGAAGGCTTCGATTGCCGGTGCCATTGCAGCTGCTCACTACATCAGATCCATTGCTCCAGCATACGGTATCCCAGTTATCTTGCACACCGATCACTGTGCCAAAAAGCTTTTGCCATGGTTCGATGGTATGCTCGATGCTGATGAAGAGTACTACAAGCTCCACGGTGAGCCATTGTTCTCTTCTCACATGCTTGACTTGTCGGAGGAGACCGACGACGAGAACATTGCCACATGTGTGAAATATTTCACCAGAATGTCCAAGATGGGCCAGTGGCTTGAAATGGAGATCGGTATCACCGGTGGTGAGGAAGACGGTGTCAACAACGAGAAAGCCGACAAGGAGTTGCTCTACACAAAACCAGAGACCGTCTTTGCCGTGCACAAGGCATTGTCTCCAATCTCTCCTAACTTCTCGATCGCTGCTGCCTTCGGTAACGTGCACGGTGTCTACAAGCCAGGAAACGTTGTCCTGAGACCAGAGATTTTGGGAGAACACCAGGCCTACGCTGCCAAGCAACTTGGCTCCAAAACCAACAAGCCACTCTTCTTAGTCTTCCACGGTGGATCTGGTTCTTCGCAACACGAGTTTGACACTGCTATTTCCAATGGTGTTGTCAAGGTGAACCTTGACACCGATTGTCAATATGCTTACTTGACGGGTATCAGAGACTACGTTCTGAAGAAGAAGGATTACATCATGAGCCCTGTTGGAAACCCAGAAGGTCCTGACAAGCCAAACAAGAAATACTTTGATCCAAGAGTTTGGGTCAGAGAGGGAGAGAAGACCATGTCTGCCCGTATCACCGAGGCATTGGAGATCTTCCACACCAAGAACCAGCTTTAAAGGTGGTATTTTGAATAGGTAAATAGGTAAATCAACAAAGCCAAATATTAAGTCATACAGCAGATGTAGAGATGTTTTTCTTGTTTCTCGCAGGTTGATGAAGGCACAGACAGACTCATTTTTTTAGGATCAACTCTGCTAGGTCGTGCGCCACACATCCCAGGTTTTCGTCGAATTTTTCAAAAAAGAAGATGGCAACTACCATTTATTTGAAGTGACTTTGTGATTGAAATTATTGGGAACAAGAAAGGGGCTTTCTATTAACCGCATAAAGGTTGTTTCATACTACAAATTTCATCATTCGGTCCAATCATCACGAGTCAATTTGTAAAAATATATAGTCATGTCGGAACAGCAGGACACCACATCGGAACACACATCGAAGCGGGGCAACAACCCCAAGCACAGAGGCGGCTCAAAGAAGAATAGTAGTACAGCCAACGGCGGTGGGCTCTCGCCTGAGCTTAAACAAAAATTCCAGACTTTGACAGAGTTTTTCCCTGATTGGACGTTCCAAGATTTTGTGACAATCCAGGAAGAGATTGCCAACGTCGACATAACTGAAATATCCGAAGGCATATTGACAGGGAAAATCCAAAAATGGGACCAGGTTGTCAAAAGGGACGAAAAAAAGAAGTCTCAGCATACTGAAGAGCACCACGACGAGCCATCGGCTCCTGCTCCTGTGCAGATAGGAAAAAAGGCTCATCAACAAAATAGATTTGTTGGTTCAAAGCCAAGACCAGTGCATAAACAGAAAGACTTGACACCAGCCGCATCTAAAGTGTCAAAACAGCCTGCTCCGTCTGCAACTGCCACCGCTCCAGCTCCTCAAACCGCCTCCTCTCTACCTAACCAAGGCTCTTCGTGGGCCAGTGCGCTAGCCCAGAAGCCTGCGAAGGCTGCAAAGGCGCCTGTGAAGGAAGAAGTGCCATCTGAGCCCAAGCCCGCCGAAAAGCCTGCGGTGAAGAAAGAGGCCACCAAAGAGCAAACCAAGAAGAAAGAGCATGTGCCAGCTCCAGCTTCCGAGTCCAAGCCTTTGAGCTGGGCTGCAGCCGTGGCGCCAAAGCCAAAGATTGCAAAGAGACCGGCTCAGGAGGCCAAGAAGGAAGACACTGCTGTTTCAGCACAGGAGCCTGTGGCCGAAGAAAAACAAGCTTCTCCAGAAATCGCTAGGGAAACCCCTGCCCTTAAGAACACTAAGAAACCTGTCCAGGCAGCTCCAGTGGTTCTTCCATCCTCTGCCACCCAGGTGGGTTCGGTGGACGGTATTTCTTTCGGATCGATGACTTTGAACGACAAAGAGGAAAAGGTCACAGAGCAGCAAGCACAGCCAGCACAACCAGCCCAACAGGTCCCACCAGCGCAGCCAGCTCAAACCGCTCAACCTTCCCAGAACCCTCAAAACACACAGTCTGAATACAGCAAGAACTACAGAAACAACAGTCACTACAACAGCTACCAGCAAGCACAGCAGCAGGCACAGCAGCAGCAAAAGGCGTACGATCCATCCAACTACTACGGTGGACTCTCGGATCTGAACAGCTACTTGCGTTCTCCAGGAGCCAACGGCCAGTCGTACGACCAACAGCAATACCAGCAATTATTCAACCAGCAACAACAGCTCCTGCAGCAACAGCAGGCTCTTGCTAGCGCCAATCCTGGCGAGATGAATCCACAGTCTTCGGTGGCTAACTCCATGAACCAGCACTCGTCACAGGTCCCAGCCCAGCCTCAAGCACAAGCACAAGCTGCTGCCGCTGCTTCTCCAGTCGCTCCGGGAATGAGCAACCCTATGATGGGAATGCCAGCCTCCTACTACCCTTATTTCAACTACTACCTTCCATTTTACTCTCAACCTAATCCTGCCGCCAACCAATTCTATATGAACTACCAAGGGCAGCAGTCTCCATCCCAGGCTGTTCCTCCACAGCAGAATAGTTTTGGAAACAGCTTCCAGAACAAGGTTTATGGCCACCAGCAAGCTGCTGCCAATGGAGGCGAGGATGAGAGCTCCAAGACTTCAGCAGGAGCACAGGGTGCTCAACAGCAGATGAATCCAGCAATGTTGATGCAACAGCAGTATGCCCAGTACCAGCCACCAACCCCAGGATCGCAAGCAGGTGCTCCGGGCTTGGCTGGTTCTCAGATTGGTGGTGTGGCAGGTGCTGCTACCGGAGCCGGCGTGTCAAGCACTCAAGCTTACCCATATTATCAAAACCAGTACCAGTATCCGGGAGCTGGTGACTACGGAAACAACACCAAGGGCTGGTTTTAATGGTGAATCAAACTCATATTGTTCACTGACTGTGGGTGTATATAAATGGTAAACAGAATCGGTGTAGAGATGCAAAAATTTGCTCTCGGAGCGATCTGTAAAGACAGGGTAACCACCATTTTTTCTGCCAAAAACCATGGCTTAGAAATTTGCAAGCAATTTTCACTATATAGACTTACTCCTACTATAGAGTGTCTGTCTATATTTTTCCTCCTAACAAATTTATTAGTGCGTTTACTCTATACTAAGGGAATTGACGCTACACTTTAGTAAGTAATATTATTATGGCACGCCATATCTGCAAACACATGTCGGTGCACGCGAAGGAAGGCCGATTGACCATCCCGCTCGACTGGATTGCTGTTTTCAAGTTCGCCACAACACATTGGGCCTTGTCTTTGGGGGGGTAGTAGTGATGATGGGGGCAGGGGGCAAGGATCTCGAAGGGTACTCGACTCGAAAAATAACAACTTCCTGCGAGCGAAGGTGGATTTCCCAGACCACATGAATGTGCCGTATCGCTTCTAATACTCTGTTTCGTGGCCATGAGGGGACGACTGAGCTTCTCCAAATTCATGGCTGTGCTATGCTTTCACGGGTTATTGACCCTGTAGAAGCTGCCCCGATATAGAAAACACCCCATTTGCTGGGAGGCACGTATTTTCAAGTGGCAGATACGCGGTGAAGCAAAATTCGCGGGGCTGCAGGAATATGTGTTTGTTTATTTATATGCGAAACTAGGTGCCGTGTTACTAGTCAGAAAAACTAACAATTAGACAATGGCTGCTGCTACTACCAAGAAGACCGCTAGAAAGAAGAAGGACCCAAATGCCCCAAAGAGATCTCTTTCGGCTTACATGTTCTTTGCCAACGAGCAGAGAGATATTGTGAGGGCAGAGAATCCAGGTATCGCATTCGGACAAATTGGAAAGCTGCTTGGCGAGAAGTGGAAGGCCTTGGACGAAGCCGGAAAGGCTCCATACGAGGCTAAGGCAGAAGCAGACAAGAAGAGATACGAGCTCGAGAAGAGCGAGTACACTAAGTCCCAGGCTTAGAAAAAACTGTGTCGTTGTTGTATGCTATTGAATCAGCGTGTCTGGTTCTCAGCTGTATATTAGTTCCGTTGTTGTGATAGCTTTGGGAGTTTATCGGATGAGTATCTACACTGTTCTCAATCTACTTTTCAAATTTTATTATCATCGCTCTTGACATTTCATTAACTAGTAGCACGGCTCAAAACTGCCACGCCTTCGACGTGATGCGTCTGCGGAAAGAAGTCGAACCCAATAATGCTTTCCACTTTATAGTCCTTGCCCTTCTGTGTTTCCGTGAGAAAGTATTCCACATCTCTGGCTTGCGAGTGAACATTGCAAGAAACGTAAACAATTCTTTTCGGATAGAATTCTGCAAGCTGCCTCAGGAAAACTTCATCGCATCCTTTTCGTGGAGGGTCTAAAATCACAGACGTTTTGTCCTTAGGGAAGTCGATCTTCTCAAAAAGCTTTTCAGCCTTTCCCTCGATGAACTCGCAGTTATGAATATCGTTCAGCTCCACATTTCTCTGGGCAAATTTAATCGAGTGAGCAGAGATCTCCACGCCCAACGATTTGCGCACAGACGACGCACAAGAGATGCTGAACAGACCAGATCCACAATACGCGTCGACCAGGTAACTGTCACCCGACTCGTCCAATGCAAGGTTAGATTTGACATAGTCTAGGACTTTCGGCAAGATTGAGTTATTATTCTGGAAGAATTCATTGGCCACGAAATCAAACCGCAAACCATTCACATACTCACTCACAATGGCGTTGTTGTCGGTAACACAGGTCTTGAAAACGTCATCTTGCTCTATAATGGAAAGCGTCCCGTCCTCAGTTCTAGAGCCCTTTAACTCCTCTCGATTACGTCTAGTGTCTTCTCTGAGCAAAACAGTAGCCCCCTTGTGCTTCACTTGTCCGGATTGAATTAGCTTTTCGAGCCGAGCACGCTCATTCTTCAATCCCTGTCTAACAATATCTGTTCCTATTATGCAATCCTCGATGTCCATGACTTCACCGGGGTACTCTCTTTTTGGCACGTCTCTCCAAGACGGACGTCCTTTAGAACCAAATCCAAAATTAGGACTGACTGAAGGATCTTGGTGGCGGCTGAATTGGTAATGAGGAGTCAATTTCGTGCGGTAACCATACTTGAGCGGACTCGCAACAGTTGCTCCCACCTCTGGCAATTTACCCATGGATGTCAGCCTTGGCGCAAAGTATCTATATGCGTTGATTATGGTTTGGCGTTTGAAAATAAGCTGGTCTTCATATTCGATCGGTTGGTACTGACACCCGGAACAGGCTCCAAAATATTGGCATCTGATAAGGTCCTGTTTTCTAAGGCGCGAGGGGCTTTCAATTTTGAGCAAATCGGCGTCTACATGGGTGTCTTTGGTAGTGAACACACGAATAGTGACAATATCTTCTGGCATCGCGAACGGAACCACTGCAATTTGCTTGCCATCTGGTATTTCTGGATGTGGTAGCAATGCCAGTCCTTCGCCGTTGGAGGAATATCTCAGAATTTTGACAGATTCCACCACTCTATTGTATTTTGCGCGCAAGTCTGTATTATTCAGAATTTTGTTCAAAGGGTTGGACACCTGTTCAAGGGTCAGATTGTGCTCTTTGCATATTTCTGGGATCTCATGATTCAGTAGCACTCCCAACGGCGTAGTAGGGTCTGGGTTCTGTTTTTTGGCCCTATGTCTTTTAACTTTACGAGGCCCGTTTGAGACAGCTGGCATGGTGATTTTGGAAGGCATGGGAATACGTTTCAGTACTGAGCGACCCAATGCAAAGGACATAAAAGTTTATGGTATAAAAATTTTCGAAACTGGCCAAGGCGGTGCATAAATTTTTGTAGCCAACTACAGGTCGCTGGACTGTAATACAAGCTGAACAAGAAAAGTCGAGATAATCAACTAGAAAAGTACAATAAACAGACGTAGAACAACTCTATGTTCGACAAATGATGTAGAAAGTTGTCTGCCTTTACGCCCCTATTCGAATTTGTAGATCCTTGAAGTCAGACAATCACACAGCAGCCACCCTTGTCCTCGGATGTGGTTTTGGATGACTTGTTGGCACTAGGCTTGCCTGCAGTAGGCTGGGCTGCGACAGGGGCGACGTTTGACAGTTTCTCAGCCATTACACTGGCACAAACATCAAACACTTTCTTGACGTTTTCTCCCGTGATGGCTGATGCTTGGAGATGTCCCATTACAGTATGTCCAACCTGGGAGCTAATCTCAAGCTCCTCTTGTTCTGTTACAAGCTGGTCGTGGCTCAGTTGGTTTTTCAAATCGCATTTTGTTCCAACAAGGATTATCGGGACATCTGGCTGGTAATTTTGCACTTCGGGAATCCATGTTTCTATAATATTGGAGAGCGATGGCTGAGAGTCCACAGAGTAGCATGCGACTACCACATCGACATCGGAGTAGATGGGAGTCCGAAGTCCTTCGAAATCTTCCTGACCGGCAGTATCGTGCAGAGAGAGCTTGAATGTCGAGGACCCATTTGAGATGAGACAATTGTATGTCTCAAAAATTGTTGGGATGTAGTCTTTATGATTAGCAGGCTTGCCATCTTTGTAATTTATTAGGAGCGACGTCTTACCGCATCCCGAGTCTCCAATGACCACTATTTTTATCTCCTTGGACGGAGTTTGGCTATTATCTACCTGCGTAAAAGACTCCAGGTTCGAGGGTAGTTTATAGACAGAGGCAGACATCAATGTTTATTGCAAACAAACGAAGAACTCTCGCAGAGTTATTATTGGTTTGGATGTGTTTTTACTTTAGTGACTCGATGTGCCAGGTAGCACAACTCAACATCCTTACACAGAGAATGGGTCATGGTGCGATTTTGTTTTTCGAACGAGGTGCCCGTGGACGTATGACCAGAGCCTCTGTCCCCTAAAAACTAGTGTAACGACATGCCTCCATGTCGCCAGTTTCAGTGTCGGCTCCCGTGCATTTGCTCCATATTATCCACGGCTGTACCAAATTTCAAAGACTGATCGTGACCAGCGCACGACTTTTATCTATATTTGGAAGCATATAAACACAAAACTCACCGCGATAAACACTCCGTAAACAACATGGACTCTTTCTTTGTGGAGCCCATAGCCCGGGGCAGCAAGTACAGACTACTTGAGCAGTCCGAGCTGCCCACCCCGGACCCAGATCTGCAATTCAAAATAGTAATTGTGGGAGACTCAGGATGCGGTAAAACATCGCTATTATCATCTTACATTCGAGGATCGTTCCCATCAGAGTACGAGCCGACCATCTTTGAAAATCACAGAGCCTTTCTACAGGACAGTTCACAGCATCACATACTGACAGTTGATCTTTGGGATACAGCAGGACAGGAAGACTACGAGAGACTGAGAAGATTGAGCTATCAAGACTCGAACCTGATAATCCTTGCGTACTCACTGGCCGCTAAGGAGTCGTTGCTTAACATTCCAGAGGTGTGGGCCCCCGAGATCCTGGGATTCTGTGACAAAACGCCAATTGTGCTTGTTGGCTTGAAGGCTGACGTTTCCACAAAAGAGGTGCATCCGGAGCAGGCATACAATGTAGCCAAATCGATCGGTGCTGTGGCGCATATCGAATGCTCGGCCAAGCAGATGTACAATGTTGATAAGCTGTTCAATGCGTGCGTGAATGTGGTCTACAATCAGCACCAGACAGCTGCGAGAGAGGCTGCGAGAGACTCCAAGAGGTTCAGCAAGGGACACTTCAGAATTGCCAGCAACAGCAACAACCTCGCCGCTGTTGGTTCTGAGATCTCCAAGGAGTCTAGCAGCGATTCCTGCTGTACAATAATGTGATACCCTAGCGATAGATTTTAGTAATCATAATAACAGGCGAGGAACAGCGTACGTGCATCGTGCAAAAATGTTATCGATCTTTGCAATGATTCGTATTTTCTGAAATGCTTACGGACGATCTTACAAGCACTTCCAAATACGATGCAGGCCTCCAGTCCGAAGCACACTACAGTGCTCGGATGACCGCGTTTCAGTTCAAACTCAGATCAAAGCTTCTAAGACTTGTCCAACATGAAACGCCTCTTCTTTCTAAAATACAGAAATCATGCTACACAGAATGGCGAGACATTTACTTCACATATTCAGCAAACCTCGGGTCACACACTTTCTACGTGCTATGTCTTCCTCTACCCGTGTGGTTTGGATACTCCTATCGTGATTTGGTCTATGTTCTCGGACTAGGCATTTTTTTCACAGGCGCAGTCAAAGATTACCTCTGTCTTCCGAGACCGCGTTGCCCGCCTCTTGTCCGCAAAACTATGAGCCACTACACATCGCAGGAGTATGGGTGTCCCTCTAGCCACTCAGCCAATGCGGCAGCGGTGTTTAGTCTGCTTTCATACCACATACTATCCAACCTTGACTCGTTTACGGCTACAACGGCTCTGCTGCTGATGCTTGCTCTACTCTTATACTTCGCCTCTATGGTGTTTGGACGGATCTACTGCGGCATGCATGGAATGGTGGATGTAGTGGTGGGAATATTGATCGGCACATCAACGGTAATTCTGAGACTGATTACCAAATCCAACTGGGACTCTTTTCTGACAAGCAGCTCAGTCCTGGCACCCACTTTCGCAGTGGGATTCTATTACGCACTATTATACTTCCACCCTCTTCCTGTTGATCACTGTCCGTGCTTCGAGGACAGTGTCGCATTCATGGGCGTGCTGATGGGCCTCGATATAGGATTCTGGTCGCTCGCCAACTCTTCTTTCAAAGCCGCAGACATGGAGTACCACGGTACCTGCAAATACTCGCTCGAGCAACTCGGATACATGAAAAGTGCTTTTAGACTGGCCCTTGGACTTTCGATTCTGGCTGTCTGGAAGGCTCTTGCTAAGCCTCTGCTCACCATTATCTTGAAACCGGTACATTCACGAGTGTTTGCAAGTCAAGCTACCAAACTCGACAACCTGAGCGATTGTGCTGCACTAAGACCACGTTACGAACTACGACTTCTTGTGAGGCTTGGTGTTTACAGCGGCATTGCCATCATTGCTATTTGGATGGACGCCATTTACCAATACGTAGGACTAGCTTTGGACTAGAGATGCATTTCTGATAGATATAGATAATAGATAATGCTCGCGATCTGGTAATATCAATGTGACTGTGAAATTCTACACCTCACACCAAACAGCTTTTTTTTCGCCTGGAGAGTTTCAATTCAGTGTGCGGTGTGATTTTTTGTCCGGCTGGGGCTGAAATTTTTAGAGAAAACTAAACCTTGAAATATATCTATACACAAGCAAAATGGAAAACGATAAAGGTGAACTCGTAAGTGGTGAATGTAACAAGGGAGTCGTATAGAGAGAAACTGAAGATATGAGTCTAGGATCACCAATCACCCGTTGATTTCGAGAGAAGAAATTCAAGAAGTTCAAAGCTACAACGGCTTAGTGAAAGCACCGTATTTCAGTTTTCGACATCCTCCCACGCTTATCCAAACTCTAACAAACTAGGTTGAATTGTACATTCCAAGAAAGTGTTCTGCCACCAACAGAATTATTAAGGCTAAGGACCACGCTTCTGTCCAAATCAACATTGCCAACGTTGATGAGGAGGGAAGAGCTATTCCAGGCTCTCACACCACCTACGCTTTGTGTGGATACATCAGAGGAAGAGGTGAGGCTGACGACTCTTTGAACAGACTCGCTCAACAGGATGGTTTGCTCAAGAACGTCTGGTCTTACTCCCGTTAAGCAGGCTGTATAAACTAATAAGAAAAAGATAGGAAATTAAGGATGTTGTGTGCGGAAGCGATAAGCGGACCATCGTGTAAACTAGCTGTAATTGTGCTTCAGATGCCGGATTCGTTGGCGATCAGGGGTTACAGTAGTCCATTTTATCCTTGTTACCCTGCTTAAAAATTTTTTCCTCCAGCAAATGGATCTGGTGCGTAAAGTTGGAAAAAATTTACTCCTTCAAATTAATTATAGTCCAGTATGGCATCTGAAAATATCCAAGAAGTTGACTCCAACTTGATCGAATCTAACTACGACAATGTCGTCTACACCTTTGACGAACTTAACCTCAAGCCAGAAATTATCAGAGGTAAGTAAATCCGGTTCTTTCTCTTCTTTTTCTAACCTTATAGGTATTTTCGCTTACGGTTACGAACAGCCTTCTGCTATTCAGCAAAGAGCTATCTTGCCAATCACTGAGGGTAGAGACGTTCTTGCCCAGGCCCAATCTGGTACCGGTAAGACCGCCACTTTCACCATTTCCGCATTGCAAAGAATCGACGAGAAGTTGAAGAAAACCCAAGCATTGATTCTCGCCCCAACCAGAGAATTGGCTTTGCAAATCCAAAAGGTTGTGTTGGCCATTGGTATGCACTTGGATCTGACTGTTCATGCTTCAATTGGTGGTAAGGCTGTCCAAGAGGACATGGAGGCCCTTAGAAACGGTGCACAAATCGTTGTTGGTACTCCAGGAAGAGTTTACGACATGATCGAGAGAGGTTACTTCAAGACCGATGCCATCAAGATGTTCATCATGGATGAGGCTGATGAGATGTTGTCGTCTGGTTTCAAAGAACAAATCTACAACGTGTTCCGTTTCTTGCCAACCACTACTCAGGTTGTCTTGCTTTCCGCTACCATGCCTCAAGATGTTCTGGAGGTCACCACTAAGTTCATGAGAAACCCAGTCAGAATTCTTGTCAAGAAGGACGAGCTGACTTTGGAAGGTATCAAGCAGTTCTACATTGATGTCGATGAGGAACAATACAAATTCGACTGCCTGTGCGACTTGTACGACTCCATTTCTGTCACGCAAGCCGTTATCTTCTGTAACACCAGAAGAAAGGTCGAGACCCTTACCCAACAATTGACCGAGAACAACTTCACTGTCTCTGCTATCCACTCCGACTTGAGTCAGCAAGACAGAGACACCATCATGAACGAGTTCAGAACGGGTTCTTCCAGAATTTTGATTTCTACCGACTTGCTGGCCAGAGGTATTGATGTTCAGCAGGTCTCGTTGGTTATCAACTACGACTTGCCATCCAACAAAGAAAACTACATTCACAGAATCGGTAGAGGTGGTAGATTTGGTAGAAAGGGTGTTGCCATCAACTTGATCACCAGAGAGGACACTGAGATGCTCAGAGAAATCGAAATGTTCTACTCCACTCAAATTGTTGAAATGCCTTCAAGCATTAACGACTTGTTCGATTGAACTAATAAGACTTGAACTATCAGGTTTGCGCCTTTACATGTGAATTTATATAACTTGTGTAAGACTCAAGCATGCACGAGGTTAGTGATTTATTTATTTGTTTCTTTTATTTTCTCCGTTTCTTTAGACTCCTCCCCTATCTTGTCCTTCGACGCTGGTGCCTCTGGCTCCTTCAGTCTCTTCTGTTCATCCTGTTCGTCTCTCTTTTCCTCATATTCATCCAAATTTATATCGTCTTTCAGACCAGTCTTCACATTTTTGCTTCGTAAATTCTCTTCCTTGATCAACTCGTCTTGCTCTTTGAGGATGCTTAGCTTCAATGCGTCATCATCCTGAAACATTTCGAGTTTAGCGACATTGTATAATTCATCTGGAATAGAGGATAGAACTGCCAACAGTGCGTCATAGTAGCTTTCGAAACTGTCAGCATGTTCACCATATGTGAACGTGGAGGAGAGAATAAGCAAAGAGGATGGAATCTTTTGTCTCAATCGAAGGTCCAACCAAATCCTCAAGTCATCCCGCAAACGCGCTGGAGACGTACCAGTGGTTTTGATTCCACGTGAGGCACATGCAGTTTTTAGCTCCGGGACGGTAAGACTGTCCACACCCTCGTAGTCTATGGCACGGTCGTCCTTGATGATTTGCATAAGCTTGTGTCTAATTTGGTATCTCAAAATCTCATCTGTTCCATATGCGGACATTCCCATATACCTTGACATGGCCACCAATTGCGGACGTGAGAGGTTATCCAGAACTTGGTCATTCTTGAAACACCTCGCTATTTTTATCAATTCCTCGTGGCTGGGCTTTGCTCCTCTGTGGATTGTTTTGAAGAATTTAACGAACAGCTCTTTATCAGCCTCATCTATCTTGGTTGGCAAAATTAATCCGCTTTCACGAAAAGTCTTCTGGATGAACTCCGATGCCTTTTGTCTGGTGTTGGCCAAATTGGATGTCTTCCGTTTTCGGTCCTTCTCTGACTCGTATGTGGAAGGCAGCATGTTGGGAAACAATTTGAGAGCCACTGGCAGCAAAAGCTCTGCAAAAGGAACCAGAATGAACACAGAGAAAGGCACTAGTCTAAGGATATCTGTCGTTGTTCTGGTCAATTGCTTGGTCTCTCTTCTGGTCAATTCGTAACCTGCGAGCATCTTGATGAGCAGTTTTGACGAAACTTTGATTTCAAAACCTAGAAGTTTCGTTCCGTGCCAATAATGTTGCACTTCCTTCATGATCTTCTGACCCAAAGTAAGCTTTGGTGGCGAGTCTTCCGTTTTCGTCAACCGTTTCTCGTTCGACTCCTGCTCAGTGGTCGAGTACATGCGAATGCTCTGATATTTCTGTACTCTGTATAATATAATGTGTGGATTGAAAGCACGCACGGGCCGAAGCCCAAGTGGTCGTCCAATCTTGAGCATGATAACTAGATAAATAAATAATTTTGATATATTTTTTTGTCATTCCAGCCCCGGATCTCTTGATGTAAGCCGAATGATTTTGGTGCCTTCTGGCTGAGCTCGAATTGCCTCAGTTATCACCGAGCAGGCATGCATGATCAATTCCATACTGGGAACGCAGATCAATGGGGAATCAGCTTGTCAAGCAGTGTGTCGTTCTTCTGCCCGGTTGCTCTACGGTGCAAGGAAGTGCTAGAATTGCTAAATAACAATTCCTCTCTCCCTTTATCATGAACTCAAGCATGCCTGGATCTTTTCCTGGGTCCTATGACTCTATTTCGGAACCGAGAGACTCCTCTTTGATGGTGGCACAAATCATCAAGGTGCGAAATAGTTTCAAACAGGAATTTATGGACATGCTGAACATACTTTTGTTACTGGAGCTGATAGTCATTTATCTCCAAGATCAATCATTTTTCAAGCTGGTGATCAGAGTTTCGCTTCAACTGTTTCTTGCAGGCGTCAATTCTCATACCTTGCGCCAATGGATCGAGTACAATCTATTATCGACAGGACAGACAGTCACTGAAGAAGCATTAACGACCCAGTTCATCTATTTCCAGAAAGCAGTCCTGGTGGAGGTGATCTTGATCAACAGCATAGCGCTTGCAGACCATCTTTTCTTTTACCGCGATCATAGTCGACTACCAGATATTCCGCGTGATTCGCTAGTATCGTATCTGAATCTGCACACACAATACAGCATCGAGTTCTACGAGTCCAAAAACACGTTCCGCTACAACTCTATCTTCATAAACATCATAGGAGAGGCTAGACCCACTAATAGAACTGGACTGGTTATCTTAGACGCTCTAGTATTTTTGGGGCAGTACATTACGTACAGTCTGATCTATTGGCCCGAAAAATCAGAGCCCCCCAAATTGACCACAGAGCAGTCTTTGTTGCTACGCGAAAACGAAAACGAAATGCAGACGGCTGTAACGATATTCAATGTGGAACTATTTCCAGCAACCACGTTTACAGGTCTTTGGAGCCGCTTGACAATGTAAATATAGCATCAATAATCAGCCTTATGGTGTGAGGAGGGAACTCCCATTTGCTTTTTTAATTTTGTGGTCTCCAGGGCATTCATTCTTTCTAGATCGGAATTCAAGGGACTATTCTTTTGTTGCGGATTGAACAAACCGTCTTTCCAGTAAATTCCATCTGTTCGTGTCCCTCGACTGTGACTATTGTGACCTCCACCCCTGCTCTGTTAGACGAGAATCAGGAACGGCGTACGTTAGATCCGGTGTCAACAACCATGAGCTATTCAGTGGCGTCAACACCGGAGGGTGCTGCGCAGAGTGTTTACGAGGCATCACTTGACGGACAAAGCGATTACTTTGGCCAAGCCGATTTGTATGATGTCTCCAACAGGCTTCTTCAGTTCCATAATAAGATCCTCCCCGCTGATAACTACAATTCGCCCTACTACAATCCACTAAACTCTACTGATGAGCCGAAACCGGTGGACAAACTGATCAATCGGTTTTCAATCTGGAAAATGATTATCAAGCAATTGATCTTCTACTTCAAAGAGATCAGCATATTCAAGAAGCAAACATACCTCGGTAATAAGGCAATGCTGGAAAATTTGGAGCTTTTGAAGAAACAGACCAGCGGCAAACTGAAATTCAAAGGATCTGCATCAAAGAATCTCCGCCAGTCTTTGAGTTCGACCAGTTTGAATCAGCCGGATCAACACAACGCTCACCAAGAAGCCATGCTTAACAAATTTGTGCAGACGGCATTTCTCCCGGTAGGAGATCTCTCTGTTCTTTCGATCTCTAGCACATTATCCAACTATCACAACAGCTTGGCTGAAAAGGAGCTGATAACCCATAACCAACTCACTTTGAAAATCATCCCGCGCTTGGAAAACTTGAAAGAAAGTTTGAACGAAACGATAAAACAGATTGCGTCATTAAAGGGTTCTAGTGATTTCAAAACTTCTGATCTCAAATATGAGATAACAAAGACAGGAGCAATTTTAGCTGATTATGTAACGTCCGTTGAGCTGCTCACGAAGGGCGAAACAACTACCTGCCTTGGCTCGCATCTCAAATTCACCAAACTGGAGCCCAAAAAGGACCCTTATTTACTGCGGCTGAAACTTGACCTCCAACTCAAAGACCAACTTTACGCTGAAGCACACCTGAAAGAAAGTTTTTATGATCTACAACACAAGAGCGTTCAGCTGGAAAGTATCTTGTATACTGAAGTCCAGAACTGTGTTCGCAACTTTGTCAATTTAATCAATGCTGAGCTTGATGCTGCAAAAGATAATATGGTGAGCGAGTTCATGAACGGATTTCTGAAAAACGATTTTGGCATTGATTGGGATTATTTCATTATGAATGACAACGCAAAGAATCTTTTGAAACTCTCTGCAAAGGAGTCGTTGATAAACGCCAAACAGATCAGGAAAAAATCGGATATTCATTATCCTTATCAGAAAGAGAGGATCAGCTCAAGTCTGATATCGGGATTTTTGGAAAAGAAATCAAAGTATCTGAAGAACTATTCAAAATTCTACTACGTGCTCACGTTCAACTTTATGCATGAATTCAAAACTGAGGACAGGAAGAAGGAAATGCATCCTTTGAACTCCTATAGTTTGGACGATATGAAAGTGAGTGCATCGCCAAATGATCCAAGGAAATTTATTGTCCGGATGAATTCAAGCAAATCAATTGAGTCCAAAACCAAATACACTTTCAGATGTCCTTCTCCAGAAATTGCATCAAGATGGCTGGAACAGCTTACGGAACTGTGCTCGCTGAGTAATCCTCTAGAAAGAAACAACCCAGCTAACACCGCATACCTTGCTCCATATTCGAATACTCCGTCCGTTGTTAACATGAATGCAGCTGACTCTAGTTCGTCTAGAGATGATGGCACATTTGTTTCTGGAGATACCAGCACATCTCAGAGCCAAATGTTAGAGAACAACCATTCTTCGTCGTCTTTGCATCTCCCATCGTTCCATTCGGTCAAGAAACTTAATTCACCCGAAATTCCGGCTCAGTCTGGACACAAGAAAAGCAACAGCCTATCTTCACTTCCGGCTATCAGTGCAGGCTCACCATCTTTGTATAGGCATACTTCGTCCGGAAGCTCAACTACTCAAGCCTCCGAAGCCATGTCATTACACTCGACCACTCCAACCTCCCCACCAAATGTGTCTGGAAGTGCAGCCAAAATCATAATCAATTCTCCAGATTCCACCACGCCTGATGAGCCTTCAGACTATTTCAATTACGCTGCACCACGGCCAAGACTTAGCAAGAGCGCCTCTACCGGAAGAGTGACGCCTCCTGCCCCCCAAGGATCACAGATTCTGCGGCCATCATCTCCTTCCCATCTGTCTCAAATAAGACAGCCTATTCAACGGTCATCCTCACCAAATATCCACAACAAGCATAACATTCCTAGCTTCCTAGGAGGTCAACAAACTGCATCCGGTTCACAAAGTTCCTCATACACTTCGATGTCTTCTACGGGTAATAACTCTCTTTCTTCTACCAAAGGCCTAGTTAGAGGCCGGGAAAGACTACAGGCTCAACTCAAAAAAGCTGCTTCCAACAACCAATCCAACCTGAACGGCGCGTTCTTGCAATTTGGAAATTCAGCCAGTGACTCCACAAACTTGTTGATACCGCCATCGGTCTCGAACCTGCCCCAAACTCCAGGTGTTCTTCCTTCTAACTCAATAGGTGACGTTTTTCCTGGAAGTGAATCACGTATCAGACCAACCCTTTCGTCATCAGAGCCATTGAAGTCTCCTGGTGCTCAGTCCCCAGAAGAATACCTCTAACGTCCAACTGAGAACGATTTTATTTCTGTCAAACATTTATAGTGCCAGTAAGCCTCACTGAGGACGATACGAAAAAAAGTAGACAAACAAGAGGATATACAGATATATATCCTATTGATAATTGATCGCGTGTCGGTGGATCGTTTGCATGTCCAATTGACCTCTAGCAATTGGTGAAAGCGATTGGTAGCTTTCGAGCATAGAAAACGCGAGACTACAGAATTTAGACTGCATCGTGGATTTGTTTATATAAAATTTGAGACAAGCATGTCCGCGAAACAGCGATCTAATAAGAAAGAGACAACCGCTGATCAAATTAACTCTTCCACCACGTTGGAGAAAGGTGGTTCTGGGAGACTAGGGAAGATTCTATCCCAGGAGGCAATCGACAAATCATCTCTTACGCAAGCGAATGGAGATTTTGAGGAAGAAGACGATGGTTTTGTTTTCAAAAGGGCGTCTCAACAACAAGTACAAAAAAAGGTCCCAGGGAAACGTGGACGTCCTCCTGGGTCGAAGAATAAGCCAAAGTCTACCGTGAAAAAGGAGCCACAAAAGAGACAAAAAGTTACTCGAAAAGCACCCGAGCCCAAAGCTCCCAAGACCAGCCTTCTGGATGAACTCGAGCAAGATTCAGTAGAGGATTCTGAAGAAGAAGATAAGATATTCTCCATGGATTCTTCTTTCCAACCACCAAAAGCCGCAAAGAAATCAAACCCTATTCCAAAGAGCAAGACATTAGAAAAGCGCTCGCGTAAGCCACGAAACAACAAAATACCTGCAAAGGAGCCCCAAAATGAGACACAACTTGGGGTAGCAACTGCCCACGATTTGATACCCGAAGCCCCTGAACGTGTTCTCCCGAAACAGTCTACTCTCTCCAAAATCTTATCTCAGGCGCGAACTAAGGAGGTCAAACCGGAATTCGAGACTAAAAAACGCAGATCGTCGTTGAGTAATAGAGGAAAACGATTGTCGTCAGTAGGCAACGGTTTTATTGCCGAGCCAGACCGCGAAATACCCGTCGAGGAACTATATAAGCATGTGTCACAAGACCTACCGGATCCGCACAAAATGAGACAACTGATGGTGTGGTGTGCTAAAAGAGGAGCAAGTAAAGCTCCCAGAAAGAAAATCAGTACCGCAGAGAGCATAGCCAATGTGATAGAAGATGAACTAATCAGAGACATAGCCGACGGGAAGATAAATACGAGTTGGTGGCTGGCAGAAGACGATGTCGACGAAGGCGACCTTGGCAGTAACGCAAACCTTAATAAGCCAATCATTGTTTTGCCCAACAAGGCCAATCAAGAAAACATGCACACGCTTGAACTGTATGAAAAGAAGCTCGCGGAACTTAATAAAGAGGAGGCCCAGTGGATGGAAGTCAGAAATATAGTTAAACTGCCCAAAATTCAGGTTGATGCACCACTACAACATGATAATCTTATACAAGAGAAACTGGGCGAAATTGTGAATCAACTAGAGTCATTGGAGTCCTACAAAGCACGACTGGACAAACTTCGTCTACTGCGTGTTCTGGAAAACATCAAGCTGATGGTGCATAAACTAAAGCAGTCTAAAAATGCAATCAACACATTGACTGAGGCTACAATCCGTGAGATATCGCGCAAGATGACTCAACTGATTGACCACGACAACGACGGCAATAAAGTGTCGTCGCTGGATTTGCTCAAAGGGTTTTCTGAGCTGGGGTAATTGTATATTAGATGTCAGGACTATAATGTATTATAGGTATTTTTTAGCGAGAAGACACACTCTGGAGTCAAATCCAGCGCTGCGGATCGGGTCATTGACGTTGTAGAAGGGGCTCAGCAGGTTTTTGACGTACAATTCGTTCACCTCTATGAAAAACTGTCGTATACTTTCGTCTTGGTTTTTCACATTTGTTGATATGATGAACTTAATGTTTCCTTGTGTGAGATAGCTATATACTTGGTAGCCATAGAATGCATCGAGGTTTTTGAAAAATATCTGGTTGTTTTTGAACTGTTGATCTTGAAGTATATCGAGTGAAGCGTTTACAATAAATTGTTGTAGTTCTTTTATCTCGACTGGAAAATTGGGTTTTCCATCGCCAGACTGCTTGTAAGTGCCAATCTCAAGTTCATACAGCGGACCATCGTTGGTTCCAATTATGGCAAAGTAGTAAGACATCAACTCAAGTAAATAAATTGTTTTTGGGTTTTGGGTGTGATTAAAAGATAAAATCTCTTAATATAAAAATGCAATGACTGTTGTACTGGATACGCAGCTCAACCTCAAAAAATACAAGCCAATAAAGGTACCTGCGGATCCAAATGGGTTTGAGTCACATAACAGTCTTCTCAGCTCTACTCTGACAAACGATTCTAATAAATATGAGGGACTGGTTGAGGAAACACAGGAGCTTCTGGACGCTCGGAAGTCGCTCGTCCATGATCTCAAGTTAAGTAGAGATCAGGCTCATGATCCAAAGATTTGTATGGAGCCTCGCTCTAAATTTGAGCCGAACATCCTCGAGGACAAAACGTTTCAAATCTGCAGGAAACGAGCGGAGAAAGTGAAAACCATCATTCAAAGCTACTACGACTTTATCGAACTCTATCAGAATACAGTGCACTACGACGATGCTGATCCTCAGACTCCACTGTATGAAGGAGTTGAGGGAGTATTCAACCCTTTGCAAATTATACGAAACCGACGTATCAGAAAGAAATACAACGAAAAGCTCACGACCTTTCCTCTAGGAGACTACAAGCCACCCTCAAGAGTGTTTAGCAAATACAACAAGCAGCATCTCATCTGGCAAGTAAACCTTAACGAATATTACAACGATATCACTTGGAGAGAAAAGCACTGGCATGAATTGAAGAGGCCAAACGGAGAACTCTGGTTTCCTAAGCTAGACAGCGCAAAGCAGACCCCACAGAAAAACAGACGGCTGAAAAGCCTTCATGAGCAACTGTTTGTTGGATTTGATGGCGAGTTCCACAAGGAAGACGATGACAGCTCCGGGGACGATCGACGTCTCAGTTCGCTTGCTCGTGTGAACGAAAGCTCTGCATCTCTTGCTCGACTAGAGCACTATCGATTAAACAGTTTAAAACGCACTCCTGGCCATACTAGATCCTTGAAGAGTGACGAGGATTTTGATACCCCTTCTTCGCGCAACTCAAGTATAGATAAGCTAAGTTTTCTTTTTCAAGGTGGAAAATCGAGCGAATCGCTGTCCCCATCGCATCCGACAGAAAGTGATGAAACAGCAAACTGCGATGATCTCTCGGAGCAAAAAAGGATGGTCAAAGGCCTCCAAAGCAAGCTCGCTCTTGCAGAGTCGAGGATCCGCATCGCAGACTATCATCGGGAAGACATTATTGCCGCCAAAGGCCTTGACATCCAAAAGCAGCTCGAATCATTCGAGTCCACCCAAGCGCAAACTAGTCAGATATCGCAATCGCTGCAAACAACCATTAACAAGGTCGACGCCATCTTGGACCGATTCAATCAATTCAACAACGCCAAATCGTACAAAATTGAAGAATTACTGGGTTATTGTGACAGGACAAACGGTGAGATTAATACATCAATCACTTTGAGGATAAGGAATATACAGGAGAAGAAAGATCAGCTTTCAAACACCAACGATGAATGGTTGTTCCAGCTCGTGTACTCATGCTTGGAGAACTTGATTGTGTTGGCACTCTGGATCATTTGGATCATCGTCGAGTTTTGGAGACTCATCAAGCGCATCTTTTTAATTTTGATGAAACTTTTAAAATTCATATTTCTATAGCAGACTATTGATTATTTCTTTCCAAATCCTCCAGTAGATCCGAATCCCCCTTCACCTCTCTCAGTAGTCTCTTCTTTCCATTGCTCGGTGGTCAACTCGTTGACCTCAGCCATCACAATTTTCTCGAGTATAAGCTGTGCAATGCGGTCACCTTCGTTGATTTCAAAGTCTTTACTGGAGTGGTTGAAAAGAACGACTTTCACTTCTCCACGATAGTCAGCATCAATGACTCCGGCACCTGTTGAAATCCCATGTTTGACTGCAAGTCCAGAACGAGGAGCAACGCGTCCGTACGTACCTTCGGGGACAATAATGCTGATGTCAGTAGCCACCAGGCCTTGGCCGTGTCCAGGAATCACTGCCTTCTCAGAGGAGTATAAGTCATAACCAGCAGCCAATGCAGAACCTCTAGTTGGTGCTTTGGCTTTCGGAGAACGGAGATACACTTTCAGGGGCTGCATTATCGGTTCCAATTTCTGTCTTTTGTTAAGATGGTTATCTGAAGACATGACACGAAAAACTTGAAAAGATGATTTTGACGCGTGCAAGTCTGAACTAACTGTATTTGTATCCACAGACCATTTCAACCGTTCCAGGTTCCTTGGCCCAGTTGGTTAAGGCATCGTGCTAATAACGCGGGGATCAGCAGTTCGATCCTGCTAGGAACCATTTTTTTACATCATTTAACTTGAAAGCAGAAGAGCGTAATTTTTGAGCTATTTCTTATGTCCATGGAACCGATGAGACAGGTACTTGTATGCTTCCTTCTGGTTAAGAACCCTACCCTTGTCGTCTCGATAAACCAAGTTAATTTTCGACCCGTCAGATCTTGAGGTGAGCTCTGCTCTGTCTTTCAAAAGCTTGAGAGTGCGAGAAAGTCCCATATTGGCATCGACTTCGTCATGGAGCACAGCGAGTTTTTCAGAAACATGAGTGAGGCTGGAGCTGGGTTCTGTCGTGTCAGCCACATCTTCAACCTTTTCAGTTTTTTCGACGGTGTCGTCACCGTTGAGCTTCTCCAAGAAATCTGCGTCTTCATCCAAAACCACGGCCCCTTCTTCCTGTTGGCGTTCTTCAATCGCTATAGGTCTGGATTGTTGTCTTTGTTGTCTTGAAGCAGACAAGAATTTGTTCAACTCGATGTCATCTTCCTTTTCCAAATCCTCATTGATCAGCTTCAGTCGCTGAAAATTAGCTTCCTTCAGCTCTTCTTTATCACTCCGCTTGTTTCTAACCTTACTTTTTAATCTCTTGATTACTGGGGCATTATAGTCAGATGACTGAGATTCCTGCTCGTCATCATCCAAGTCCAATGAAACAAGTTTCTTAGTTTGCTTTTTTGGAATTATTTTCTCCCCGAGTCTGAATACGTTATCCTGCTCTTTATTATCGCTGTCCTTGTCCCCGTTCACCTGATTCCCCAGAAATTCTTTTACTCGCCTGCGGTTTGCAAGATCATGACTTTCAAGCTGGTCTTCTTCTTCCTCAAACACACTCCTGTCTTTTAAAGTGAATACCACTTCTTGGCTTTCTCCAAGGAGCTCCGCATAATCCTCTTTACTATGAGCAACGCTTACACCCTGTAGATCATCATCCTCCAATTTTGCCTTTCTCTTGCGTGCTACTTTTACTTGCTGTGAAGTGCCCAGCTTAGCGAGCCACTCATCGTCGGTATTCTCTTCCTTGTCTAATCTCGCTAGAAGCGTTTCCCCTGATTCCAGCTTACGCCGATGAAGATCGCTCTTGGTTTTGGCTATTCGCTGCTGCAATTCATCTAATTGTTTTTGCTTCCTGCGTTCATCCTCCGCTCTTCGATAATTTTCATACTCCGGGTCATTATCTGCTTTTTCTGATGTGATCAAAGGCAGTCCTAAATGTGATCGTATCTTGTTCGTTTCATCTAAGTCATTGTCCTCTCTTTTATCTCCTGAAGGCCTATCATTTGTAGAAATCAATGGAAGACCCAATTTTGCCCGTAATTGGTTCGTTTCCTCAACAGAAAGGGACACTTCCATGGCTGAACACTAACTAGGTCAGATTATAAAAAAATATATAGGAGTCGATCGACGCGACTCTCACTCTTGCTTACTAAGATGGCCCCGAATAGCAATATTCTATGCACGCCATAGTCTACTAGAGGAAAGGCGGTTCCCTAAATTGGTTTAACATCTACGTTTTCTTCTCAATTGAGTTCATAAAGAATGGTTCACTACATTATTGACGAAAGCGACCCTAAAGAATCTGGACTGGAGGCTCCTTACATCAAGCTGTACTCTCAGGCTACTCCGAACGGCCAGAAAGTGTCGATTCTGCTTGAATTACTAGGCCTTGATTATCATGTCCGCAAAATTGATATCATGAAAGGCGAGTGTAAGGAGGATTGGTATCTCCAATTCAATCCTAACGGAAGAATACCTTCTCTTACCGATGTTTCCGCCAATGGAAAAGTGACCCATGTGAATGAGAGTGCTGCCATTATGATGTACCTTTGTGACAAATACGACAAGGACAGAAAATACAGTTATGAATACGGTACTGACTTGTATTACGAGCAATTGGAGTGGGTCTTCTTTCAAATGGCTGGTCTGGGTCCAATGAAGGGCCAGTACCACCATTTTGTGTACTACGCTCCGGAGAAGGTTCCATACGCAATTGAGAGATATAAAAATGAGACAATTAGATTATTCTCTGTTTTGGAAGAGAGACTTGCCCGCAACAAGACAGGTTATCTAGTGGGTGATCACCTGTCAATTGCCGATCTCTGCTCCTGGCCTTGGATCAACTCTCGCAGATTAGAAGAAGTTGAGAATTTCCCAAGACTCTCTCAGTGGCTTAGAAACATTGGAGAGATCGAGGCCGTCCAGCGTGGATCCAAGATCCCTGAGTAGAATAAAAAAGATTCTGTTATCTCTGATTGCGTACAATTGTATTTGCAAATGTCTTCCAGTCGAGTCCGGACAACAGTGCTTGTGCTATCGGATTGCAGTAGAAACTTTCTGCCCGTCCTCTGATGTAATTTTCCGCGTTGTATGGGTCTAGTCCAGGGGACTTGAGCTGCGGTACGCTAAACTTGACAAATATCATGGGGACCATGCTTGAGTCAAAATTTGCGAGCCCGACTTTCGTGGCACCTGTAGGAGTGACAAACATGACCAACGCTCTATTTTGTAGCTTTTCTCTAGCAAAGAAGTCTGCAAATGTCCCTGTGAGCTCACGGACCATTTTAGCGTCCATTTTGCTTCGCTTCCAGCATTTGCATTGCACGTACAAATGCACTTTGAAGGCATCATTCTGTTTTTGCTCAACAAATGGAACAACGTGCTTGAGAGCAGGGCCCAAGTAGGAGTCTGCAGGCTTTTCAGGTTCACGTTTCAGCTGCTTCAGGTTCCAGGTGGCTTGCATATCTATCCCTCCATCGTTGGCACCTCCTTGGAGTACTATTCGTTTCAAATTTAGGTGATGAGCAAGGAAGTCTGCAAATGATATTTCGTACAAAGATCCCCTAAACACTGTTGATTTCGGAGACGTTCCAACGACCTGCGCGTAAGTAAGATACGACTCTACCGAGTTGAAGCCCGGAGCGGAAATGACCTTCGTGCTCAGCTTCCGCACAGGTAGTGAAAATAACATGAAAGATTTTCAACACAGCGTGATCTAAGATATAAATGCTATTTACTGTTTGACTAGTTGGCCGATCTTGCGTTCGATGCTGTCGTAAGTTCGGTTGAGAGCCTTATCTATTTTTGCCAGTTCGTCTAGCGCGTCGTTCAATTCGGAGCTCAATTTCTGTGTGATCTCGGACACAGACAACTGCGGCTTGGGTGCCTCTTTTAGGTCCACACGTAGACCGGGTTCACTGGAGACCGGTTCGTTGGAGGTTGGTGTGTTTGCATTATCGCTTGTCTCAGACATGTTCCAAAAAGCACAGCCGAAGATTATTTTTTTATTCAGATGGTACACAAAACCAAAAACCAGCTCCGAAGGGAACGGGCGAAACAGAGGAAGGGCTCGCTTGGGACTGTCCAGCGGCAGCTTCCCGAAATCAAGACCGACGTAGAAGGGGCGGAAGCGCCGGACTCCCCTGTGGACGTCGTTGTGGAAGACGCCCCGGTAGACGGTTTTGCTGACTACCAGGCTATCTTTGATAAATTCAACAAGCCAAAGGAATCACCAACTGGGGACGGACATGAAAATGAACAGAAAACAGAAGAGACGAAGTCGGAGTACGAGGGTTTTGAGAAAGATGATTTTCCCGAGCAGCTGTCAAAACGTCAGTTCAAGAAAAAGTACCAGATCCCATTGGCATACTTGAAAGCTGAGTCGGACAAGCCTGAACTTTTGGAGATGGCAGACGTTAACTCTCCAGACCCGCGACTTTTGGTGTATCTGAAAACACTTCACAATGCGATTCCTGTTCCGCAACATTGGGGCGCCGCTAAAGGCTTTTTAATGGGCAGAAGGAATTACGACAGGCCTCCTTACCAGTTGCCCAAATTCATTGCTGATACGGGAATTACACAGATGAGGAGCTCTATGAATGATAAAGAAACAACCCTGAAACAACGAATGAGAGAAAGAGTTCAGCCACGCATGGGTCAACTGGACATCGATTTCAACAAATTATACGACGCATTTTTCAAAAACCAGACGAAGCCGGACCTCCTGCGCTATGGAGAAGTCTATTTTGAAGGTCTGGAGAGCATCGAACTCCTTGGTCCATTCAAAGTCAGCAAATACCGTCCTGGTGTGATGAGTGCTCGGCTCCGTGAAGCTCTGGGCATGGTTGGACCTAAATCGAGATTGCCCCCATGGTATGAGAAATTTCAAAAGCTTGGACCGCCGCCAGCCTATCCTTATATGCGTATCAACTCAGACGGGACGGTCTCTTTTGACAACGACCAAAGAACTGTGGTAAACAGAGCAGAGCCTGTGGATCGCACCAGGTGGGGTGAATTGGAAGAAATATATGAAAGTGAGAGCGAGGAGGAAGCAGATCAAAGGGAAGAGGAGGAAGACAAAGAAGAGCGCACCTCACGAACTGAAGCAGAGTCGGATTCAAAGTACGTCGCTTCTACAGGAGATGTGTTCATTAATAGTCTTGAAGCTAAAAGTGTTCCATTAAGCAGCCCTCAAACACAGCAGAGTGCCAACGAAAATGAGGATGGGCGCCCTAAGAAGCTCTACACAGTTTTGAGGGAGAAAAAGGGCGGGCAGCACGAGAGCATCTATGGCTCTGAGACTCTCGCATACGATCTGAAACGCACCGGAGACGAGGAGTCTGTGCAACCTCCGAAGAAGCGCAAGGAACTACACACTCACGAAAAAAAGGAAGAAAAATTCAGATTTTGACTCCAGTGTATAATAGATAGTCGGCATATATATATATATATCAACGGCTTAAGTAATTTTTTTTAGCCTTTATTTATTTGATGTCCAAACGCAAGAGAATAGCACACGCAGATGAGACATCTGACGAGATGTGCGTTGATACAGAGTCCAATCCAGAAGTTGGGCTTACATCCACGAGTGCAGTCACAATTGAATACGCTGTCACCCAATTGCAGCAGAGCATCCGTCAGATAATCAAGGAGTCGTTGAATACTGAACAGCTGCGCAACTGTCTAGCCAACATACAGAAACAAAGCGATGGAAAAGAGGTCATGCTCGCTGTTGAGCGAAATCAGAAGCTTCAGCTCGCTGCGAGGCTGAAAGACCTCTATGAAAACGGAAAGCTAAAAATATTTGAGCAAATAGCAGATTTTAATGAGAGCATAAAGTTGAAGGGATCAAGCAAAGTGAGGCTCAAAGTCAAAAAGCAAAAGCTTGATACAGAATACAAAACGGATTCACCCAACATGGACATGCCTCCGCTCCCCAAAATCGAGGACCCGGTCATAGAAGCCAGAGTCTTTACACATCGTTCTGCAATCAGTAATAGTAAACATCTTTCCAAGAAGGAGATTTTGGAGTCGAACAACGAGCGATTAGAGTTCTTGGGAGATTCGATCATTAACAGTCTCGTTACGCAGATACTATTCGAACGATACCCAAGTTTCGACGAGGGAGAATTATCCATTTTACGTTCTCAGCTAGTCAGTAACAGCTCTCTGGGCGAATTCTCTGAGAAGTACGGATTTCCTGAAAAGCTGGTTGTGAACTTTGCGAAGGATGCTGCGTTCCAGAAGGGTAAACACAAGATTTACTCAGATGTCTTTGAAGCATATGTTGGCGGGCTTTGCGTGGATAGCAACTACTCAAACCTAGACAGGATTAAAGAGTGGCTAGATCAACTCATCACACCGCAGCTTTCCAAGCTAACTGAGAGATTCAATCTGAAAAATATCAACAATGACGCAAAGGCGCAACTGTACGCTCTCATAGGTTCAGCCGCACTTCATCCACGCTATGTCACCAAACGGACAGGAAACGGTTTTGATGTTTCTTTTGTTGTTCAATGTATGATTGGTGATGAAATAATTGGAGAAGGAGAAGGACCCAACCTGAAACAAGCCGGGCTTAGAGCTGCAGAAGATGCGTTGAGCAGGAGGGAAGTCATTGAAAAGTACGTCAAGCTGCGGGAAGCCACCCCGAAGGAAGTTTCTGTTGTTCCGAATACCATACAGGAAAATACCAAGGTGAATACACAACAGCTGAAACCACAACCAGAAAACGATAATATAACTCTACCGGCACGGGTGCCGCAGTCAGAGGTGGATGCGATGTCGTCCGACAAGCTCTACGCTATTTTGTCAAAAAGCAAGATTTTGCCAGTCTACAAAACTGTTACCAGAGGTCATGAATTTGAGACCACTCTACTGATAAACAACGTGGCAGCCTGTATATCATCTGCTCCGAGTAAGAAAAAGTCGAGAAATCAATGTGCTGCATTTGTTCTCGCCCACCCCGGAATTCTGCCCCGTTGTCACGCGTTCGTTGATTGAAAGATTGATGTCATAGTAATAAATAATGAGAATAAATAGAGACATTGGTGGGCTCATGTGATACCTAGGTAAAGATGAGCGTTCTCGTCCTGGATCTTCTCAATCTTGGGTCCGAAGCTCCCCACACATTGGGCCATGGTTTTGGAGTTTCTAGAAATGACGTCCGTGAAATAGAAGTTCTCTATAGGATTCTTCAAGGTATCACCTTTGATAGCACCCACTTTGACGGTGGCAGCGTTATTCAAGCTCAAAGTGTAAAGTTCGGTAGACGTGGGTTCAACAACGTCGTAGTTCACCAAATGTGGAGCAATGTTTAACATTCTGGACCTCAATTGCATTTCGTGCTCATACGGTAGCCCAAGACCCACGTATTCGCTTATGGCTTTTATAATTTGCCAATCTTGTCTAGCAGAACCTGGAGGTCCAAGAGCCGCACGGGTAAGTTGAGCACGGCCTTCAGTGTTAACGTAAGTCGCGCTCTTTTCGGTGAATGCTGCCCCCGGGAGAATCACATCTGCCAAAGAAGCACCAACATCTCCGTGAGAACCAATGTAAATAACAAACGAATCTTTAGGGATGGTTGTGGGATCAACCTCATCTGCACCCAACAAGAAAACAATCTTTGAATTAGCTGACTTCACCTTGGGGCTTTCGGTGTAGAATCCAATGTCCAAGGCACCAGTTCTAGCTGCTTCTCTGTGGAGTAAGTTGATTGCTTTCCAATCATCGTTGTTGAAGTTTGGTTTCCCGGCAGCGAATAAGGAAAGGATCTTCTGAATTGCGAGCGAGTCCCTATTTTCTAACACACCGGAACCAACGATAACCATGGGATTTTGGGCATTCGCTAGCTTATCACCAAGTTTACCTTTTAATGCATTGACCAAATCATTCGCAGAAGACCCAAAGTATTCGTATTCAAAGGTAGAGTCAAATTCTTCACCAATCAAAGAAGCCTCCATGTTAGAGTTAAGCCATCTATTCCTCAACTTTGCGTTTAAGCAAGGCGCCTCGTGCCTTGGGTTCGTGCCAATCAAAAGCAGTTGATCGCATTCGTCAATGCGCTCGATGGTCGAATTGAACAGATAGTTAGAGCGGAAATCAATCGATGGAATATTGGTGATGGGAACATCAAGACTTAGGTTTTCAGAATTCATTCTGTTGATCAAATCTTTCAGAGCAACCATACTCTCAACGTCTGCCAGAGCTCCAGCAATTCCTTTGACCTCATTTTCGGCCGGTTTCAGTTGTTCGTATTTCTCCTTGATCAGGCTCAACACATCGTGCCAAGTCGCGTCGGCAAACATGTGATCCACTTTGATCATTGGCTTAGTCAGTCTTTGAACTGAAAGTCCATCGTAACTGAATCGGGTTTTATCACTTATCCACTCCTCATTGATCTCGTCGTTCAGTCTAGGAAGAACTCTCATGATTTCAGAACCCCTGCTGTCCACACGTATAGCAGAACCCAAAGCATCAGTCACATCTATTGTCTCAGTACGCTTCAATTCCCAAGGCCGTGCCTTAAAAGCGTAAGGCTTCGAAGTCAGAGCTCCGACAGGACACAAATCAATCACGTTCCCACTCATTTCGGAGTTCACGTTTCTCTCCACATAAGTGCCAATCTGGAGATCATTGCCTCTACCGGTGCTTCCCATTTCTGGGGCCCCAGCAACGTCGTTCAAAAATCTCACACATCGAGTACAGTGAATACATCTGTTCATCGACGTCTTGATCAACGGGCCAAGGGCCTTGTTTTCGACAGCTCGTTTACCAGACACCTCATGAAAACGGCCTCTGTCAGAACCGTACCGGAGTGTTTGTTCTTGGAGATCACATTCTCCACCTTGGTCACACACAGGACAATCAAGAGGGTGGTTGTACAGCAGGAATTCTGTAATTCCTTCCCTAGCTTTTTTCACCTTTTCAGAATTCGTGAGCACGGACACTCCATTCATAACCGGCATGGCGCAGGCAGCAGCCATTTTGGGAGACTTCTCAATCTCAACAAGACACATACGGCAATTTCCTGCAATAGCCAGTTTGTCATGGTAGCAGTATCTTGGGATCATGATACCAGCCTTATCTGCCGCTTGAATGATTGAAGACCCTGCCTCAATTTTCACACTAACACCATCAACCTTGATTTCGACATCTTGGAAACGGAACCCGCTCGTACTGAATCTTCGATTACCTGCTTCCCCACATTTCCTAAGGAAAAATGCCCAAGACCGTGAGCCCAGTATTGTTCGCTCCCCAAACATGGCCTATTATGATTGGAAAACGATATGTAGTACTATCTACCAAAGCTTTTTTGAAGAACCACCCAAACAAACCAGACTAACAACAAAGCTGGTTCCCTTTTTACTCCTCATTTTTATTTCTAGCACAACGTTTTAGGGGTAGATATAAAATCGACGCGCCGATCGACGCTCACGAAACATACTCTATTTTTTGACTTTCTTGAGGTCTCGCTCCTCAGAGTCCGTCGGTTCCACCGACACCTGCCGGCTGTCATTTTCAGCACCCGCCACCTTTTTATGAGCAGGTTTGCGTTTCAGCGAAGCAGGATTCTCGGCCTCTCTGGTGATGGCCAAGAGCAGCGTTGCAACCCTTCTGCTGAGTTCGATGCTCGATCTAGACTTGAAATAGAAAGCGCACCGAAACTCGTTTTCCCTCATGATGTCAGCTTTGATCAAATCATACAAATTCTTCCTGCTCAGTCCATATTCGTTGACTTTCATCAACAAAAAGCGGTCCTCTGTTTCCGTATAAAGTCGCTTCGAATTGTTGGGAGGATATATTATGTTCATTTCTTGCAGTGGGGCATCATATTGTCCCACCTTCTCAGAAAGAATCTCTTGCTGCATCAAAACCTTCTGTATTTTTTTCTCTCCCTGTTCAATTTGATTGACATATTTCTCCCAACCGTCAATTTCCTTGTACCGTTGCCAGAAAACCTCACTATAAGTTTTGACATCGTCAACCGATTTGGTTCGCAGATCTGCAGCAATGGCCGCGTAGCTTTTGGATCCATGTCTTGCACAGCTATGAACAAACGACAAGAAGTCTCTCTTGTTCCAGTTCGCAAACCCTTGAGTCAGCAACTCTTCCTTCTGTTTCTGCTCTTCTTCAGTTAGCTCTTCAGCATTGTCAATTTTTTGTTGCTCTTCTTGCTGCCTTTGCTTGCTTTTCTCCATGCGCTCACGCTGATCAGTCTTTGTTTCGTCATCACTGGCCACAAACTCATCTTCGCTGTCTAAACCGTCTAAAAGCGGAGCTTGGTAGCCGATCTTTTTTTTGTATGCGAGCTGCTCTTTCTCCAACAAGTCTTTCAACTGAGGAGGGTAGAACTGGAAGTCTTGGATGTTATATTGCTTAGGTCCTTTATAAGGGGACGGACGACCGTTTTGCAACACATCCTTGTAATAGTTATCGATAGAGTACTGATGTTCTTTTCTCTGCCTTCTGCTTGGATTCACCCACAAGTTTATAGTGGAATGCTCCTTCTTGGCAAAATTCTCTCCATTCCATTCATAGGCCGAGGAGTCTGATGTGAAATTTTGTAAATCGTCTAACCCGAGCTTTGCGTACTTGTGATTCAGACTCTCTGTCTTTTGTTTTCCTTTATTCAAAATGGCCTCGATATCGGTATCCAAGCCTACAGAGTTGACCTTGTTTTTGAAGACGTCCTCCGCACCATGTTGAATCATTCCAAGCAGATCATCCTTGGTGTTACCAATGGTCTGTGAAGTGGCCTTGTTATTAGCACGACCCTGCTGGATCACCAGCTGATCTAGACGCAGCTTTTGTGCTGCTCTTTCCAAGACCTTCTCCTCTATAGCATTTTCAGTCACGAAACGGAACACCTTGACTTGCTTTTTCTGTCCAATTCTGTGAGCTCTGTCCATTGCCTGCAAATCCGCTTGAGGATTCCAGTCAGAATCGTAAAGAATAACAGCATCAGCCGTGGTCAAATTAATACCCAAGCCACCAGCCCTTGTCGTCAGCAAAAAGATAAATTTGTCAGAACCTGGCTTGTTGAAATCATCAATCGACTGAATTCGCTCCTCGTGTGCAGTGGACCCGTCAATTCGACAATATTGGTAGCCTCTAAGATAGCAGTAATCCTCCAGGATATCTAGCAATCTGCTCATCTGAGAGAAGATCAAGACCCTGGAACCCTCGCTTTGTAGCTTCTTAAGCAGCTTATCCAGCACGATCATCTTACCACTGTTGTAAACCAGATGCTCATCTGTTGTATAAGGTGGACCTGGCTCTGCACCTTCAAACAAATACGGATGGTTGCAGCACTTACGCAGCTGCATCACAATGTTGAGCAACCTTGTCTTTCCTTCTCTCTTTCCGATAGCGCCATTGACAGCATCAATATCCTTTTCGAGCAAATTTCTATACCACTTGATTTGCATATCAGTCATGCCGACGTACACATTGGTCTCGATTTTCGGTAGCAAGGATTTTTCCACATCGCTCTTGACTCTTCGCAGAAGGAAAGGAGAAAGAACCTTGTGCAATTTTTGCACAACTTTATCCTGATCTTCTTCTCCCTGACTCTCAAACCATTCGTTGAACACCTCGTCGTCACCAAAAACATCTGGCAGTATAAAGTTCAGAAGCGCCCAAAGCTCGTGCAAATTGTTCTGCAAAGGCGTACCCGTTATTAAAAGTCTATGCTTGGAGTAGAATACACGAATGATTTGGGACAACGCGCTGTCCTCATTTTTGATTCTATGGGCTTCGTCAATAACGATGTATTCCCATCTTATTTTGCCGAGTTTCGATTTTTCTCTAATGACCATCTCAAAGGAGGTAATGCAGACGTCAAAATCAGCCTGCATCAGTTTATCATTTATCAGCTCTGCACGCTCTTCTTTCGTTCCTTGAAGAACAAGAACATTCACCTCTGGTGTCCATCTAGCAAATTCTCGTCTCCAATTATCCAGAGTAGATTTGGGGACTACGACAATAAAGGGTCCGTCAATTCCCTTGTAATAGCGTAGAAAACCAAGAAACGAAATCGTCTGCAATGTTTTTCCCAGTCCCATCTCATCGGCAAGAATACCCGAAAGCCTATTTTCATACAACGATATGAGCCAGTTCAGGCCTTGAATTTGGTAATCCCGTAGTTTTCCTTGAATGTAGCTTGGCGATTCGGTCAGAACAGTAGTCTCTTCCTCGTATTCCTCGTCGTGGATCAGCTCTGCATCCTCTTCTTTCTCTGACTTGCGTCTTCGTCCCGAGGAAGCCTTTTTGTTCGGTTTTCCGCTGCCCTTCTGCGAATCAATCTGGCGAATCAAATTCATCAGTTGTTTATCCTTCGACGCGTTCAAATCAATGAAGTGCCGGAACAGATGTGTAAGGTTCAATAGATACTTGAACCTTTTAGTGCTGTCTTTGACGTCTTTCAGCCGTTCTGTTTTGGCATCTTCCTGGAGGAAGTATCTCTTTTTTCGTTCTTCCAAAGTCTCCTTCTTGTCCGGCATCGTTTGTTTATTCGCCTACAAAGAACAACTCGACTTTTCACTTTTAATTTATTGCTTTCAGGCTGTGCACTTATTTCCACCATGCGACAGCCAACCGGGGAGCAGCTTGTTTTCCACCATTCCGTGTTCACGGAAACCTGTAAGATACCATATGGCAGGGTTACGTCCTATGGTCAGATTGCGCGTCGAATATACCGGCCGCAGAATGCCAGACAAGTTGGAATGTCCCTAAAAAACCTCACCACGTACTCTAGGTTCTTTGATGATCCCGAGTTCCAGAGTTTGCCCTGGTGGCGGGTCGTGAACTCCCAAGGAATGATTTCAAAACGTGAACGGGCAGACGCAGTCAGGGAGCAGGCAAGTCTCCTTAGAGGAGAAGGTGTGATAGTTTCTGAGCGTGGTGGTGAGTACTTCGTAGATCTCAACAAGTTCGGCTGGTTTGCCGATGCCAGCGATGATGGCGAAAGTAGCGACGAGAGCGATAATTAGAGTTCCTAGAATTCAACTAAATACAGAGTATATATCATTTAACCTCAACTTTCCTCTCAGGACGACGCTGATAGTGCTTTTTGGACATCTTTTTGGAGCCGTCTCTTTGACTACTGTCTTTAGAGTTGGAGAATTTGCGGCTGTTTCGGCGAACTTGACGAGGCTTCTCGGCCTCCTGAGCCCGCTGGAGCTCCCTTTGCACACGTTCGCTTTCCTGGGCCCACCATTGCTCAAAGCGCTCCTCGTTCTGTATATCTTCGAAGGATCTCACCGGCTGAGGGTTCTGCTTCTCTTGAAGCATCTTCTCTTCTAGCAAAACACTTTCGAAAGACGGCACAGATGCAAGTACGGAAGTCTGGTCGACCAGCGTGTAAGGCTTTGAAGGAGTATCTGGAGGCGAAGCTCCCCATACATTGATATTGTTCATGATACTGGAGCTAGTAGGTGAGGACTGCTGCTGCTTGCCTCTCTTGATCCGCTCCCTTTGCGATAGTCGAGGCATATTCTTCGAGCTTGCCTTGACAACAGGGGGAGCCGGGCTGGTGGATTTGAGTCCAGGAGTTCCAGGAGAACCATAGGACTCGGCAAGCGTTAAGAAAACTCCTGCACTGGTATTAGGGGTATCCTGATGAATGGTGACAGATGCGTGGCGAGAGCTGCTGGGTGACACTGGTGGAGGCGAAGGTTTTTTCGGATTGCTGATTGAGCCGCTTTTCTGCATAGAAGTCGGACTGGATGCAGAGAAGCTGGACCTAAAGGAGGACTTCCTATTTGTGACCTGGACAAAATCCTGATCTGTCTCGTCATCTGCAATGGCATTTTCATCAAATTCTTCAGTGCTTTGCAAAACCATTTTTTGAGAGTGAAGCACCTTGGACAAAGTGCGTGGTTTCGCTGTTGCACCAGGAACGTTGGCTTTCTTTTCCTCAAGGCGTCTTGCAGATGAACGTCTTCTCCGCTCTGCCGAACCGACTTTCGGTGCTGGTGTCTGCTCATCGAATATGGGTCTGGACACATCCCAAAGCAAAGGATGAATGAAATGCGCGTTGTAACTGTCCATGTCGTCAACCATCTCGCGAATGAGCTCAGGATTCTCCGTCAGATAGAGAGCAGGTGCCTCACGGTGGTGGTTTTTGAGGGTTGCAAACCATTTCATGGCATCATTGACGGTGTTCAAAAACGCATTCTCTTCTTCTTCGATCATCTCAGCAAAACAGGGGTCAAGAAGAAGAACGTCCAAGTTATTGTACATGAACCACAAACAGTTGGCAAACAGTTTGGAAGCCCTCATGTTGTATGAGTGGCGGAGCAGGTATTGCACATTGTCCAAGCTGATGAAGTCCTTTATCAGCAGCTGGCAAATATCGCTCAGTTCGTCCAACATGAGTTGCTCAGCAGCATCCATGACATCCAGTGCGAAGTTAATAAACGAGGTGACATCGACAATTTGTTCCAAATCACCGAATAATTCATCATATTCCACACCGTAAAAGTACTTCAAAATTACCCCAAACACGATCGAACTGATTTCAGGTATCGAGGCAGAGTCCATATTCCACCGACTGGAAAACATTGTTTCAAAATATGCACTCCTGGCAACTATGAGCGGCTTGAAAACAGTCACGTCGGAGTCTTGCAACTTAATCAGACAGTCGCCCTGTAAATTCTCCAAATCACGGCGCAAAGGGTTCGCACATTCAACACGGCCGATAGGAGAGATAATACGTAACATTTTGGCTATGTTCTCAAAAGCTGCTTTGCTTTCCTGCAAATGCTTGGGAGTTTTTCCCAACGGGTAGTCTGTCCACACGTCGAGGTACTGGTCTGTGTATAAAAAGTGTAGTGCCACAAGAACCGCACAGAGGGTGACATTCCCGGTGAATTTCAGATTTCCTGGGGTACTGGTGAGCACAACACCATTACGCTCCAAACTGCCACTTTGATTAATTAGGCCGCTGAGAACTTCGCTTCGCAGCTCCAGGACTTCTCGGTGCACGTCTATATTAACACCATCAACAGAAACTGTGTAGTCATAGTACTTCCCTTTTGCGAAATCCCTCATCGTCAACCAATAATCAATGTTCTCCGACTTCAGAATCTCACGAACAACGTCATCGTCATTGATACTAGCTATCGTATCAATGCTCTCCTTCTCATGTGTCCACCTGGAGTTTTTGAAATTGACTACCATGTCATGTGATGGCGCTTTTGAATCTTCTTCAACGAGTCGCTGTCTCAATAAAGTCTCCTCTTCTCCAACGTCCAAAACCTTGGTTTTATATACAAAGTTGGTCTTAAAGCTGGTGTCCAACGACATATATGATTCATCCGCCTTGTTGACTATGACCCGACGTTGAACAGGTCGATCATCCTGAATTTCGCTCAAAGGCGACAGGCGATAGAAATCCTGGAGAATAGACGATTTGGCTAGCCTATGCGGTATAAGATCGATATCGTCCCGAATAAACGCAAATCTGGAAAACAGAGGATCAGAAACCACCCTGACAACCTTATTGAGACCAACAATTTTGGAGAACTTGAACTTCTTGGATATGTAGCCATGTGAAGACTTGGAGTCCTTCACGACAGCACGCTTGATACGTTTATATGCAGAGCCGTCTTGCACAGATATGATAATAGAGCCATCATTGCCCATGTCAACGTCTGTGCATCGCAAGTGCTCTTTTGAGGCCTTCCAGATGGTGGTGAAGCGAACACTTTTTTGGAATAAGGTATTATCTAAGCTTTTCAAATCCATATTGAGCTGCATTATATCACCGTTATCGAGCAAAAGAAGACACGAGTCGCATCCTTTTTGCGCCACCATTTTCGAGATTGACTTTCTTTGCGAAAGGACACGCGGACGGAACGTGTTGAAGGACTTCGAGTCGATTTTATTGAGCAGCGGTGGTATCACTTTCGAATGGAAGCCGTTGAGATAAAAGTGCAGCTCGTTGGTGTTGTTCAGAACAACTGTGAAACTGTCCGCAGCATAGACATGCCTGATATCCCCATAGGTGAAAGTCAGTTTCCGTGGGTTCACTTGGATCAAACCAACACCATTTTTGCCAGGAACTTTGTTTGCATTTCCTGAAGGACTAAATCCAAACTGACCAACGTTCAAACCCCAGAAATAGATCTCGTTTTTTGTATAAACCAAAGAGTGGAACTTAGAGCAACTGACTCCCAAGATCTGGCAATTTGTCTGTTTCTTCAGGTCTCCAGTGTTGACTAGCTTTGGAATAGATATACAAGCCTCTGTTTGATGAGGAAGCAAGTCAACTTGATAGCCCAATTGACCGTAAGAGTTCAAGCCCCAAGTGTACACGTTGCCGCGCTCAGTCAAACATATCGAGTGGTCATTGCTCACATCTGCAAATAAAACCCGTTCATTTTCAAAAGCGGGAATTCCAACAAAAGCGTCTTGAGGCTGTCCATTCCCCAATCCCAAACGACCACGGGTGCCCAGTCCCTTGACAAATATATTGGCTCGAGGTTCTGTGGTCAGAACAATTGAATGGTGTCTGGACATCTTGACGTCTCGAATTCTGGGAAATGAAATTCTCTCCGAAAGGCTCGGGTATATATCGCGGTCACCATATTTATACTTGAGTCTTCTCATGTCCACAAGTGCCAAATGACTTGAACTTTCACCGACATCCTTCACAGAATCTATCATTACAATATTTGAACCTCCCCTGCTAAGCTGGAATGATTTCGCAGTGCTGTTCGTTCGGAACGACAGATCTCCCACAAACCTTTTCTCAAGATTGATCTCGCCAGCGCCATATGTAGGTTCCTCCACCACCCCTTTGATCTTTGGCCGTTGCAGTTTGCCTATACTCTCAGGTACCCACTTCAGCTTCTGGATGTCGATTTCGCTACTCAAGAGGTCCAAGGGCGTGAATCCTTCGCGGTCCTTAGCTTGAAGTAAAGACTGCTTGGTAGAGATGAGAATTTGAGCAATAATAAAATTCTTGTAGAATATGGCATAATGCAAACAATTCCAGTGATTTTCAAGGTCTGTAATGGATATGTTCAAGTTAGGGTTTTTCAAAAGCTTTTCCAACAAGTATCTTTTATTTGTCAAGCAAACGACATGTAGTAAAGTTCTCCCGTATATATCACGCTTTTCTAAGTCTTGTTTGGGAAGAGTACTCAACGAGTTGGCAAACTTTTTAGGCAAGATGTGTGTGTCTCGATTAGTTGATGCAGGCCCAGGAGAAGGTGACTTTCCTTCCCGAGCAGATTTATCAGCTGCGGCAGTGAACTAGATGTTAGAGGACGGTCGCACAATCAAAGACACCAGTACTTACCTTTAAAACATTTTGGGGTTGTCCTTGCACACAAATACAGTAGTTGATTTAGGAATGGTTAGTTGCTAAAGAGAGACACACACAAGTTAAAGAAATTGATAACCCGTGGGTAGTATTTTTATTCGCATTTTAAGACAACACCCGTACACCATAAGGAGACGGTTGCAGTTGTCGATACAACTGTTCCAAACCAGCATCGCAATACAATGGTAAATCTGCTTCATACTGTCAAGACATTGAACAAGTGACCGAGTATCTTTGGCCATGGTTCTCGGGAAAAATGTATCTGTTGCACACTCATGAATGTTATTTAGGGGTTGGGGACTGAAAAATATTTTATAATGTCGTTTTTCCTAAATCAGCCCCAACTCAGCGGCCTGGAGGTGAACTCCGAGCGCATGAAGCTGGCAGAGCTTCACTATGACGCCATGAATACGACACTTAATACAATAAAGAAACAGTGCCTAATCAAATGCATTCCGGACGAGTATGGCGAGGCAGAATTGAATAAAGGTGAATCGTCCTGTACAGACCGGTGCGTAGCGAAGTTCATGCAAGCGAACCGGATCCTCGGAGAATACGCACAAGCTGTGAGATTCAACGAGAGAGACTTACGACATTACGAAGAAATCAAGCGGAAACTGGCCAAAGATTAGTGACTATGCAGTGCTTATATCGCGCATTTCAATGCTGGTGTCATCGAATAGCACGTCGTCGTCCACATCGAGATCGTCTTCAATGAGAAAGCTGTTGTCTGTGACCAACGGGTCTTCCTTAACTGGGTCGAAGAGATCCAAATGATCGTAGGACCATCGGCAGAATTTATTGTTAATCGGGAGTTTTCCGGCAAGCTTCGTCGAGTAAAATGCGGCGATTGCAAGTGAGCATCCAAAGGTAAGATCAAAGAAATAATGGTGCGTCAAGTACATCGTACTGAACCACAACCAGCACACATAGACACACCACAAAGGTGTAAACCTGGGGAACAGATAGCATAGCCAGAGAGCGTCCAAGCTCGCGCAAGCAGAGTGCAGAGATGGCAATGCACCAAAGATTAATGGCGAATTTGTGAATGCTGAGGTGTACATGTCTATTCCCAGAATCTTGTCGATTCTCGCCAGCCCTCCAGGGCTCCCCTTCATTGAATAATTAGCTTTCTCCAATCCATGCAACACTTTATACCATGGAGGAGCACACGCAAATAAAAGGTTCTGGATTATAACTCCGACCAAGTTCATGTATCCAAAGGTGAAAGAGTACAGCCTAAGTGTTTTTGGTGGTGCAAATAAGAAGATCATTGCAGCCACAACAAACGGTAATGAAAAATGTAAAATTCCGTAGGGAATCCAAGCCAACACGTCTAAAAATGTGCAAGTGTAGGATGCAAGTAGCTGGGATAGGTTATCGCCGTAGAGAATTGTTTCCATGCCCGGTAGCACTTTCACTGTAATTGGTGGCCGAAGTTGCAGCGGGATGAATTTTGAAGAGAAAAAAAGGGCCACCCAGCATAGAACAGGCAGCCCATAGTTGAAGAACTGGGACATGATGGGCACTATCACCAGAATTAGCAGAAACACAGGGATCGCAAGTTTGACCAGAAACGGAACTGGAATTATGTAGAGCACAAATGCAAATACTATGAATATGATGGCATAATGGATGTAAAGAAGAGGATTCTTCTCGGACTCACGAATGGCCTTAAAGGTGACCATCGGATTCCAGTCATGATTTAGCAATGCGAGGGTACTCCCGGATTCTCTGGACCTTCGGTATTCTTGTATAAGTTTGTACAAGACCATAGCCAGGATGTTTAGGAATTTACGGAACAAGTAGAGTAAATAATTTATCGTCCCGTCGGCAGGTCTGGGGATTAATTAGTCTTATAAAAAGATAACACCACAATCAACTTGATGAATTTAGACTTGAAAGAAGAACCAGGGGAGAGCAACCCGATCATCTGTAAGTATGAGGCACAATGATGCACTAACATATAGTTGCACCAAAGACTTATCAGTACGAAAAATTCCAATTGGATGTCTCTGATCTGGAAAGAGACCCTATTGCGCAATTTACCAAATGGTTTAAAGAAGCCAGCGAGGGTGGGTCTACAGACCCGATCCCAGAGTCTGCCGTTCTCTCCACAGCTCAGTTGCCTTCCGGCAGAGTTTCGTCTCGTGTGGTGCTATTCAAGGAGCTAGACCACCGGGGATTTATTATCTACTCCAACTTCGACACCTCCAAGAAAAACAAGGATATTCGCAGCAATCCGCACGCAGCTCTTAACTTCTTCTGGAAGGATCTGCAAAGACAAGTGCGTGTTGAAGGTATTGTGGAATTTGTCGATTATGAAACGTCTTCTCGTTATTTCAGCACTCGTCCTAGAGGCTCGAAGATCGGCGCGCATGCATCGCCTCAATCCTCTATAATCAAGAATAGAGATGAGCTCGAGGAAAAATACAAGGAGGCCGAGCAAAAGTTTTCCGAGGCCAAGGACGAGGAGATTCCCTGTCCACCAAAATGGGGTGGTATTAGAATTGTTCCGCTGGAAATCGAATTCTGGCAAGGCAGAAAAAGCAGACTACACGATAGATTTACTTACGTCCGTTCCTCCACAGACGAGCCTTGGGAGCTTTTAAGATTAGCACCTTAATTTTAGTACATTTATAAATCGTCTATTTTGAGAGTTTCTCCGTGACAGTAGCGAATTCTTGTCCCTGGATACGAGCGATCTTGAGCTCGAGCTCCGTTGGAGTTCTAGACCCGTCGGAACCAGCAATGGTGCCGGCACCCCAAGCGGAACCACCATGGACCTCATCCACATTACTGAGTTCAGCGTAGGCCTTGGCGTAGCCCAATGGCACGTAGATCATACCGTGGTGGGCGAAAGTGGACAGAGCGTTGACTGCTGTCACCTCGTTACCTCCACCAGTTCCAGTGGAGACAAAAACACCAGCAGTCTTGTGGTACAGGGCACCGGTGGCCCACAGTCCACCGGTAGCATCAATGAAAGCTTTCAATTGAGATGGGAAGTTACCAAATCTAGTTGGAATACCAAAGATAATACCATCGTATTCCTTCAGAGCATCGACAGTGGCAGTTGGGAAGTCTGGTCTCTCAGGAGCATGGAGCATTTTGAGGAGCTCAGGGGTGAGAGTCTCTGGAACTTGCAAGATGTCTGCGGTGGAGCCAACAGACTCGATACCCTTAGCGACTTCCTTAGCGAGTGTGGCAATGTGGTGGTAAAGAGAGTAAATAACAATTGCGATTTTGGCCATGACGAGATATGAGTTACTGGTTGAAAGACTAGTGGAATGCTGGCGACTTTATATCCTTGGTGTACAGCTGCGCGAAATTTCCAAAAAATAGTTCAGCACCGTGGCTCAAAGATCATGTAAGCATTACTAAAAGAACGGCGAAATGCACTAGAATTTTCTGTATAGGGCCGCGCACCTTAGTAAGCATTACAAACAATAGATGGTTCAGACTAAAAATCGGGCGGCGCTTTACTAAGATTGTCTCAAGAGACGTGGCCCTATAGCCGACCTATTCAGCCATATTTATTCGAAAAACAAAACCACAATTTGTGTTTGCAATTTTCCAGCATGGCCAAGTTTGCAATCATCACGTACTCCACATACGGCCACATTACCACACTGGCCAAAGAAGTTGCCAAGGGTATCGAATCCGCTGGTGCTGAAGCAGAGGTGTTCAGAGGCCCAGAGACTTTATCCCAAGACGTGCTCGAGTTAATTCATGCCCCAGAAAAACCGGAGGACATCCCTGAAATCAAGGCTGAGGATCTCACCAAGTATGATGGTTTTGTTTTTGGATTCCCAACCAGATTCGGCGCAGCTCCTTCGCAAATGACCTCTTTGTTTGACTCTACCGGTGCCTTGTGGGCCTCTGGTGCTCTGTACCATAAGCCAGCCGCATTCTTCACCTCCACCGGTACTGGTGGAGGCAAGGAGACGACCATCAGAAACACCTTGAGCTTCCTGTCTCACCACGGTATGATCTACGTGCCATTGGGCTACGCCAAGGCCTACTCTGAACTCAGCAATGTGGATGAGGTGCAAGGAAGCTCGCCTTGGGGTGCCGGCACCATTGCTGGTAGTGATGGCAGCAGAGTACCAACTGCACTGGAGTTGAAGACAGCCTACATACAGGGACAGGAATTTGCGGAGGTTGCCACCAAACTCGCTGCTCCACTCAAGACTGGTGCCACGGAGGTGTCTGAACCAGCAGGCGAGAACTCCGCATCAGCTCCTGCCGAGGAAAAGAAAGCATCGACCACCGAGTCTGAAAACGCTAAAAAGCCAGAGACTAGTGCATCTGCCGCAAAGTCGAGCGAGAAATCCGGCTGTTGCGTGATCGTTTAGAATATTAATATAATATAAACTCCTGCTACGTTTTCGCACACACCACTGTCTGCCTACCCACGCGTCTAACCTTTGCATACTTGATGAGGAATTTATCGGTCTTTATTTTCTTGGTGTTGATTCTTGCCACAAACGGCTCGATATCTTCAAGCTTCCACTCTTTCTTTAGCTTAAACAGCTCCGAGATGCGCTCCACAGGGTTCTCACTCAGATCCGACTCTGCAAAGTATCTGATAAACCCATTTTCGGTAATGAAATTCCCCTTGAGATACTCCAATTTGATGTCCGGATGATAGTTGAAAGGCATTGTAAGTTTTAGATTGAGCGCAAAGTCGTCTTCCTTCATTTCGTGTGTGTTGTTCTTGAGCAGCAAAATGCCGTAGAGTCGCACAACTTTTTCATTGAGAAATGCCAGTTGCCCGTCTGAGTCTTTGGTATATTTGGCAAGCACCGTTTGCGTAATCTCTGGCGGGTACGACTCCTCCCGATGCTTCTCCACCACATCCATAACCCATTGCTTATTGAGTGATTGTAGCCGCGTCATTATGTTTATCTCGTTGCCGGACTCCACCAGCTCTTCAATAATGGCTCTCAGTATGTTGCTGAGACAATCTCGTACAAGTTCTTCGTGTAGAACGTAGGCGTTTCCTTCTAGCTCGACGAGGTTGAGCTCAGGACGCAGACGCGCAAATTCCTGCTCGGACATTGGAGAATTTTCAAGGACGCTCTCCAAGGTGGTTACTCCATTCTTGGTCAGTTCTGACAGTTGTGTGAGAACTGATATTCCACGTAAATTTATGGTTGGCTCTGTAGGCGTCAGTACAAGCTCATTTGAGAACCTTGCGTAAGATGAGGCGTCACCATTATGCTCGCTGAGAAGTAGAACACAGTTAGAGTGGTTTTTCTGCCGAATTTTGAAGGTCTTTGACGCAGTGACTAGCACCGGATAGTCTTTGTTGGTTGCAGACTTCAAACGTAGCTCAGCCTTATTTTCTATTGCTTGCAAAACCTCAGAGTTCAGTTCGACGAGCTTCAAAGACTTGGTGCTCGTAAGCTGATGATCAGGCTCGAGGATCGAGTAGAGATCCATGCTGACTAAAAAAAACGCGAACGCGAAAAATATACACATACGTAATACAATTTTCGGAATCTATTTATGCCTTTCTGGATTTTTGCTTGACGGACTCGGCTTGGGCGGCCTTCTGAGCCTTGGCAGCCTGTGCTTTCTTATTACCAGATCTGTAGGCCTGCACGTAGAAGCTGATGAAGAGGAACAGGTAAGAGGTCAACAGGAGGTATCCGCATGCAGCAGCAGTCTGAGTACCGTAGCAGTCACCCATGGATGGGAGAACACCACCAAAGTAGTGGTATGCATAGAAAGAGTAGGTAGCAAAGTAAACAAAGACCAAATCGACCAAGAACTGAACGATTTGGAATCTTGTAACCCATTCTTTCCACCAGACTTTGATACCCCGGGCCGCGAGGAAGTAGTACCAGTACATCAGGACATGCACTGCCAAGTTCAAGGAGATTGGAACCCATTCAACAGAGGTGTGTCCAACCAGCTGAGTGTAGCAGAGCAGAGCTGTTGCTCCATGGTGGTAGGTGTGGAGGAATCTCAACGGCTTTCTTCTGAGCACCAAGAAAACGGTATCGATAAGCTCCAAATATTTGGTAAGGTAGTTGAGGTAGTACAAGGTCACGAGCTTGTGGGTGAAAGCACCCTCAGCACAGATGGACCAGAACAGTCCGTTGAAATAAATCATTGGGATTAACTGTTCCAAAAGGACCACCAGCAGAACAAAAGAAATGACCGTCAACAGAACGTTGTGGATCTGGAACAACCAGTTAAGTCTGATAGGTCTAATATTAAGCTTGTTCATTATGAACTGCCCACCAAAAATCACAGCGTAGTAAACAGCGATGACAGCGATGGCGTGAATCCAGTTCGACATGAATGTAACATCCTTGACGAATCTGAAGTCCTCTGCGGAATATCCGGCAACCTTGGCGAAGAAGTGATCGAAGATCGGCCACAGATGAACACCAAACGGTCTCGAAATGGTCGGCTCTGCGTATTGAATGTAGGAAGGCAGCTCAAATGGAAGTCCCATACTGGAAAACAAAAATTCAGGGTTTTTTATTGGAGGTGTTTATTTTTTTTCACCTCCATGGAACACAGGTAGTCATCAAAAAGCACGTGATGCGACTCACATGTAGCAAAGTCGAGAAAAAAAAATAACACGGGTCGGCTCGGCATCTGTTCGGGAGGGTCGGAAGGTTGACGGGTTCGTGCACGGCTATTGCAGATTTTGCCTTTAATTACCTCACATAAGTGCGCGGCTTGATATGCTTGGAGATGAACATGCAGCATGGGGCTGAAACGACGGGCGAGAATAGCTCAGAGCCACGAACACTTTTTCAGAAGTTAGGGCTCTGTTCGGTTCTGGTGGCGGCATTCGTAAGTGCTACAACCACGCAGCTTTCCGAGAGTCGGCGCGGCTATTAGTAAACACCAATATACCGATAATGAGATTTTCTAAGCCGCACAATGTAGGTCTGATGTCTCGGTAAAGTAAAAAAGAATATGCCGGGATTCAAATGAGGATATATATTTAGGCAAAAAGAACTCCGATTTGCGCATTTGACATTCGGGGCCATCTTCAGGAGAAGCGGTAAACACGAGTTTCCTATGGTTTGATGCCTGACAAGACAAACATGAACGCCCTTCCCATATTACCTCCAGCATCGTCTCTGATTCTGCCCAACCGGAGTTCTCACAATCAGTATCCGGCCACTCCGCCTCTGGTGAGTCTTCCTCCGCTCACAAGATACCACTACCCTAGTGCTTCAGATCAGAATGCGCTTCCGCCTCTTTTCAAGCTGAGCTTGGAGTCTCCGCTACCTCTGCCAGGGGTATCACCCGTCGGATCCGAGTCTTCCCAGAATTCGTCGGAGTATTCCACGCAAGTACACAGGTCCCAGCGCAAACGGTCCTCGTCGTCGGGGGCCTCACAACCTCGCAAAAAAAGAGAATGTCCGGTGTGCCACAACTATTTCAGCAACCTGACAACCCATCGCGCGATCCACATCCAGAACTCCAAGCCGTTCACCTGCCAGACTTGTTCGCGGTCGTTCAAGCGGCTGAACGACCTTCTGCGCCACGAAAAGTGCCATTTGTCAAAGCTTGGCGAATGGGAATTCCGGTGCCCGTTCTTCAACACCGATCCAAAGGACAGGTCTGAAAACTGCCACCACTCGGGCCACTTTACCAGATGCGACACATACAAAAACCACTTGAAGGCTATACATTTCAAATACCCGCCAAACACGCCCAAGAGCGAGCGCTCCAAGGTGAGTGGGCTTTGCAGGGAGTGCGGCATGTACTTTAACAACGTGCAAGAGTGGCTTACAAACCACATCGAGACAAACCAGTGTGCCAAGCAGACGCCCGCCAAAACGAACTTTACGACATAATACATTAATAGACATTATATGGCACTCATAGAACTTTAGTCCTCTTTGTAATCGTCCGGGTTCAGCTGCCTCACAAACTCCACGTAGTCGGCAATGTACTCAGAACTAAACAAGGCCGAATCCGAGCCTTCCATTTCGTTCGCATCGTCGAGACGGAGTCGGCAACCCGGCAGACGGACTAGGATGGCGAGAATAATGAACGAGACCCCCGCAACGTAAACTGTGACCACTAGCGAGCTGACAAACTGGTGCAGCAGCTGGATGAAATGACGGTTGATCCAACCCCCCTTTATTGACAGGCCACCAAGAGCGGCAACGTTCTTATCGGCAAAGAGGCCTACCAGCAGGTTCCCCACGATACCTCCAAAAAGATGAATTCCGATGTCTAGCGAATCGTCAATTTTGAGCCAATATTTGAGCCGGGTGCCGACGTTGCAAAGCACGCCACTTAGTAAACCAACCACAAAGCTCGACCAAAAATTTATGTATGCAGTGCATGGGGTGATAGCCGTCAGCCCTGCTATGCAGCCGGAACACAGCCCCACAACCGAAATCCGACCATCTCTATGATACGAGTAATCTAGCCCCATCCAGCTAAGCCCTCCGACAGCCATGCTTGTCACGGTGTTGGACAAAATAACACCAGTAAGTGCGTTCACGGTGTACAGCGCGCCACAATTAAAGCCCAACCATCCGACAGCAATGAATATCGTTCCGCAAATGACCATGCCCAGGTTACTTGACCTATACTCGACAAGATTGGCCTCGTTCCTGTACCCCATAAACCACGAATAAACGAGAGCTGTGGTCCCAGAGACAATGTGGACGGCGTTTCCTCCTGCAAAGTCCAAAACATTTAGTTTTCTGTGCAGCCATCCGTTAGGGTTCCACACCCAATATGCTATGGGACAATATATGAGAAACATCCACGGTATGAGAAATATAAATGCAGGTTTTAGTCGTCCTCGTTCGCACAAACACCCCATAGCTATCACAGCAGTGATACTTGCAAACAGCCCGTTGTAAACTGCATACACCAGACCAAAGACTTGAGTCGCATCGTCTTTGTATCTATGATTTGGGTAAACCACTAGAGCATCCATATCTTTCAAACCAACGTGTGCAAAATCGCTAAGATAGCCCGATTTGCCTGTATCAGAGAAACTCAGTGTATACCCGAAACACAACCACAAGATCATGACTTCTAGCGTGACCAGTAGCGGGAAACTCAGCTGCTGAAACGCAGCCCTACGCTGTGTCAGTCCAGAATAAAACATCGCCATTCCAAGTACCAGAAAAAGCAAAAGACTGGAGTTGAGCAGTGTGAATAGCGAGTTCAACGCTATCCCTACTTCCACTTCCCCCTCTTCCATCAGTCAAATGTCTCAAAAAAAAATTATGGTGATAATATACTGAGTGATCTTATGATGTCAAATAATTTTTTTTTTAAGAAAAAAAAGTGGTTCCTAGCAGGATCGAACTGCTGATCCCCGCGTTATTAGCACGATGCCTTAACCAACTGGGCCAAGGAACCTGGAACAATTAAAAGATCAGAGTAACATTTTTTGTGCCAGTCACGAAGAACCCCTCACTCCTTGGTTTTTACCGAGCCTATTGTTATGAGAGGCTGGAATTCCGGGGAACAATAAAGAAAAGTCCAATGAAGTAACGTTGCGTATCTCCATCTTCTCAAAAGGCTCTGCCGAACAATCTTGAGCGCAAATTTTGTATTTCGAACGTGTTTAATTTCCAGCTTTACAAACAATCAATAGCCAATCGCACGTTGATTTGCCTGCACACTAAGCTCCACTTAACTTCCAGTCATACAGCGGATGATCAAAACATCTTGTTAGACAGTCACATCGGTAAACTTCAAGACCATGAACGCGCCTCCGCACTATGACGCCCATGAACACGATGGCGTCTGTCGACCCCCTGTGTACACGCCAGCTGTGCACCATGTCTCTTTGAACTTCCTATGCCAGGAAAAAACCAGGGGAAAAAGGAGATTAGCCTCCTACGAGCCCGTCATTTTTGAAATAAATTCAACACAGGTCAACATTTACAATATTCACCCCTTGTACAGAAAATATGCCAACTTCTACTTAGACAAGCTTCGTCCCGAATATATTGATCCTGAACTAAACATCAAACTGGAGCCCTTGGAATCTGATGTGGGAGATGTATATTCTCGGGGAAATGGGCGTGTCGACCCTTCAGGGGCCAGGCAGATCTTTCGCAGACTGTCGGTTAACAAAAGGGAGAAGTCTGTGACTCTTTCTGAAGCTCAGCTGGCGTCCAAAAACTGCGATAGAATACACCAGTTGCTACTACATCGCCCTGATTTTGGAAAGTTGACCTCAGTGGACAAAGACGACACGGACAAAACCCTGCACTTCATCAAAAGAGAAAAGCTATTTACTTTCTCTTTGCAGGAGCTGATAGATTTTGGCAATGCTGCAGACTACCCATACAAGCCGTTCACACTTCGTCTTTTATTCCCGCAGGATCAATTCCTTTTAACCTCATACAATTCTGCAACATTTGTGGGAATATACTACAAGCTCAACATTGCCAGAGAACTATCGCTTGATCTCGATATACGTGCTGAGATGCCGATCGATCACTCTGTGCCCCATAGAAGGCCTTCAGGCAGGGCAAGTCGATCTGGCAGCATTGCAACAAATGAGTCGTCGGTCATTAGCGTTGACAGCTATGATGAGGATGAGGAGTCTCTGTTTTCAGAGCCCCTTGATCTTGAGGCTACGAATGCTTCGGAGCCTCCTTCTCAAAAAGATGCTGATAGTTCAAGGCAGCAAGTCAATAGTACAAGGAAGGATATCGAGCGGTACAAAGAGTTAGTGTACACAATCAGATGCATCAAAATATTCAAGAGTTCAAGTTAGTTATTCGTTTGATCCCCGATACAATATTCAAAGGCAGACGTCAGTGACCCAAGGTCTATGCCTCCTTGTATGCTTTTCAGTTCTTCATATGTCGTTTTTAGCAACTCAAGATGTTTGTTAGGTGCGTCCAAAAATAACATATCTAGCGAAAGATCTGTTTCCAGCACAAAAGTGGTTTCTTTTGCAGCACTTGAGATCTTTTGCAATGTATCTTTATATTTATCTAAATTGAGAACTTTGCTAACACTAAGTCGAATATTAGGATATTTTTTCATCCACAGCTTAAACTGGTCGTAGGAACCACTATAGCTATGCAGAGTCACCAAGCTGGATGATTTTATGATTTTTTGGACGCTCTCAAGTAGCTTACCATGACACCCGACACAATGAATACTCACAGGCCTATTTTTTGCTTGTGCCATCCGTAGGAAAGCCTCAAATATTATGATTTGATGGTTCATTGAGACTCGACAAGGACTCAGGCCAAGACCTTCCCGAGGTCCCATGAATCCGGAATAGGGGACACGAAACACTTTATCTAGCCCAATTTCACCAATGGCGCCACCTTCTTCCAGGTACTGCTCGATTGTCTTTATGTGATCGTTAAGGTAGATAGGCATAGGAAGATTTGTCAAGAGCTCCCGTGGCGGGGGAGGATTTAGGATTTGGTGATAGTGGTTTCGTTTCTCTTCTTCTGTATTGACTGGTACAACAGAGAATAAATGCGAGTACCATGGATGGATGCCATAAGAGGGAAATACAGCGGGAACCTCCATAGCTAATTGGCGAACAAATTGCAGATCTATGTGATTCGTGGACATTAAGTTCACCAAAGGCTTGTCTACGCGGGACAATGCGCAATGAATCACACCCTTGAATCTTTCAAATGCTTCCTCGTTAATTGAAGGCGAAAGGTGGCAATGGCCGTCATGAAAACGGCCGTTTTCCGAATAATAATTCATTTGACATTATATATTGAGTCTAATTAATTTTTAAGCTCTGCTCGCGAAATATATTTCCCGAGAATATCCACAAACATCTCTGCACGGGCTTTAGCGTCAACCAAGTCTGTGCACACTAGTTCCACATCCAAGATCTTTGGCTGTTTGGTCTCCTGGTAGGGCTCGTAATCAAAGTCATCTTCCGGCTCAGCCACAGAAGTTTGAAAGCTAGTGTTAATTTTGAAACGTTCAGCATTCCTTGGTGGTGCAATGATTTCCTCAAAAAGCGGATCGATCAGGTCAGATGGCGCATAAAGAGGGTTGCCGTAAGCCTTTTGCTCAGCTTTCAACACCCATTTGAGAATGTCCTCTTTCGCAATATTGTCTGGTAAGATGTATTGATGAGTGATTTTGACTGGCTCCTTCTTTGGCTTCTCTATCTTCGCAGGAGCTTTTTCTGCGGACGCAGCAGGACGAAGCTCGATGTTTGAAAGATCAAGATGCGACTTCGAATCCAAGTAGGCCGCAATCTTTGAGTTGTTAGAAGAATCGATTTGGCCCAAATATGCCATCACGTCGCCTCTCAATATCCGCCCCTTGGGCCCTGTGGCTGAAATTTTCGACAGTGCTTCGTCTCTAGATATTCCGTTCGCTTCCAGCAGAAGCTCCACCGATGGTAAAAACACCTGGTTAGGATCTGCACTACCAGAGGAAACAGGAGAAGTGCTAGCTTTTTTCCCTTGAGAAGGCTCAACTGGTGGGGACGGCTGTGCTGGTTGGGGCGTCTTTGCTGCCGCCTTCTTTGGTTCCTGCTTCTTTTCTTCCACTTCTGGGAACTCGAGTTCAGCCAAGTTATCACCAACTTCTGCTAAAAACGCAATTGGAGTCCCCACCTTAATTTCCTTTTCTCCCTCCTGTTTGAGTATCTTGGCCATGACACCATCGTCCTGGGCCTCAACAGCAATATTGGCCTTATCGGTTTCCACCTCCAGTAAAACGTCGCCTGCATCAAACTTATCGCCTTCCTTCACTTTCCAGGAAACAATGCCTCCTTCTTCCATTGTGGGGGACATTGCAGGCATGTCTAATGGCGTAACTCCAAAGTTGAGGGGAGTACGATGGAACGCTGTGGTGTCAATACACTCTGGACAGTTTACTTACCTCTTATGCTTGCAACCAGTAGCTGGACCCGTGGTTTATACAGTCTCAATGACGTTCTTAACATTGTAAAACGATGGCTAGACAACAAAAGTACCGTTAGAATTATCAATTCTAAACTTCAAGCCGGGCATGAAAAATCCGCCTGCCGTGGGGTCGGCGTCGCGTCGACCTGCACAACACAGCCGTCAAAAAAAATTATATTTCTTTGGTGAAAAAAAAAACTTTCAATTATGGCCAAGAGAAAGGTTAAGCGATCTGTTGAGCAGAGGCAGATCAAGCGTCAAAAGGACGAGGATGCCAAGCTTGCCTCTGGTATTTTCAATAACTACGACAAAGAGTCGGATGAATCTCTCGACGAGGATGAAGAACAGGACTATGAGCTCCGTCCTAGACAATTCAAGAAGGATCAGGAGCTTGAGGAACGTTTGCCTGTCAAACTGCCAGATGGAACGTTCAAGAGAGTTTTGAAACAAAAAGAGGTGGAATCAGAAGAGTCCGAGGAGTCTGAGGAGATGGAATCAGAACAGCACAGCTCTAAGGAATCTGAATCTGAATCAGAATCAGACCAAGAATTGACTCCACAGGAAAAGCTGATCAAGACCAAGGAGGAGATCGCACGTATTGCAGAACAAATCATGGAGGATTCAGAGGAACATGTGAAGCTTTTGGCCAGATTGCGAAGGATGGCCAACTCGAAGAATCCTAACACGTCCAAGCTCTCTCTTCTTGCTGCTGTTCCGATATTCAAGAGTATTGCTCCGGCATATCGTATACGGCCACTCACAGAAATTGAAAAGAAGCAAAAGGTCAGCAAGGATGTGGCCAAGCTACGATACTTTGAAGAAACACTTGTTTTTGAGTACAAACATTACGTTGATCTGTTGACTCAAAAAGCAAGGGTGGTTTCCACCACGCCAAAAGCCACGGAACTGGACAAGCAATTGGGAATACTGGCTAATAACGCAGCATGTGAATTAGCTTTAGCTTTGCGATTTTTCAACTATAGAAAGGAACTTTTTCAAATAGTGGTCAAAAGGGCTGTCAGAAAGCCTGCTTCCGAGTCCGAGTTCAAGGTATATGAGAGAAGTATTCAGACCATGGAAGAGCTCTTTAAGGAAGATGCGGACCACGGAGACATCTCGGTGGACCTCGCCATTCTCTTAAACCGCGCTATTCGCACGAGGGAATTCAAGGTCGACGAGAGTGTTGTGAACGTATTTCTGGCATTGAGCATTCTAGATGACTACGATCCAAATTCGACCGAGGAAGAAAAACAGCTAAAACTTAAAAAGAAAGACAGAGTGCATCTGTCCAAAAAGGAGCGAAAACAACGCAAAGAGCGCAAGCAGATTGAAAAAGAGCTAAGAGCAGCTGAGCAAGCCGTGAGTGCCGAAGAAAGAGAAAGAAATCAAGCACAGGTACTGAAGATTTTGGTTACGCTATACCTTGAGATCCTCAGAGCTAGACCTGAAAAATTAATGGCTCCTGTTCTGGAAGGTCTTGCCAAGTATGGACATCAAGTCAACATTGATCTTATTGGCGACTTCCTGCAGATTCTGCGCGAAATCTGTGAAAACTTGCTCCAGGACATCAACGAAGAAGGCAACTTTTCTAGCATGAGTATCCGACAGGTCTTGCTCGCAATCGTCACGTCCTTCTCCCTGACCGCAAACCTACCAACCAAACGAATGTCTGTGGATTTGAACAAGTTCGTGCAGTATCTGTACACGCTGTTGCCAACGCTTGCACTCGATCCAGATATGGAATTTTCGCATAAGACGCTTCGTCTGGTGGACCCTCTCGCCGCAACACAGTATCGTCCAAATGTTAACATAGCCACCAAATCAGAGCTGCTTCTGAGGTGTTTAGACTATGTGTTTTTCAACTCCAGATCAGGCTCAGGAAAAAGATCCATAGCATTCACCAAACGCATTTATTCTTTTCTACTGCAGGCCCCAGAGAAAACTGCAATCGCGGGTCTTAAGTTTGTGGACAAGTTGATGGCCAGATACGAGGACATTAAAGGACTCTATACAACAGAAGACCGCATTCAAAATGGTGTCTATCATGCTGAGCAAGATAGTATTGAACTGGCAAACGCTGATGTCGCCGTTATCTGGGAAAACGTGCTTCTTGAGTCCCACTATTGTCCGACATTGGCCGCTGGTGTCAACGCACTGATGAAGAGAGCTAAATAAATAGATCAAATCTGAACCTTCGAAGGCTCGCCAACTTCAAAAACCTCAACATGCTGATCGCTCTTCAGTCCACGATTATCGGAAAATTCGACAGTGCCAAGGTCGTAAGACACGCTCTCATCCTCAAATAAAAACCCGGCATCGTTCTGTTTCTCAGGATCGTAAATTCCTGACTGCTTGTAGTCATAATGCTGATGATTGTGGAACCAGTTCGTTTTCTTCGTTGGAACAGACGTGGATATAATTGGAGTCATCACACGTATAGGCTTATTTCCAGCAGAGTGCGTATGAACATACTTTGCGTTCTCGGGTTTTTTCGAAATACCTCCGGCTTGCAACACAGAAGAGTGGGAATTGCGGCGCTGATGCGGAGGGATATACTTGTCGTAAGTGGTTGTGCTCGTTATGTTCGAACCAAACGACGAGAAGTTGCTGGAGAACGTCGTTGTCAAAGAGGTGTTCCTGGAATTCTGTCGCTCTGCATTGTCAGTCAAAGACACTTCACCAAGTTGCTTTGACAAAAAGCCTAGTTGTCCACCCAGCACAGAAGGATAGTTCGACACTTCTTTTTTTGCATTGGACGATTTGCGAGCATTCTTCGAAGGTCTTGATTTGTGCTCGCCATCTTCAAAGAGAAACAAATCATCATCACCACTGGTTTTCTCGTCTTCCGACTCAAACACATTTTCCTCAACTTCAGATTTCGGAGATTGCCGCAGATTTGGTGGAATGTACTTACCCGCATGACTCACAAAGCTTCGAGGTCTGACTCCACCAGTCGACTTTGCAGATGTCAAGAAATTATCGCCTTCGCTATTTGGAGTGACAGGTGTCCGTCCCAAAGAATTGCATCCCCTATAATAAGTATCAGAACTTCTTCTAGACTTATAGTGTGCTTTCCTGGACCTGTGGTTATCCTTGGCATGATAATTCCTCTGCTTTCTTTTCTTCCATGCTCTGTTCTTCTGGTTGGGGTTGCGCCGATAAAATCTGCCGTTCTCCGAAGACGTTCTTTGCTGAGGGTGTTTAGGTTTCTGTGCCTTTTCCATATAATGATTAAAAACAGTTTTCGGAGTAAAGAAGTCAGCACGCCTAAATGAATCATCCAAATAATGATTATTGTGAGCATCATGTTGAATGTTTACCCTCTTGTTTATCCGACCATTATGAGACTTGTGCCGGACGTTTCGCATGCTTGGGATCTTAAGCGGCTTCCTTGGATGGCCTGCCTTATGCTTAGGTCTAGGAACTGACATTTGTTTGTCGCTGGCCTTCGCAGCAGCCTCCTTCTGGTTCTCCTTGTCTGAAGTCCTGTCAGTAGCCTCTTCTTCTGTAGGCTTCTCTTCAATAGCTCCAGATTCTTCCTCTTCAAACTCAAAGTCACACGTGAGATGCTCGACCTTAAGCAAAGAGTCCTTCATAGTTTCTAGATCGCGGTTTTCAGGATCAATAGTCAAACTTGATCTCAAAACTGAAAATAAATCGTAACTCATTGCGGGAAATATGTCAAACAAAGTCTCCCTATTTGCCGCAAAATGCAGGAACAAGCGGTCCTTGGAGCTTGCTGAGTTAAAAGGCGATTTCCCAAAAACAATGTTCAGCAAACAAATTCCCAATGACCATATGTCCACCTTGTCCGCGCTGTATGTATCGATATCCTTATGGTCCAACAGCTCTGGAGCCATGTACCTTTCGGAACCAACATCAAAATCGGTACAGTATTTCTCGTCTGTGGCCAAGCCGAAATCTGTGAGTTTGATGGACCAATCTTCGCAGATCAAAATGTTCTCGGGTTTAATGTCTCGGTGATAAACTCCCATGCTATGACAGTACTCCACAGCACTCAAGAGCTGCAACGAAACATCAACCACGTCTCTAGTGCACGCTGGAGCAACTCCCATTTGAATTGAATCATGCAAGTCTCCGCGTGAAGCGTACTCGAGCACAATGTAGCTATCGAAACAATCCAGCAGTTCGGTAATGTTGGGATGGCCCGAAACCCGTTTCAGCATATTAATTTCCTTCTGTGTTTCCTTCAAAACTACCGATTTGCTAACTGTCTTTTCATCCTCCTCTTCCGCGAAGGTGAAATCGCTAATGCATGTGGTGTTGTATTTTAGTGCCACAAGCCTATCATGGTCTTTGACGTCTTTCGCTAGCGAAACAATTCCAAAAGAGCCTTCACTGATATCTCTGACTTTCAAATACCGATCGTTCAACAATCCGCCGTCAACGTATGCCTTGTAATCGAAACTCATTGTAACCGAAACCCAATAATCCTGACCGATCAAACAGTGAAATGCAATAAATATCCCATAAACAGCGGCGACAGCGAAAAAGGTGGCAGTTTCAGTAGCTTTGGCTCTGATTTATGAGAACCTGTTGTTATTTAAGTTGTAATCAACCTTGTCGATGTCAGACAAATGTTACTATCTGAACGCTTTTATACGCAAACGTAATGAGCGTTTTCGCTGAGATTGAACTTTGCGATCACAATTCCACAGTAAAAGTATAGCAGTTATTTGTCTGTATTGCTAGCTTGTCACACTTTTAACTCAGTTTTCATAAGGAATCAAAGCTACCGAATTGTTTAATTTGGAACTTTGTAGAATCTGCCCTTGTTGGTTTAATTACACCCGTGCACCTTGCTGCACACAACATTTTCTTTTTGGCCTCACCCCCTTTCATCCACAATTTGCCTATTTGGGACAACACCATGATCCGAGACAAGAATTGTTGAATGTCAGTCAGTATCGTTGTTCCCCGCCTACTTAGAAAAACAGACTGTACAATATATACGTAGCAAAAGTCCTTTAAAATACTTGTCATTCGTCGTTCTCGTCCGAGTTCTGGCTGCCGGTAGGCCCGAAACCCATCGATCCCCTCCTTTCTGGCGAACTTCTTGAGCCCGTCTCGGAGGTGGACACGTTGATTCCGTTTTCTACTAAACTCTTGGGAGTCATCGATGTTGCATCATGATCGATACGAGACTTCCAATTCTCCTCACTAACCTGCTCGTCCTCTTCTTCCTGCTTGACAAAGTTTCGAGTGTCCAATTCCTCGCTCACGTCACTATATGCCTCCCCATTCTCGTCATACAGACTGTCAAGATCTAGATGTTGCAAAGACGGATTCATCAGTTTCTGCTTACCCCTGACCTTCACGTTTTTCGTGATACGTCCTCCCCTCGTAAATGCATTCCTATCTCTCACAAGAATGCTCTTTGGTTGGCGGCTCACTTTGGAGGGATGCAATCCCGAATAAGCCGCGGTTGAGGCCGTTTTGTCTTTTGTTTTCGCACTCCTAGGATGCTGGTGTGAAGACGACGACTCCATCGAAGCATAGCCTTTTGCAGACCCGAAATATTGATAAACAGGTGACTGATAAAAGGCTGCTGAAAGCGGCTGGCTGTATGGAAGCAACGGGAAGTCCGAGCAGTAGGGCGATGGACCATAGATTCCATAAGGAAAATGGCTTCCAGACGGTAGAGAGACCACTTGCTGGTGTTGGAAAGGATCAAACTCCATGTCCAACATGGGGCCCCCATTAGTAGGGTAAGATGGATAGCCCAGCAAAACCTGGGGTGAAGAGTTCGGATCTTCTTTGTCACTGTTCCCGGAACGTGACTGAGATCTGGACTCACCAGCAGGGTTGTTACCGTTGGCAAGGGTAGTTGGCGATGGAACCAGCTGTAGCGTTTGTTGTTGAGCGTAAGCATGTGCGTAAGCAGTGGTGTGGCCTGCGTGTGCAAACGTGGCACTTTTAGGTGTCGCAGTGCGCAGCGAATTGGCAACTCTTGGTGTCATGCGTAAATTCAAAGGATTCGTGGCAGATGGTGGGCCTCCAGATTGAAGTCGATGCTGTTGTGTGCTGTACATCACAGGAACAACCGGTGTAGCCTGATCCAGCAAATAATCGTCCATAAATAAAGCTCTGCCAGGAGAGCCTGCGAACATAGTAGGGTCCATATAAAATGACGGATGATGACCGTTGCTAATGTAGCCGGCATCTTGCGACGAGCTCGTAAGATGGTTGGAGAACCCTGCTGATTCAGCTGGCAAGAAGTCCAATGGGAAGTCGTCGTCATCAGTGGTGATGCCATTGATCTCCTCCTTCATCGACGAATGACTTGGCATGGACTTCTGGTCGCTGGCTGGGGGTCTCACAACCTCCATAATATTTGCTTCTGTGTCACCATCGTAAATGTCGCCTCTTCTCATGCCACCGTCTTTCTCGAGATGTTTTAAGATCTGATCCGCTAGTGGCATGGAATGGTCAAATTTTAGGGATAAGGAAGGCTCGCTCATAGCCCGGGTGGTAGCCGGCTGATTAGCATATTCCTTTTTTAAATCTCTTTCCAGTGCTTCGGCAAACAACTTGTCATGGGGCACGCTAAACCAAAAAAACACTTTCTGCTTCTTTTGTGTCCTGAGACATTGATTTTTGTGTAGAAACTTGAGGAAAGGCGACCGTGGATTCTCCAACACAGCGTCGGTACCGCATTTAAGGGCTCGGAGATCACTGAAGATCCCTTCTTCAAATTTCTTTCTATCAATGATGGTTCGTCCAAAATGGTGGATTTTGTACGCAATACAGCGTACAATGTCTGTTCCTGTGATGAAATACAGATTGTTCCAATACACACAGGAGACGAACCCCTCTTCCTTGTTCAGAAAGTATCTCCTGATGACTTGGTTTTCATGCCAGTTTACTGGAGCGGTGGCCAAAAAGAACTTCAGGTCATCAATCAGTCTTAATGAGGTTTCCACAAAACCGTCTGGGGTTCCTGGATGATTTTGGTCGCGGGCTGTGCGATTTTCATTCAAAACTGATCCATTCCCTGTCTCTGCCATGACAATTGGAGTATGGTATGAAGTATAGTGTAACAACGGCTTCAGGCCCACCGAGATGTAACAGAATGATTGAGATTAGAATCGGCCTTTTTTTGTAACTCAGAGAGCACCATCAGGATGTCTCAGGTACTTATATATTTGTTTCAAGAAGAGTTTCCTAATTTATGTGCCAGCTTTCGCGACGGTTACCATTATATATCGTGCGAAAAGAGATAAGGCATTAAAAAAAAATTCGCAGATTAAATGTCTGCAGTGTGGAGTTACGCGGGTACCTTTTGTGGCAGCATCATGCAAACAATTGCGACAACCCTGAGACACCGGGTTCTGGCCAGTGTTTTTGTAACCAGCATATACGATCGGACCCGAAACGTTTCATCTCATTTGTTTCAGCTCCTCATTTGATCTCTTCAGATCAATTGCGCACTTTGAGCTCATGTTCTGCCATATGGACGTGTATCGTATCTAATCCGATGTCCGAAATTGGGGCTGTTTTTTCCACATAGTCCTGTGCTGTCACATCTGCTTTGGTTACATTGTGGTCCCGCAAACAGCAATGTATCACAGCTATGGCCATTTTCAGTAATAATAAAATACTAATGCCGATGGATCATATGGACTCCATCACATAAAGAAACCCGATATCACTCATGCAGCTTTCAATTACTCTTTTCTATTAATTATCAGGAATCGTATTTGACGCACTCAGAACACGCCTCAATACCACGTCCTAATCCCCCAACCTGCTACCCCCAAGGGCTCTCTCCCTCTACCTTGACTTGGGCTTGTGTTTCGTCTCTTCTTCGGGCTCCTGATTGCGCACCAGTTCGTCTTTTATTATTCTCTTCCAGTCTGCATACCGTCTAGAGTACAGCTCCATGTGCCAGTTCTTCCAAACTTGGCGGCCGTAGCCACTGTTTTTCAAGAGCTCGCGATTGTCGGAGAGAATTTTCGCAATTCTGTCTTTATACATATTAAGTCCAAATGTGAATTCCCATAAACAATCAACAATGTGCGATCCAGTTGCATGGCACGCCAGTTCTGCAATGATTTCTGTTAGTTTGTTAAGTAATTTCTTGCGCCTGATCGTGTCGACATCTTTGCTCAAACACTTCTCCACAACGTGCGAAAAGACACCGTGCTTGCACATGGCTTTCAGCCTGTCAGGCTCCATGGCAATCAATGCATCAACACACTCTTGCAAGAACTTTGAGTCGTATGCAACAACCTTCTCCAGAAAGAGTGCTCGACGACGCTCATCGGCTGTAGGCCAGTCGTCTCTTGTGTTCCCCAGCGTGGACGTCGAGAGTCTGAGAACGCTTTCAAATATGTCTGAATTCTCGCCGAGACGGAAAAACTGAACGAGCTTTTCCACGATTTCTGGTTTCAAATAGTCTCCGCGTTCCTGTGAAGTGTCCATGATACTCTGACCGAAATCAAACCCATTGACAATGAGCTCGTTGAGATGCGGAACCAGCTCGTCCAATAGGAACTTTTGGTCCGCGGGCTTGAGCTTCTTCAATAGGGCGCGAATCACGTATGCCCCAGTGGTTTCACGCTTGGCAAGTTTCAAAACACGTTCTTTCATGTAACACTGGAACAACCGTTCGACGTTCTTGTGACGCTGTGTGGAGATCACTGTCTCCAAAAAATGGGAGCCAACAGCATCCGACAGCAGGTACTCCACAAATGCTTCTTCTTTTGGGTCTTTTTCGTGCGAAACCACGTTGAACGTTTTACACCACAGCGTTCGATCCTTGTCAACAATACCTTCCAGCTGTATCAGGAGCTGAATCACTGGAGACCCAATCTTGTCAATTGCCAGCTCCCTCAGCGACTTTGTGTTGTGTTGTTCATTCACAAGCCTCAGAATGTCTGCCAGCTCGTCCTTGAACGAAGAAGGAGTCATGTATGAGCGCTTGTAGTCTTCATTGTCCTTGATATCAATCATTTTGCGCGCAATCTTGGACTTCTTGGACCGGAGCACAGAGTTAGATTCCACCGTCGAGGGAAGCTGTTTGCCTCCCAAAATAAGAAGTATCACGCGCAACACATGTGACGCATACCTGTGGACAATTAGATTATCCAGCTGCGGTTTGATCTCGGTCAAGAGAAAAAGAAGCATGTTCTCCATGGAAACATATTCCTCGTCAGCATCCGGCTCCTCCGGCTCACAGGTCATTTGTTTCTCCACATACATAGCCATTCTCACCAGATACGTCTCCATCACATGTGAAGAGTACTTTTGGCAGCACAACTGAACGAAATGACCATTGAATGCACTGAACAGCTGTCTCATCTGACGCTCCGTGGCCACCAAAACAAGTCTTTCCACCAATTTGGAGCATATTTGGTTTGTAACTAGCTTCAGCTCTTTGCCCTTCGATTCCTCGTAAACACCTGCAACGAAGTATTCTCGTTCCTCGCTGCTACTAAAAGCATTTATATTAAGCGTAGACTCTGCCTGTTTGAAGTATTCCAGCTCTGTGGAATCAAGCAGCCCAAAAAATGGAGTTGCTTCCTTGGTGTTGTTTGCTAAAATCTCCTCAATGCCCTCGCCGAGGTTCTCTTTTCTCTTGTCTCGTCTGCCTCTAGGTTTACCCATCAGATCTATTTTTTAATAAATTTTTTTTGAACTTTGCAGAATAACGTAATCGTAGAAAAATATCATAAAAAAGCTTTCTTGTATTTGCTTCCAGATGGATTTAGATCCTGAATTCGCTCCCTCGCCTGAACACTCGGAAGATGAAAATAATGATGACGGCAAAAAGGCACCAGATGCCCTGAAGGGCGCCAACGGTGGCTACGCTTGGGAGGACCAGTACAGACGTTCATGGGATATAGTGCAGGAAGACGAGAGCGGAAGTATAGAATCGATTGTGTCTGGCCTTGTGGAATCACAGAAAAAACGATACATGAAGAACATTACGCCTTTCCAACGTGGGATCATCCGTACAATGGTGCTGGTACTGGATTTCTCGAATGTGATGATGGAAAAAGATTTTAGACCTAATCGAGTGTCTGTGATGATTTCCAACGCCATAGAATTCGTCGGGGAGTTTTTCGACCAAAACCCTATTTCACAGCTCAGCATAGTCATCATGCGCAACGGAATTGCTCAGCTGGTTTCTGAAGTGAGTGGCAATCCTCACGACCACATTGAAGCACTAAAGAATATTCGCAAACTGGAACCTCAAGGGTATCCTTCTCTGCAAAACGCTTTGGAAATGTGCCGAGGCCTTTTACTACATGTTGCTTCGCACTGCACGCGAGAGGTGCTGATAATATTTGGTGCCCTGTTCACATCGGATCCGGGAAATATACATAAAACGATTCAGGATCTGGTGCGAGAGAAAATCACCGTGCGTGTGATTGGACTGACAGCACAGGTGGCTGTTTGCCAGGAGCTGTGCCGCATGACAAATTACGGTGACCTTAAAAACTCGTACCATGTGGTGTTGTACGAACAGCATTTCAAAGAGCTTTTTATGGACGCTGTCACGCCATTGGCGGTGACTAAAGTTGAATCGCAAAAGAAAGACGGATTCACTCTCGTGAAGATGGGATTTCCCTCGCGAGTGAGCGATAATCAGCCGACATTCTGCTCCTGCCATTCGAAGGCGGTGTATGGGGGCTATATCTGTCCGAACTGCAAAAGCAAGGTGTGTGTACTGCCCACAGTTTGTCCGTGCTGCGATCTGATGCTAATTCTGTCGACACATCTTGCACGGTCATACCACCACCTGTTTCCGTTGAAACTCTTCCAGGAAGTGCCCGTTAGCGAAGAGTATAGCTCGAGCCACTGCTTTGGCTGCCAGGCGCAGTTCCCGCCTGGCGTGGCCCCATCGGCGCGACGAGAATACCACACGAGCTCGCGGTACCACTGCCAGGACTGCAGTAAGGACTTTTGCATTGACTGCGACGTGTTCATCCACGAGGTCTTGCACAACTGCCCGGGCTGCGAGGCTGATAGCAGAAAGCTATAAAATATTCTATGTATGTGCTCGTAACCATTTTATCAGTAAAACGTACACATACTACTTTTATATTCGCCAATTGCACTACAAAAACAGATGTCTACCACGAAGTCGGTGATAAGAACCATCAAAAATGTGGCCAACGGCTACTCCAATGTGCAGGTGATGGTTAGAAATGCTACCAGTAACGATCCGACAGGTCCCACGACATCCCAGATGGCAGATGTGGCCAACCATACGTACGAAAACGGAGAGTTTTTGGAGGTGATGGATATCATCGACCGTCGGCTGAACGACAAGGGAAAGAACTGGCGGCATATTGCCAAGTCGCTGACTCTCCTGGACTACCTGGTGCGGTATGGGTCTGAGGACGTGGTTCTGTGGGCAAAGGAAAATATATACATCATCAAGACCTTGAGAGAATTTCAGGTGAACGACATGCTGGGCGCAGACCAAGGAGCCATTATCCGTGTGAAGGCGAAAGAATTGACGGCGTTGTTGCGCGATGACGAAAGACTGAACCAGGAGCGAGAGCTGGCCAGACAGAGAATGACCGATAGACGCACCAGGAGGAAAAACCGGATGTCACCTGATGAGGACGAATACGATGAGGCGTTGCAGAAGGCACTAGAGGAGAGCCGATTGACAGCCGAGGAGGAGGCTCGCAGACGCAGAAACCAGAGCGACGAGAGTTTGGAGAAGGCCATTCAGCTCAGCCTCGAGGAGGAGGAGATGCGGAAACGTAACAACAACTTGCTCGATCTAGACGACAACACCACGCAGCCACCTCAGGTCTTTGGCTACTATCCACAGGGACAAGAGATGGGTCAGATCATTGGCTACGATATGTACGGCAATCCAGTGTATGCCAACCAGCAGATGAACACGGGGTATCTCCAGAACGCATACCAGGATATGGCTATGCAGCAGCAGATGTACCAGCAGCAGCTATACGAGCAGCAATTGGCGCAGCAGCAGGCACAGCAGATGGCCGCGTACCAGCAACAACTGGCACAACAACAGCTTCTTTTGCAACAACAACAGCAGCAGCAGCAACAACAACAACAAATTCCACTCAAGACTGGCTCGAACAACCCATTCGCTCATCTTCAGCAGCAGCAACAGGCAACTTCGCAGCCTGCAAAGCCTGTTGAGCAAGCCCAACAGCAAGAGCCTCTTAGACAGACGCCGACAGGCATTCAGAAGATGAACGAACAGTACTCGAAACTGAACGCTTTGTTGGCCACCGGCACGGGCGTGGACACGTTTGGAAACATTGGTGACACAAGAATTCCTGCACAACACACGAAAACGGGAACCTTTATCAATTCGTACGGAACAGGAATTAAGCAGGAGAATGGCTCCAATTCGGCCAATCCGTTTTTCGATACACAATATACAGGAATCCCATCCACGGGAATTACGCCTTCATACACGGGATACGGTTTTGGGAACCAGCAGACAAAGAAATCTGGCTCCAACGCCAACGGAGCTAGTCTTATTGACCTCTAAAGTTTTTTAGACTCATACATTTTCAACAAGTCCTGCAACCGTCTTTTCTCCACACGTTCTGCTTCGAGCTCCTGCTCGAACCTCTCGTTCATGCCTGCGACCAACTTCTTGAACTCGAGTCTCAAAATCGATGCGCTGACGTTGTTCTTGGTAGGGGAAGAAGTGGCCACAAAAGATTGGTCCTCTTGGTATGACGTGAGAGGCGTTGACGGGGAAGATGACTGATTTGCTCCCTGACCGAACGAGAGCGGTCTCTCCACCGTCGTATCGCCTAGACGGTCGACCTTCAGAATGTTCAACTGCTTGGCCTGGTCAATGGTTTCCCGTTGTTTGTTGGCCAATTGCATTTGTAACTCACTGTTTTGTAGCTCCAATTTCAATAATTGAGACGTTTGTTTAGAAAGTTCGCTGTTTGATTTGTCGAGCAGCTCTTGTGATTGGCTGAGCTTCTGCCGCAGCTCGCTAAGCACAGTGTTGTGGAGCTCGCGCTCGTCCTCAAACTTGCGTGTAAGGTAATTGTGTGCAAATTGAAGATCACTGAGGGCCGTTCTTAATTCCTCCACGTCGGAGGACTCTTGCTTGTTGTCCACATCCTTCGTGAATTGGTGTGTCTCGGAGATTGGCGTGGTTTTTGAGCCGTTCACAAGGGCAGCAATGCAATTTGAACACCACTCGATTCGGCCTGTCAGGCTGCGCATCTTTTCGATGTTGGGCTCGGGAAGTTCCACGTTGTTCTGCACAGACATTGACACCACCTTAGACACAAGCCCTTCCAGCGATCGCTCCACATCGCTCGCCATGAAAGCAGCATTCTGGTCAAGGAACATGTCCTGCACGTATCCCAACTGCGAAACTAAAATCTCATGGCTACTCAGCTTTGCCTGCAAAAACTCCAAATCCTTGTCAACCGCAACGAAACGTTCAAACAACTGTGACTGCAGGCCCTCCGACAACTTTTCAAGTAGTTGTGTTTTTGATGCTTTTAACTCCTCGATCTGGTTTTTAACGCGTTTCGCTTCTTCCAGCGTTAGGACCTCCTTTCCCTCGGAATGCTCGTATAATTCTGCCAGTGTACGCTCAATCAGAATGTTCAGCTCAACAGGACTGATATTTTCGCGCTGAAGCTTGAATGATCGCGCACTCGGATCATCGATTATCTGTTTAAGATGCTGATTCAGAACGTTATTTGGTTGTCTTCGATTTGGTTCTTTATGATCTCGAAGCTGAATCGCCAACCTCCACGGATCCTCTAGATCAAATGCAGGGTTTTTTTGACATGTTTGACGCGTTTCTAACAGCTTTAAAGCAAGCGAACTCATTATTTATTTATTTTTTTTACCTTCGCATCTGATTCAATTATTTTTCAGTATCGTGAAGAGTAGATTTCGGAAATACTGCGATTAATTTAGCACTTGTCGTAAGCCCGCACGTGGCGTCAAATATTACACAGTTGTAAACAAAGTCAGGATTCGTACCTGCAACACACTTCTTCAATACGTTGCAACAGCTCGTCCTTACGAGATTGGGAAATGTGAGAACCTTTGACTCCATTCTGGGCAATCAACTTCCATGTTGGGATGTCCAGACCAAACTTGGATTGAACTGCAAGGTAATTATCAAGAATATAGCCACCGAAGTAGGCGGGATCGTCAGAGTTGATAGAAAATGGAACGCCAGCTTCAATCCATTCCTTGATCGGTAGCTCTGCGATGTCTTGCACAACACGGAGCTTCAGATTCGACAGTGGACATAAAGACAGCATGGTCTGGCTATCCGCAAGCCTTTTAATCAGCTGTGGGTCCTTTATGGAGTTTACACCGTGATCAATACGCGTGACTTTCAATAAATCCAAAGAGTTGTGGATATAATCAGGACCTCCTTCCTCCCCTGCGTGAGCCGTCAAAAGTACTTCGGGATGGTGTTTGGCCATATGCCCATAACATTCTTTAAAGAGTTCTGGCGGAAAAGGCTTTTCCGAGGAGTCCAAGCCAAGTCCGTGGATAAGGCCCTGCTCGTAGTAGGGCTTGGCCAAAGCAATGGTGTCCAGCCCGTCTTGAGCTGGCAAATGTCTCAGAAGACACATGATCAGTTTAGTCGTGATCCCCAATTCTGCCTCAGCTTTGTCGCATGCCTTTCTAAATCCCTTCACAACAGTCTCCATACTGATACCTCTCTCGAGGTGGCCCTGGGGATCGAAAAAAGTCTCAGCATGATGTAGGCCATCTGCATGTGCTTTTCTGAAGTAGGCCCATGCAAGTTCGAAGAAATCATCCTCAGTGATCAAAACACTCATTCCCACATAGTACAAATCCAAAAAGTCCTGCAGATCTTTGAAGTTGTCATATTTGTACTGCAAATCATCCACAGTCTTAGGAAAATGATCAGGGAGTTGAATGTGATTTCTAGCAGCCAAGGGGAAAAGGAGATCAGGCCCTAATGTGCCTTCCAAGTGGACATGATGCTCACACTTTGGAAGCTCATGGAGAAATTGGCGCATCTCTGGGGTCACTGTGTGGATCATACTAGCAAAGTCTTGGTGCTCAGATAAATTTTTAAGTGAACAATAGAACCGTTCTGCGTTTCTTTTTTGGCCCGCGGTGCCAAATATGCCAAATACGGCTAACTGTCTAAAATAGAAAAGCCAGATCTTGGATTCGATAGCTTCAGATCAAAGATTTTCTTTGTCTTAGATCTCGTGTATGCCGGGTGCTGAATCAAAACTCAGTTCTGCCTTCGTTGTAATATTTTACAGCCAAGAGAGCCCCCCCAATTTGATTAGTGAAATAGAATAATGAGCCAAGTAGCGGAATACTCTCTAGTAGGCTAGCCACCAATCCAAAACTCCAGTAATCTCCCTCCCTTTCTTTAATCAGGTACCTTACCTGACGATCTCTGAGTCTAGTCAATCTGTAATAGCGTTTCTCGAAGCCATTACCTTTTGCAACAGCACTGTTGAAGCTCAAAGCCATTGGGCCAATAATGGGGACAAAACTGAGAACAACTGGTCTCAAGTTGGAATAAAAACTCCCTGGCAGAGTCACTGGAGCCCATAATGAATTTTCCCAAAGCTTGTCGCCAAAAGTGGGACCAACGACTCTCTTTAGTTTGCCCGGTATGACAACTTTTTCCAGCCCTTCACGGCATAATACATTATCAAAAAGGGAGTCCATAGGCCGAGGAATCAGATAGTTGTCCAAGATATAGCTAGTGATAAAATTGGCCTCCTGCGCAGTAACGCCCACTCCCACGAGTAATCCAAACGGTCCGCAACAGCACATCGCCACAGAGACGTTGAGCAAAAACATTGTGCTAAACACCGATAAAAAAACTGACACATGAACAATTAAGATGGGAGGTACCAATCTCAGGTAAATGGGCCACAAAGAAGGGTTCTCAAAAAAGTAAATCACGCCCCTAACAGGATACTGGGCTGCTCCAGACTGCAAGACTCCACGTGCAATCGTAATTGGACGAGTCAACTCCATAAGGATCCGCGCGTTGACGGCATCGGTCAATGAGGACATAAAGGGTATTGTAAGGCGCTAAGGATATTGCCCCTTTTTTTTTACAGTGTCGCGGAGCTATAATTTAAAGATTTGTGATAATTTCTTGATTACATAAGCAGATGTGAATTAGTCTAGTCGAAAAGACCAAAGCCCATGTCGTCATCCTCCTCTTCCTCTTCTTCAGCAGCGGCCTCCTCAGCAGCAGCCTCAGAAGCACCGGCAGCAGCACCAGAAGCAGCAGCAGCAGCAGGAGCACCAGTTGGGACACTGGACATCTTTTCGGTACCTTCAGCGATGAGCTCTTCCACGGATTTACCTTCAACTTCGGCAATCAGCTTGTCCAGCTTTTCGGATTCCACTTCGACACCAACAGACTCGAGCACCTTGGTGACGTCGGCGGCAGATGGGGCGGTGTTTCCAGCTTGAACAAGCAAAAGGTAAGCAGCGATGTATTTCACTTAATGTTAGTATTGGCGGGTTGGAGCTAACTGGATAGAGTGTGGGAGGCTAGGGGATTAAAATGTCCCCGTTGTGGGGCCCGACAAAGTCTCCTTCACCTATTCGTCCATTCAAGGTACTCACTTTTTGTGCTATGTTGTGGATGTCGAAATTCTTCAATATTTCTGGTTGACACCTTGCACCGCACTGGAAAATTTTCAGGACCAGCACACGACGTACGCAGTCACAAATTTTTTTTCCGCACCTGTATGATTTTTGGTGTGAGGTGTGCAATAGTGAGCCCTGGCCGCAGAGTGCAAAGATTTTTCATACACTTTTACAACTCTAATCTTTCAACACAACACCATGTCTCAAGTCGAACAAAGAAAGAAGAGAACCTTCAAGACTTTCTCTTTCAAGGGAGTTGACCTTGCTGACCTCCTTGAGCTGTCCACCGAGGACTTCGCCAAATTGTGCCATGCCAGAGTTAGAAGAAGATTTTCCAGAGGTCTCGGTTCCAAGCCAATGGGTTTGATCAAGAAGTTGAGAGCTGCTAAGCTTGCTGCTGGTCCAAACGAGAAGCCAGCTGTTGTCAAGACTCACCTCAGAAATATGATCGTCATGCCAGAAATGATCGGCTCTCTTATTGGAATCTACAACGGTAAGGTGTTCAACACCATCGAAGTCAAGCCAGAGATGGTTGGCCACTACCTTGGAGAGTTCTCCATCACCTACAACCCTGTCCAGCACGGAAAAGCATCCTCTGGTTCTAAGTTGAAACTTTATTAGAACAGCTAATGAAATACAATAAGTACCTATTTTATCATACCAGGTTCATCTCTTTGAGATCCTGCTGGACCTCCTCACCCGTACAGCTTTTCAGGTCGTTCAGCGAGCTTGGGAATCCTCCAGTGTATTTTTCTATGCCTTTCAAGCTACTAAGCTCGTGGTACAGTGCGTTTCTTTGAACCACCAGCCTGTTGATTGCGCTCTGCGAGTTCACGTTTGCAGCAGTAATGTCTCCGTTGTATTGGTAGTAGTCGGGTAGGTTCAAAGTGACGTTGTCCAAGGCCCGTCGTTCCTTGTTGATCTCGTACCAGTTCGACGTTATGTTTGTAATCTCTTCGCTTTTCAGGTCCTGGCAGCACTTTATAAACTGTTGGTGTATTGCCACTCGTGTAGCTCGCGTCTGGTTGTCCAGGCATTTAAGCTTGTATTTTTGCAGATTCACATATCGTGCAACTTTGGCCTGGAAGTTATTTTCAATCATATTGGAGTAATTTAGAAAGTCCGGGTGTTTGTTGGAATTGCAAAGCTCCAGCTCAAATAACAGCTTGTTCATTTGTGTCTCATAAAGTTTGTCTTTCAGCAGCGCAAATTCAATCTCGATATTCTTTATCTCCTCTAAGGCAGTCAACCGGAGGTGTTCCCTGGCTTTCTCCTCCTCCCCTTCCTTTTCGCTGTTGCGCTCCTCCTTGTCCTCACCTGTGTCTTGGTCTTCCTCCATTCCTGACTCCTCCTCGGCCTGTTCTCCCTCATCTTCCTCCTCGCCACTGAGTTTCTCGTCTTCTTCCTGCTTGTTTGTTTCAGCAAGTCTCGCGAGCCTACTCTCTTCGACGCTTTCCATCCTGTCTGTCTCCGCCTCTGACGAATTGATCTCGCTCACCTCGCTGGATGGATTCTTTCTGTCGTTTGCTACCGTTGATGCCGTGTCCTCGGCTGCTATAGTTTCCCCCATGGAAAACACACCTTTAAAGATTAAGAAAATATAAGGTAGTGCATCACTAAAAGGCTATCAAAAAATTTATTTTTTTTGAACTATACATATGTCTGATTCGCTGGCCACGCTGTTTGCACAGCCTTCCAGGATCGACAACAAGGAGCTGGTTGCTCGCAAACGGACTCTGATCGAGATTCCAAAGACTGAGGAGGAAGAAAGGGCGTTGGAGTCAGGACAACAGTCGAATAAAAGATTGAAAAGGGCCGCAGAATTTGCTAAGTCTCGCAAAGAAGAATCTTCAACCATCACTTCGGCTCCTAAATATGATCCTGTTGTTGAGAAGGAGAAGAATAAGCGCACAATTTTCATTGGAAATCTTCCGACAGCCATCATGGCCTCCAAAAAATCTACCAAGGAGCTGAAGGCTCTGTTCAAGCCTTTTGGCAAGATCGAGTCGATGAGATTTAGATCATTTGCAGTTCAATCCAACATTCCAAGAAAGGCTGCCTACATTTTGCATAACGTGAAAGACGACGATACCACCAACTGCTATATGGTATTTGAAAAAGAGGAAGATTCGCTCAAGGCTGTGGAGCTGAACGGAACCGTGTTCATGGATCACCACCTAAGAGTTGACCATGTTGCTCAGCCCTTGAAGCATGACAACAAGCTTTCTGTTTTTGTGGGAAACCTTGATTTTGAGGAGACGGAGGAATCTCTGTGGAGATTTTTCAACGAGACTTGTTCACCAGACAAATCGAACGTCATCGCGAATGTGCGGTTGGTTAGGGATGCCAAGACTAACTATGGTAAAGGATTTGCAATTGTACAGTTCACAGATACAAACTACGTCTCTAAAGCATTGCTACAGAACAAAAAAGAGCTCACGACATCAAAGAAACCTAGAGGGCTCCGCATCACGCGCTGCAGGAACCAGACGGTGGCTCCGGTGAAGGATAGAAAGTTGGGATTGGCTGTGAAAGCTGGAAAAGTGGTCTTGGAAGGTGAGAGAGCCAAAAAGGGTATTCGTGTGAAGGGTATCAAGAATGGTGGTCATGCTGGCGGTAAAAAGAAGCCAAGAAACCCTGAAGGAAGAGCTGCAAGAAGGAGTAAGGAGTTTAGGCAAAAGCTAGGCGTTAAGTGACATGATGTAAAATAGAACGACTAAAATTCTATTAGATTTAAAAATTGCCTTAAATAAATAATCGTGCGTATTTTTGGTAGCTGACAGTGTTGTCCTCCAATTTAGTGATCGGTTGTGTCCACGTGAGGTTAGAGATAATGTCATTTGACAGCTCTGGACATGGACGGATCATTTCTGGATAAAGATGTTCAGCGTTACGATGCTTTAAGGCAATTTGGATCATGTTACGGAAAGCTTCGTGCTGCTGACTATTGTGATATAGGAATTTGAGGACAGTGTAGTAATTTTCGTGAGAACCCAGCGATCGTAGGTGCAGCTTCAAAAGCTTGTTGTACACGAGTTTTCTCTTCGATAAAGAAATAGGACATTTGGAGTGAAAATACTCGAGCATAGAGACCGACTTATACATCTCGCCTTTATGTGCCGGCTGAACAATAAGCTGTTGGAGATGGGAGAACTTGAGCGGACGTCTCATTTGAAAGACGTCAACACTTTTGATCAGACAGTCCAAGTTGTAATAGAAAGAGTAGATCCGGATATAATTGACTGGATGAATGCTACCCCAAAGCTGGCAAAATGAGTCCGGGTATTGCCTCAGAAACTCAATCGCCTGCTGGGATGTACGCAGCTCATTCTCTTGAATCTTCAATACTTGCCAGATGCTTCTCTGAAGAGGAATCTTGGCTTGCAGCATGCTGTGCAAATACTCTTTAGCTGACTCTTTGGGGAGCAGCATCAATAGACTTGTCCACGTTGCCAACGTCGGGTCCAGATCGTATTCAATGATCTTGTCCACGCATGTATCAACAATTCGCTCCTTTGACTGTTTGTCCAAATAGATAGCCGAGTTAAGCACAAGATTCACCCATTTCATGCGAGGTTCAATTCCTACCGAGGGAGCCATGTTGAAAATGAGGTTGAGCATTGTAGCACAATGATTGTAGCTGTGAAGGAATGAGAGCAGCTTGTCAACTGTGTGATTAGTTAAGAGTGGCAAATTCTCGTCTTTCAAGACTTCATGGTACAGAATATTCAATACCGTGGGGGACTCTTTGGGAGACGGCCTAGCACAGGTCAGATATGTAACGTAATTTTCCAATGCTGTCGCATCTGTGAATTTTGTAGGAGGCTTAATTCTGCGGGCTTGCTGAGGAATCAAGGAACTGTCAGGCCTTGTAAGGATCTGTAATTTGTGGTCCCAAAATGCATCTGTCAGGGGACTCTTTGAATTGAACTTGAGTCGGGCAAAATCGACATAGCGCGAAATGTACTTTGGCAGAGGAAAACACACAGGGACGAACTCGTTTCTGGCAGCATTTCTAGAGACACCAATGGATGAAAATCTCACAAATACTATTGATTGGGTCCGCAGCATGAGTTAGAAATGGTGGGGTAGATTTTAAAAATTCAGATTACCTAAAAAAAACCTTATCATCATATCAATATGGGTTCCCAGGCATCCAAAATTGTTGAACCAAAATTTACACCAGTGAGAAGCGCCAATGACGATGACGAGCTTCTGTTGAAGTTACAGGCAAGACTAGGGCAGCAGGATGAGTCCAAAGATGCCCCATTGAGCCTGAGTAACCTCTCCAAGTGGGAGGCAAATTTGCTGGCAGACCCAAAGAATAGACTAGCTCTGAACTGCTTTACCAGCCACGACATCACAGAGATAGTTGCACAGACGGCAGCCATCAATCTGGATAATGTCGATTTGTTCAATGTGAATGTCAAGTTCGAAGGCGCACCCATCACCAACCAGAAGTCATCTGGCAGATGCTGGCTTTTTGCGTCCACTAACGTATTCAAGGAGTTTATCAAGGCCAAGCACCAACTAGAAAGTTTTGAGTTTTCACAGAACTATTTGTTTTTCTATGACAAGCTGGAGAAGTCGAACTGGTTTTTGAACAGGATTATTGAGTCGGCCGATGAAGAAATTGACTCCAGATTGGTCCAGTACCTCATGCAGACGCCAGAGAACGACGGTGGCCAGTGGGACATGGTTGTCAACCTCGTGAAGACGTACGGTCTTGTTCCAAAATCTGTCTATCCGGACTCGGCTTCGTCTATTAGCTCCAGTGGTCTAAACTACCTGGTTAACAACAAGTTACGGGAATTTGCGCTCGTTTTGCGTAAGTTGAGCACCAGCGAGAAAGACGAGGACATCGAAGGCGTCAAGACTTCGATGCTGAACGAGATCTTCAACATTTTGGCCTTAACTCTGGGACTGCCTCCGAAGCCTGATGATGAGATCACTTGGGAGTACAAGGACAAATTCGGCAGCTTCCATTCCGTCAAAACCACCCCATTGGGAATGTACAGTGACCTTCTAGGCTTTGATGCTGCCAAGTACTTTTCGCTGATCCATGACCCTAGAAACACCGAGGGACTGTATACCGTCGACAAGCTGGGCAACATTGAAGGTGGAAAGCCTATCGAGTACGTCAACACGTCTATCGACAACCTCAAGCAGGCTGCCATTGCTATGTTGCACGCAAACCATCCTGTGTTTTTCGGGTGCGATGTTGGGAAGTTTGGCAAAACAGACTTGGGCCTCCTGGACGTAGACTCTTGGGACTACCAACTGGGCTTTGGCACCGACATGCACCTAAACAAGAAGCAGCGTCTGATGACAGGTTCATCGCAAATGACGCATGCCATGGTACTAGTCGGTGTCCATCTTGTTGACGGAAAACCTGTTCGCTGGAAGGTGGAGAACTCCTGGGGTGAGTACGGAGCTCACAAGGGCTATTACGTTATGAGCGACAAATGGTTTGACGAGTATGTTTTCCAGATCGTTACGAGCGAGATATTCGCTCCTGCCAAGTTGTCAGATATCTGGAAGAGCAAGGATTACAAAGTTTTGCCATACTATGATCCTATGGGGGCCCTTGCTTAAATTTTTTTGGAATTTTTTTTTTATTACATATAACATGAATGTCTTTACTTTCACGGTTTGGTAGGTCGATGCCAGGTGTTCTGCCTGATAGAGTCCTTGTGGCGGTTTCGGGAGGTGTTGATTCGATGGTGTTGCTGGACCTGACTCGCAAATGGGCTGAGAAAACAAGTAGTCCGTGCCGCATTCATGCCATGACCGTGGATCACGGATTACGATCCGAGAGCGCACAGGAGGCCCAAAAAGTCCATGAAATTGTGAAAAGATTGGGTTTAGATCACGAAGTTGTTCGCGTTCCTGAAAAGATTGATCCCAGCCAGCTGGAAAAAAGTGCAAGGATATGGAGATACAAATTGATGTATGATAAAATGGAACTGCTCCAGATAGATAATTTGATGGTAGCACACCATTTCAACGACCAGTTAGAGACGTTTTTGATTCGTCTGGCCGCTAGTTCGACGCTTTTTGGTCTCTGTGGGATGCGCAACGAGTCCTTTTATCCCGTTCTCGATCCATTTGGCAGCAAGCGTATATTACGGCCCCTGCTGGATATCCGCAAAAATGAACTCTACGAATATGCACGGGAGCACAATCTCGAGTGGTTTGAGGATTCTACCAATTACCAGCCCATCACACTGCGAAATAGAGTCCGTACATACTTGCAAAGCGGACAGATAGAGCAGAATTCTGTCGAGCAGTTGATGTTGGGCGTACGTGGTGCCGTGGACGACGTTGAGAACGACTTGCGACAACTAGATAATGAGGTTTCGGTGAGGTTCAATTCACGCTTTCTAAAGATGTCGATTGTCATACCATCAGCGGTTTTCGAACGCTATCCGCTTTTATCTCTTGACAAGTTTCTATTCGAAAAGCTCTACTGTGTGTCAGCCATTTCAAATTATCACCATCGGTATACGACCTTAGATTCGAAAAATGCTACGCTCAACACGAACGACTGGTCGCTCTCGGAGTCGATCCTGGATGGGACAGTGCCAGAAAAATTCAACCTCCTTAAGTGTCTAGTGAGAGTGGTGCGCTCTGAAAATAATATCCATCTTCTGATTACCAGGGCGACCGAAAAATTCAAGCAGCCGATAGAACGTGTCGTCAATGTCACCAGGTCTTGGTCCGAATGGGAATTGTTCGACAACAGGATATGGTTTCGAGCGAGAGGCAAGCCAGGCTCCTATACACTCAAGCTGGAGGCGAATGGATTGCCGGCTTTTTATCATGAAGGACGGTTTCTATGCTATCCTACAATTAGTGGATGCGGCTGTTTGGAAGTCCAGACTATGACGAAACCAATGCGTATAATTCAGTTGTAATATATTGTACAGTTATTCCTCCAAACTCTCTTCTTCGCTTTCACTCTTCTCGTCCAGCTGGTATGTAACTGGAAGATGAAACTGAGTTTCAATAAAACGAAGCAACGATGCATACCTAAACTGCACCGAATACGGGAACGTCTCCATGTTAGTGAGAAATACCTTGAGACTGGCCTTGAGCCGTGACAGTTTGACAAGCTCCTCGGTATGTGACGCAATCAGCTCGAGCTGGCTCTGCAAACTTTCAATGAAGCGCTCAAAGAAAGCTGTTTGTTCGGCTACCAAATCAACACATTCAAGAGCAAGATTGGTGAGGCTGTACCACTGCTCCAGACAGCAGAAGTTGTTGAGCACCAGCAAACCCACAAAACAGAAATTGTGCTCGTTGGTGAACTTATGGGTCGTGAAAAGAGCATTGAAAAAATCAGATTTGTCTCTGCAGTATTTTGACAAATCCAGCTTCACTTGTTTCAACACAACCTTTGGGTTTGTCTGTGTCAGCCGGAGCTCGCCATTCTGCTTGTTCATGTCGAACTCAATGATTTTCCGCAATTCGAGCAATTCCGCCGTCGAAGAGTCAGACGTTGTAACGAGATCGCTCGTCCAGTCACTCTCGACACCCACAATCTGACTGTACTCGAGGTGAAGCCCAAATTGTGGCCACTTGTTGATTTCAAAGTTAGAATAATTAACCATGTATGGTAGCAGGGCCTCAAATTGAAATATCTGTCCTTTGCCAAATACTAGTTGATTTTCTACACTCACACTTTCAATAGTTAGCTCGCCATCGACCACATCTATGGAAATTACCTCCCGATCTTGGCATTTGACAAACTTGGCCGTCCTCGTGTTACTCAGCTGATTGGTAAGGTGGACAAGATGGACGCCATTGGTGACCTGCTTGATGCCACGAAAGCTAACTTCATGGGAGGAGTCAAAGAAGAAAAAGTCAATTCCAAAGCTCAAACCTTCAGGTAGCTTCTTTGAAAACACAATAGTAGTTCCTACCCATGTCATGAACTAAAAAAATCAAAAAAAAAAGATAAACTCATCGATGTTGAAAATAGGACTCGAAATACATGCACAGCTAAAGTCCAGCAGAAAGCTGTTTTCTCTTTCTAAAAACACAACGTCGCTTCTGGACGTCCATCCAAACACCACGACCTCGTTTTTTGATGTAAGTCTACCGGGAACGCAGCCCAAGCTCAACAAAGAGCCGCTACTTCTTGCACTCAAAACGGCTCTCGCTCTCAACTGTTCGATAAGTGAAGTCTCGACTTTCGATCGAAAACACTACTTTTATGGAGACCAGCCTCTTGGCTACCAGATCACACAGCACTACCAGCCAATCGCTAGGAATGGCTACCTCAATTTGACCAAGTACGACCTCCCGAAGGAAAAAACAATTCGCATAGAACAGATCCAGATCGAGCAGGACACTGGTCGAACCTTGTACAAAGAAAAAGGCCGCAGTTACGTGGATTTCAACAGATCCAATATCCCTTTGATAGAAATGGTGACAAAACCAGATTTTTCCAGTGTCGAGGAGGTACGAGCTTTCATTAAAAAATTCCAGCAGACTTTGGTAAATCTCGGAGTTTGCACTGGAGAATTGGAAACAGGTGCAATTAGAGTAGATGTGAACTTGTCTGTGGACAATAACAGTAGGATTGAAATTAAAAACTTACCCACAACATCAGCTATTGTCGCGGCAATCCGTTACGAATATAAAAGACAGTGTCGACTGATCGAAAAAGGTGAGCCAGTTACAGAGGTCGAGACGCGAGGGTGGGATGGAAAGAAAACACAGAAATTGCGTTCAAAAGAAGACGCAATCGATTACCGCTACATGCCGGACCCTGAACTTCCAGCAATCAGACTGAAAGTCAAAGACATTGTGCCCAAGATTCGCGCCACGCTGCCACCGTCTGTGGACGAACAATTGCAGGAAGTTCTTCAGAAGTACGACATAAAGCTTAGAGATGCCAACATCCTATTGGCTGACAACGAACTGATGGATTACTACAAAGAACTTTACAATAAATGTGTTCAATCAGGAGTGCCTAACCCTATAAACTGGCTCACACATGAGCTTCTCGGAAGTTTGAGCAAATCCAACATGGCGTTCGAAAAGTCAGTGCTCGAGGTAGATAAATTCGTGGAGCTTTTGGTTGCGTTGCAAGATGGGCTGATGACTAAGACGAACGGAAAGCTATTGCTCATGCATCTTATCAACAACCCACAAGATCAGAAAGTGCCAATTCCTCAGCTCTTGGATGAATTCGATCTCACCAAGACAGACGAAACAGAGTTGCTGGATCAAGTGACCGATAAAGTCATGTTTGAAAACCCTAGCGTGGTGGAACAAATCATGGGAGGAAAGCCCAAAAAGCTAAACTACCTTATCGGACTTTGTATGAGAGCCAGCGAGGGGAAATTCGACCCAAAACTGATTGAGGATAAACTGAAAGAGAAGCTGTCAATCTTGCCAAATACTACCAAAACATGAAATCAATATTCGTTAACTGCGATGCAATTAAACCTTGCCTCTTAGTCCCGCTAGAGCATCTCCTCGACGCCTTCCAACTGTCCAAACGTGTTCTCTCCGCTGTATAGAATATACAAGAACCCGTCTTCATCTTTATATTGTTCATAGACCGTACTCATTAGCGACGCTGTTGGGGGGAGTATATCGTTCACAAAGATGAAAATGGCTTTCTCTGATGGCAGCTGAATTCTCTTTCTAATCACGTAAACAAACTGGCCCACGGTTAGATCGGATGGAACCAGATATTTGCGCTTATCAATTTCAGGGATGTCGCTCTCTTCGACCTTCTCACAAATGACTGGAATCCTGTCTAGAAACTTGCCTCTGATCCTAGAAGCCTCTGCCTTTCTACGCTCTAGCGACGTTAGTAATGGTATGCGCCATAATTACTTACCAAAAGGGTGCTCGTCTTTGAATTGGGATCTCATTTTGTATACGGTGATTGACGCCAAATGAAATATACGTAATGTTTCTCGTTTGTTTACACTTCCTGTAGTATTGCAAAGAAAGGAACTTGTTTTCCCCTCGATAAGGGCAAATTAATTTTGACACACGATAAGAGTGGCACGCGCTGCAGATGGCAGTACAAAAACAATTCGGCGCGACGATCGTCCATCTATTTTAATATACAATATTATATCAATCGGAAAGCAGGTATGAGAGAATTGTCAACAGAATCAATAAAGGCAGAGACCAGTAAATGTAGTCGTATGATCGTTCAGCCTTTATGCTCAGCGGCACCATAGTCTCATCATCCACCATCTTTTGCGACGGGTACATGGCAGGCTTGGAATCTTCAGAGGCATCGTTCTGCTCTATTTCAGCCTCTATAATACGATCAGGTTGTGTGTGCTTGTTTTCGTTTCCCAGCAAGACCTGGCGCAGCCGTCTCAGGCGCAATTCTCTTGGTGACAAAGCGTGTTTATCTGCAGTTGACCGACTCTCTAAAGACCCTGATTGCTCAGACTCGTGCTTTGGTATTTCCTGCAGAGTCTCGTAAAACCTTGCGCGATGCGAGAGACGAGACTTCAGCGTTCGGGGGGGTAGGCTGAGCGAGGTCTCCGGTCTTGTAAGAGACGCGTCGTTCTTGGTTACAAGACGCGGTGCTCGTCGGGATTGCCGTCGTACAGTATCGTACTCTAGCGGAAGTGGTTTCCCAAGATCTATTTTCACGCGTTCGGCTTTGGTGGACGGGTTTATCGAGGTTGTTTTCTCATCACTCACCAATGGTTGTCGGATTAGAGACTCGTGGGGCGTATCAAAAGCACGCAGCTTTATTTGATGGTGGTCAGAGCGTTGCCGGGATTGTCTCTCTGTCTTAGAAACCCAGTGCGCAGATTCCATCGGCCATTCTACTTCAATTCCAGCTGGTAAAATAATTCGATTACTTATTAAATAAATTCATCGACGCGCGTCGATAGTCCATCTGTATATATGAGACCCGAGATTTTAATGGGGTCCAGTCATTGAGTCAATTGATTGGTTTGTCCTCTGTCAAGAGCGAAGTGATGCTGATAGAAGTGGGCGTAGTCTTCGGCTTGCTGAACGTGGCCGTGAAGTCTATAGAGATTGCCGCAGGCACTCTATCGGGATTTTTAGGCCCCTCATCATTTTTGACCTTACCCTGAGAATCCGGTGGTAAAAATCTCGGCTTGTCCGATTCGCGGGCTGTCGCTAATTTTTTACGTCTTCTGATTGTGCTTTTTTTGAGTTTCACTGGCCGATGTTTTCCATGCAATTTGTAGTACAGTCCACAGGCGTTGCAAATAGTTTGTCCGTATTCGTTACGACGCCATAAAGGGGTCACTGTGGTGGAGCAGTTGGTGCATGCCACCACAAGGGACTGTTCTTCGTAGTTTTCGGACTTGACAGCAGCGCCTCTCTCATCCTCATGAGAGATAAGTACCCGGTTATTGTATGATGGACACCCATCACATGAGCTGGAGCCACCAGTACCATTACAATGGCCACCCCCCTTGCAGGATCCTTTTTCAATCGACCCCGGGTTCAGTGGTACCAGGTTGGGTGGTTTTTTCAAGTCTACTGGCCTGGGAGCCTTGTTCGCTCGGTAGTATAGACCACAAGCGTTGCATGCCAACGCCCCGTTTGATATGCGTCGCCACAAGGGAGTCTTGGTCGTTCCACAGTTAGCACAGACGTGGTCTGTCATGGTGGGTGGAAAATTTGCTCAAAATTATTAATCAATCAGGGATCTCCGTGTCCAGAATGATCTATGCCATCACTGGTCCGAAGACCGAGCGACGCTGCTATTTTCAACCGAGTGCCTTTCTTTATTATAATAGCCTCACAAATGCCACGATACGGCCGAATATCCTATTTGGGAAAATGTGCTAGGTGGATTCTGTGCTGGCCAATCACATCGCTTGTGTTTGTCAGCAATTATTTTTAGCTAGTATTACGTTATATCTTACGTGTGTATATATCTCTCATGACTGTGGCTGGTCTTTCAACGACGAGCGTCCTGCCTTGAGAAGTTCGTCACACAAGAGCAGGTTCGACGCGATGCCCGTGGCAGACGAGATCGCGTTTCTGATCACGCGGAACGAGTCCCATATTCCTTCGATGGTAGGGTCCATCGGCTCGCCAGTGTTGAGGTCGATTCCGACCGTCTGGCCCTCCTCAATCTCGTCCTGGCAAGCAGAAATTGCCTCTAGCGCGTCCAGGCCAGAGTTTTTGGCCAGTGTCTTGGGTATCACCAGTAACGCGTCAGAGAAAGCTTTGATGCCCGGCTTCAGCTTGCCCTTGTTGGCCTTCGTCTCTAGAATGTGTTTGGAGGCAGACATGTAAAACGCTCCAGCTCCTGGGACCAGCATCTGGTCCTTGATCACGTTGGCCACCGCACGAAGTCCGTCTCTGATGGCGTCCTTGGTCTGCTGCACCACGTGATTATGGGCACCCTTAATAAGGATGGTGCAGGACTTAGGATCAGCGTTCTCTGTGACAAATGTGAATTTCTCCTCGCCAATGGTCTGCTCGTAAACCAGGCCGGAGAACCCTAGAACTGCAGGAGTGAGGTCGTCAACAGAATTCTGCGCTTCTCCCCCACAAACGAGCTGCAATCTCTCCATGTTTCTTCTCTTGGCTCTTCTGAGTGCAAGGATGTTGTTTTTAGCCAGCACGTCCAGCGACATTGGGTCAATTCCCTTTTGGTTGATCACCACAAACCCTTTGGTTGGGTCGTTTCCACAAACCTCTTTCTTGAGCTCCACGATTTTGCGGAGCTTATCGTCCACAAACTTTCTCTCGCTCGCAACAAGTTTCTCTCTCTGTTCTGCCGACGAGTAGTAGAATCCTGAATTCACCTCGGTCTTCTCGTACTCCAGCGACACGTTCAAAATCAGGATGTATGCATTTTCCACCCGTTTTGGCATGTCTGGGTGTCTGGCTCCATGGTCCAGCACAAGACCCTTGATAAACTTTGTGTCCTTGGCCGTCTCGTGCATCATTGCCATGATCTCAATCATGTGCAGGTCGAGACTCTCGTTGTCTTTCACGCTGAGCACCGCATCCGTCACAATTGGCGTCAGCACGTCCGTCAGTTCCTGGTTCACCTTCGTCGCCAACGACGACCGTGCAACTTGCAACAACAGCTCCCTGTCCAAGGTTTCGGGCTTCATCACAAAGGAGTTCAGATACTCAAGGGTCTCCTCTCTGGCGGCTTCAAACCCGTCTGTCAGCACGCGAGGATGGATACCCTCGTTCAGGAATCTCTCTGCCTGTCTCAGTAACTCGCCCACAAGAAGAACCACGGTCGTGGTGCCATCTCCAGTGATCTCATCCTGCGCCGACGCGGCCCGCGCAATCATGACCGCTGTCGGCGACTGTATCTGCATCTCGTTCAGCAGAACCTTGCCGTCCTTGGTAATTTTGATGCTGCCAGCGCCGTCCACCAGCATCTTGAGAGTTCCTTTAGGACCGAGGTTCGTGCTCAAAACATCCTGCAAACCTTGCGCCGCAGTGATGTTCACCTGCAAAGCCTGCTGCCTGCGAATGGATTCGGCTTTAGGGTTCAAAAGCTGAATTGCAGAAGACATGATGTTCGATTTAGGTTTTCGTGTTTGCATTTTTTTTTTCTCGACAGTGTTACTGGCACGCCCCAGCGATGGCAGCCCGATAAGGGAAACATATTATATACCATCATATGTTTGCAATTAAAGGAATATGAGTGAGTCTAAAGTTTCCAACACATTTAGTATCCTCCTCTTCCTCTCCGGTCAAGCAATTGAGAAGCCTATTTCTGCAAATGGAACCGCAAGCTTTTTGTGGTCCAGGATGAAGGGCCGCGGAGAGGGAGACAGCAAGACGGAACAAAAGAGAAGTATCTACAATATCCGAGAATTCGGAGGCGAAGGAGAAGTTTACATGGTTCATGACGACTGCATTGAAGTCTGGGATTGGGTGATTCCGGGCAAAATGCAATCAGACCGCCGTCTATGGATGGTAGCCAAAGTGACTGATCTGGTGCCAAGGGGCTCTGTGCTCAAGGTGTTCCCTATTTGTTCCCGAAGGCATCGGGGCGAGTATTTTGCTTTGGTACTTGTCCGCAATGCGTATAAGGAGCTACAATTTCTGATTGTCGACTTCAGCGCAGGGAACGTGACTGGTCTCACGTACGCCTTTAAGGGTCAAGATGTCAGTTTCGTTGTCAAAGGGTTGCGATCTACAAATCATTTTGCGATAGGTTCCTCGAATGGCACTGTTGCTGTCTATAATGTACGTTCAAGGCAATTGCTTGCCACCTACGGTTGCATAGTGGTCAATAACGAGCCGGTTTTCGATCTGTGCGGAGATTGGCTGATATACAATGCACCCCCACAGTCCAAAACCTTGAACAAGTGGCAAGCCGAGCACGACATTACACCACTTAAACTTTCCAAACATGTTTCGCTGCTCAATAAGCTGTGGAAGGGTCTGTCGAAAACAGCGTTGGACTCCGTGCTGATGTTTTCTGAGATTTCACACTCAAAACTCAGGAGATTGTTCAGTCGAGATGGCCTTGCACAAAACGGGGAACAAGCGTCGGCACTTTCCACTGATGACGATGAGCTACTTAGAAGCCACAACTTCCGCGAAATGCTCGCTGCAATTCTCAACACACTGAATGTGAATTCGAATTACCTTGTGATGGTTGACGTCGCACGCAAGGAAACAATGTTTTGCTTTTCTCCGCCAGATGGCTGTTCTGCAGTCTCCCTTTCGCCCTTCGATTTAAGTGTTGCCACTGTTACAAACAGGGGCGACGATATTTATTTGTGGGATTATTCCAAGTTCGATAAAGACATCACGCTGCTGGATAAGTACAAGCGTGGCAAGACCTCTGCCGTGATATCTGATATTTTGTGGACTGGTAACAACCAATCGCTGGTACTTCTGAGCAAGCCTAACGGCTCAATACATTTGTTTGTTAACGAAAGCCTAACAGACATGCTCCAAAGCCGGCCTTCAAGCCGACCATTGTCTAACGACCAGAAGACTGAGCAGGCGCCTTATGACTGGTGTATTTCCAATGGAAACATCAAGAAGATTTCAATTCCCACGGTGCCAATGCCGTGGGATCATCAGCGATACGATACCGAAATTAGCGCTCTCACAGATGCAGGCAATGTAGTGCGAATAGACCAGGAGACAGGCAGGATGATGTGGAAATACACACCTCTTACAACTGTGTCCACTAACAGCATGACAGGAGTGAAGGAAGTGGCGCCGGTTCCGCTGGATCTGCAGCCTGTTGATCCAATTGCCGAAGCGGAGGTCGAGACGTGCAAGCCATTCCCGTTTGCTTACAATAATAGGCGCATACAGTTTGCCAGATTTAAGGTTGCCAGCGATAGTCTGCGGCTTGATGGTTTTGGAAGTGTGGTGGCTGACTTCGAAGACGTCAAATTTGGACGCTTTAATGGCAGCGTCAAGTTCCACAGTACGAAAAGTGAGGAAGAGTTAGACTTGGCTGTAAGCGACAAATCTGGCTCTGAAGTGGCGCCAAATATCGACCAGGAGGCCCCGCCCGCGGAAGTATCGCTACAGTGATGTAAAATACGAGAGATAATTAACGTATTCAAGTTGCACAGCTCAGCCCTTGTTGGTGAAAAGACAGTGATCAAAGTTCTCGTTTATGCCGGTGGCTCCATTCAGGTTGCCCCACCATCTTGGGAAGTTGTGGGTGGTGTTTGGACCACCAGCACCAAAGATTGTGAACGACAGGATAAATATGGCCACCTGGCAGCCACCGATCAACGCCGCAGCAACAATGTAGTTGTACTTCTGGAAGTAAACAGGCTTGTACTTTCTGAGGTAGAACTGCGAGATGAAGGCTGCGATAAAGAAGGTGGTGATCGAGGAGTTGACACCGACACAAAGCCAGCCGATGTACCAGACCAGAAGAGGTGTCTTAACGTTGTCGAATCCCCAGGTTGGTCTCAGACGGTGGCCAAGATAGAATGGCAGTGGAAGACCAAGACCAACGACCAGGGCCAAAGGCACCATGTAGTAAGTCTTTCCGATGGTGAACATTTCTTTAGCCAGAGCACCCCAAGCAATACCCTGGGTGTTGTATTGCTGGACGTTTTGACCGGACCAGATAACAGAGGTGGCTTCGATGTCTTTAAGGAGGTCAAATTGCGAGTCGACAATCGAGTTCATCATGATGTAGTTGAAGATTGCGCCGATTACCGTTCCGATCATCTGGGCAGCAAACGTGTCCCTAGGAGGCAGCTTGACGTAGTAGCCAAGTTGCAAGTCATTCAGCAGAGCAAAAGCCTGGCCGACGGAGTTGTAGCCAAAGAGCGTGAAGTACATGTTTGCCAGAGGAGATGGCTTTGGCATGGAAAATCCACCAATCATTTGAACCACAGTCTGCATCTGGGTGCCACCAAAACCAAATATGGCAACAAGTCCTCCCAAAAACAGCGTGAGCGGGTATGACAGCACCATAGCGAAAATCAGCATGTACCAAGGCAGACCGCTCTCGGCCTCGTACAGACACACGAGAGCAACTATGAAGGACAGGATAAACGTGACTGCGTACCACCAGGTAGGCACCTCTTTGTATCTGAGCATGGCTCTCATGTGAGCATCGTTGTACACGTCAGGGAGAACGCCGTCAGAGTTGAGTCTAGGGTCCTTGTCGAAGTTCTTCCAGAATTTGAGCGTCTCGAGCGTGAACACGCTCTTGATGTTGCGGAGATAGTTCTTGAGCTCGGTGAACCAATAGAAGGCCGGAGCCAGCTCTTTGCGGTTGAACAGCAGCATGTGTGTGATGGTAGCACCGACAGAAAGGTTGGTAGCAATAAGATAGACGGCGTAGGTTCCGGTCATGTAAGGAATGCCGTTTTCAGCAAGTTTATCCTCGTCCAGAACATTATCGGTGAGAATCGCGGTCTGGTTGTACACGTGGTAGCTTCCTGGAGCAGAGTCCTCATAGAAAAGAGATTGCGATAGGAATGGGAAGTTTTTGGACTTCCACACGTTTCCGTAGTAGACACCGCAGAACACGATGATGCAGAGGAAGTAGCCAATCAGGTTGTTGACCGTGGCCGTAAGCGGGATGGTCAGCGGTGAGGAAGTCGAAGCAATATAGTTCCAGTCGAAGCAGAAGGAAAGCAGTCCCAGACCCTCGTTACCGTTAGTGCCACCAAAAATTCTGGAGACAACGGACGATTTCGGCGCAGCGAGACACGGGATCGAGATTCCGATGAGCCATGGGAAAATCCACTCGGGAATGATCTCGTACAAGAACATAGCCAAGAAACACCAGTAGAAAACTTTGAGCTGTTTCTTGGTCTTCTCCTTGTTGTTGTGGAGCGCGTGGATGGTGGTCACGAGAGGGATCGAGTTCGGATAGAACATTTCTGACGGATACAGCAGGGCCTTTTTGAGGCCGAGTCCAACAAGCGAGTAACCGATCAACTGAGACGAGAAAGTGATGAAAATACCAATACCAGCATTGATGGACGAGTTGTACCAAAGTTTTTGCACAGCAAGGACTTCGATGGCAAGGGCGCACGAGGAGGCAGAGCCAGCCATGATGGTGGCAAACGTAAGCTCCTTCTTGTTCCATGGACCAGGATTAATGTATCTGAGCCAACCCTTGGAAGGAACAAATTTGTACCACAGCTCCCCAAACACGTGAGCGATAAGCATGAGAAAAACACCGCTCACCAAGATTGTCTGAGGCTTGAAGTAGAACATACACTGCAGAACACCGCCAAAAATAGCCAATCCTCCACCAATGAAGACCGAACGCACGGTCCAGACTTGCATCGTCGGGTCGTCGGAAGAGTCGACGATCTTGTTGACAATGTCTCTGTTGGTCTTGAACTCGTTTTTGTCGAGCACCAGCTCGCCAAACTGGATTTCGACTTCCTGCAAGTCCTCAGTTTTGTACGAAATGTCGTTCTCCTTACCATGAGTCTTGTCCATACCGTTAGACTTGATAGATTTTAGTTCAGCTTCATAGTCAATGACACCGCTAGCTCCTTGGATAGGCATGTCGCAAACGGGATTGTCAAGATGGACATGAATAGCGGCTCTATATATATGGCACAGGCTCCACACTTGGTGGCAGAGATGGCATCCGGACTTATCACCAACAAAAGACGAACGGCACCCAAATCATTGGACTGCATGCGTCTAGAATGATTCCCCTGACACAATAGCAAAAACAATACGGGAGCGGCACAGATAAAGGTACCGCGGACAGTCGAAGTAGAAACACTATAAACAAACGGCAATCGCTATTGTGTCAAGTCATGCGATTTTTGGACCCCCCCTTAACACGCTGGCTACAGGGACGTGAGATTTCGCGATAGACAGTGCCATGATAATAATTGGCAGCTCGTTTACGTAAGCAAGCATCATATATCAGTAAAGATCTTATCTATGCAGAGTGTCAAAACTTGATCGACTTGTTCTTTTTTTTGGTGTGATTTTTCTTGTATAGGCTGTTTCTCGAGCTTCTCCACCCAGATGTACTCACCTTCTTGTCGACCTCCATCACTGGGGCATCCGTGCCGTCTTGTTTCTGTTTCTGTAAGTTCTCCTGCAGCTTCTGTGCGAGCCGTTTTCTACGTTCCTCATTGGTCTTTGCGTAGTCGGATCCTTTCTTGGAAACCTTTTCCTTTTTGGCCTTGAGTTTGGTCTTGGATCTTGCGGAATGCGCCATTTGGAGGAGATGAAGGACAGCAGCTAGATGTGTAAAAATTTATTTGGAAAAAAACTTTTGGGGTGCACGGATGTGCTTATGCAGTGCATCCGAGAGCCACATTCAACTACGGAGAAAAAGTCGACGCCGCGCTAAGACGTAAAAAAAAATTTGGGACTAGCAGTTTTATCGTCTCACGTGACCTGAGTAAGGGCAGAGGGACGAGGTTTGCGGAACAAAAATTGAAAATTTTATATAAACTTCTTCAGACATCATTGAGTATCATTAAAATGTGAGTGTCAACATAAGCAAAAACAAAAAACTAACATTATAGGGCTAACCTACGTACTCAAAAGAGACTCGCAGCATCTGTGTTGGGCTGTGGTAAGAGAAAGGTCTGGTTGGATCCTAACGAGACCACCGAGCTCGCTCAGGCCAACTCCAGACAAGCCATTAGAAAATTGTTCAGAAATGGTACCATTGTCAAGAAGCCAGTGACTGTCCACTCTAGATCTCACGCCAGAGCCTTGGCTGAGTCCAGAAGAAACGGTAGACACATGGGTTACGGTAAGAGAAAGGGTACTGCCGAGGCTAGAATGCCATCTCAAGTCCTGTGGATGAGAAGATTGAGAGTCCTGAGACGTCTCTTGGCTAAATACAGAGCTGCTGGAAAGATCGACAGACACCTTTACCACTCTTTGTACAAGGCTGCCAAGGGTAACACTTTCAAACACAAGAGAGCTTTGGTTGAGCACATCATTCAAGCTAAGGCCGAAGCCGCCAGAGAGAAGGTTTTGAAGGAGGAGGCAGAGGCTAGAAGATTGAGAAACAGAGCCGCTAGAGAGAGAAGACAGCAGAGAATTTCTGAGAAGAGAGAAGGTCTTGTCAAGGAGGAGTAAGATCAGGTTAATATGTATGAACCGTAAATTTCCACTACAAATTATTTTTTTCTTGTTTACGTAATCGCCCTGCCGAAAGAAACCCCAATCCTCGTTTTTGGTGGCAGCGCTTAAATCGTGGGATCCCGCTGCCCCCTCAAATAAATATTCTTCTTTTGCCCTCGTTTCTACTTCTAATCTTTAATCTACGGACATTCGATCAACATTGCCATGAAATCTTCATTATTATTGCTTGCGCCAGTCTTTCTGAGCTATTTCTCTGCCGCCGCCAACGCAGAAAAAGCCAAAATCTTCAACTTTGATGTTCTCGAAGAAAAAGCTCTCAATCCTGTCTCTGGGCAGGACACCAAGAACCCGCTAGAGGGTATCGACCTCGACCAGCTCGTTAACGTTGTCTACATTACGCTCGAGCCATCGACCGTGTTTGTCACGGTCACAAGAACTCTCCATCAGGTAGTCACCACTGCCACCACTACGGTGACCGCCGAAACGGAACAAACGCCGCTGTATTCCTTCACAGGCTCTATTTCTGACTCCAAGTCGTCCACAGTGAACACAACGGCTCCTTCGGTGTCAATGCCGATCGCCTCGACGTTGCCCGCATCTGGAAACGACACAGTCATTACTGCAACCAGCTCAGAGCCCCTTAGCTCGTCGCACATCACGCCGTCATCTACTCAACCACTTTCGACAACTACGTACACCGAGGGAAAGCTTGACTTCGTCATCGGAAAGGAAAAGAAGGCATCCACAGACACGGAAACCGCCTCATACTATGACGAGCTGGTGCAATATGTTTCCTCTGTATTTTCTCCGCCAACTTCGGAGCTACCATCTTCAACTGGACCTATCGCTAGCACGTCAATGTCCAGCTTCTCATCAACACTCTCGACCAGTTCAACAAAGACCAAGACGCAGACGTCCACACGGTCTATGTCCATTGGACTTAGCACCTCTGTGCTACACAACGCGACACAGAATTCTACAAAAACCGATCACGACGATTACAGCGACATTGTCGACGGATTTAACCCTTACAAGGACTTGCCCCTGTCAGATATCGACCTGAATTTTAGTAACGACTCTCCGCGACTGAATGCACGTGGTGTTTTAATTGGCATGTCTGCAACAATTTTCATTTTCGGTGTTTTTGCTTTGTGAGAGCTTCACCAAATTTTACAAAAGGAGATTCTTAATTTGTAGTTTAGACAAAACTTGAAAAAATCAGAAAAAGCAGCTTAACAATTCTATAGCACTATGCACCGACACCAATACCGTTGGTGTTTCTATACATGTAAACTCCGTTGTTGCCATCAATAAACTGGCACGATCTCAAACATTTCCACAAGGATTTCCACATGTTCTCGTCCGAGTGTCTATAATGCTGGCCGAGCACCTTCTTGATGGCGTCGGTGGCATCTCTCGCGTGGTAGAATGGAATACGGGAAACGTAGTGGTGGAGAACGTGAGTTTCGATGATGTCATGGAAAATATGCTGTCCTATGAAGCCGAACTCTCTATCGATGGTGGCAGCAGCCCCCTTGGCAAAGTTCCACTCCGAATCGTCGTAATGAGGAAGAGTAGGGTCTGTGTGTTGAAGGAACGTCACAAACACAAGCCAGTGATTCACCCAGAGCCACGGCACAAACCAGTTGACGGCCATGTTAAGCAGACCAAATTGCCTGTACCAGAAGTAGACACCGGTGGCTACCAGTCCTAAGCCGAGGTCGGAAAGCAGAATGTACCAGTAATGTTCTGGATCAAAGACGGGAGAGTTGGGATTGTAGTGACTTTTGCCCAGTTTCGACCATCCTGGGTGTGGCTGTCCGGTGGCATTGGTTGCAAGATAGAGTTGCAAACCACCGAGCTGCTGGCCAATAAGCTTGATGATGGAGTAGATGGGAGTGTCATGGACGATCTCGAAGATGTCGTCGTGTTCGGACTGCTCGATCAGCTCGGCTTTTTTCCACGGGATGAAGACCGTGTCCTTTTGCAGATTGCCCGTGTGCTGGTGGTGTTTGGCATGAGAGAACTTCCACGAAAAGTACGGCACGCCGCAGTACGAGTGCAGCACCCAGCCAACAAAATCGTTGACACGTGGGTAGTTGCTGAACGCGCCGTGGCCACACTCGTGGGCTAAAATCCACAGACCAAATCCAAACAGACCAATACCGAAGGATTGGAGACTGTACAACACAAACCTAAGGGCCTGAGACCGCACGAGCGGAATATACGTGGTACCCACCCAGCCTATCACGGCCATCGCCAGGATGTCTCTCGCAACGAAGTGGAGCGAGTAAGGCAACGATTTTTTGAAGCAGTGTTTTGGGATGGCATCCAGGACCTGCTTGAAAGTGTAATCCGGCACCTTGAAGACGTCTCCGTAGGTGTTGATGGCCGTCTTCTGCTCTGGGACCTGGCTCAGGGAGCCGATGTTTTTGGATCTCGACACGGTGGTCGATTCCAGTGCCAGACCGGTAGTAACAGCAGACATGTTAGAAGAAGAGAAATGTTGGGAGCGAAAAAAAGGGAGAAGAAAACCTGCAGCAGAGCCAATGAGAGGCCGAAAAGGCGAAATGTACATCGGGGCCGGAGGGACGACCTATCCTACGTACTTTGTGAGTGCTACTGCGAGACAGTTTCGGGCAGGTGGCGGTTTACCGCGTTCTTTGGAGGCTCCAAGGACGGCCGCCGCCAGATCTCGTGCACTGAAATTTTTCAGCGAGATAGATCGCCACTGCACGGGTCGACGCGCCAAAGCCTCGATCGACGCGTCTAAGTGTCCCTAGAGGCAATCCTTTCGACATTGACTGGCCAGGTAGTGGTAATGTGCCAGCATCCGAGTAGACGGAGCATACACAATGACACACCACCAAACCGCGTACTCTGGTGAGCTCGTCGTTGGCCGCCGCCAGCAACGACTTCCTGCAGATAAATTGTGGACGCGCAGGCGCGCCTGAAGAGCAGTCTGTGGCCCCGTGTAGCCATGAGCTTCTTCAGCAGCTTCTGTTTTTCGTCCTCCAAGGCTGTCCCCGCAAACCGAGACCCGCTATATGGCTTCTAAATGGCTTCACAATGTGAAAAAAATTTTGTTGTCGCAATTGCCATGGTTGAAGTGAAGAGAACTGTCAGAGTGACGACTACACAACAGATCCTCAAGGATATTCCTCCCGTGCAGGAAGGGTTCCCGATGAGAGAATGGGCCATCCAGATCTCCCTTGTGGACGACAAGGGCGTGGAACAGCCGGCGACCTTGTTCGAGAAGGTGACGTACCATTTGCATCCCACATTTGCGAACCCGGTGCGTTCGTTTAAGAAACCACCGTTCAGGATCGAAGAGCAAGGATGGGGCGGGTTCGACATTCCCATCACACTGACTGTGATGGAGAAGGGCGGCGAGAAGAAAATTAACCACGACCTCAATTTCATGAAGGAGAAGTACGTTATCGACACGCCAATCACGATCAACACCAACAAGCCTGCGCTGCTGAGCGAGCTTGCCAAGACAGGGTATGTTCCGAGCGCGAACGAGGCGTCTGCGACGCCGGGGGCTGCGACTTCAGGCGCGACGCCTGCTTCAGGTCAGGCAGCGGGCGCGGCGGCAGCAGCGAAGAGAAAGGCCGGCACGGTTGCCGACTCGAGAACGACGAAAAAACTGAAGGGCGCAGCCACCAAGGGCGGCGTCGATCTTGAGCAACTGGCAGACTACCTCACGAAGCTGTCCGAGGACGATCTTCTTGGCGTGGTGCAGATGATCAACGATAATAAGACGCCCGAGATGAGCGTCAAGAACGACGTGGAGAACGGCGAGTTCACCATGGACCTGTTCACGCTGCCAGACACGTTGCTCAAGAGTCTTTGGGACTACGTCAAAAAGCGGGCAGAGTAGATGTAGATGTATTTTACGAGTGTATACAATACATGCGCTTATTACTAGACCGACCAGATGCGGCTCGTGTGGTCGCGCGAGGCGGTCGCTATGCCCAGCCCGTCGGGCGAGACTTTTATCGCACTCACGGCGTCGCGGTGACCATCCATCGTGCCCACAACGGTGCCCATCACGGTGTCCCAGACGACGACCGACGAGAATTCGGCGTACGAAGCGAACAACAGCCGTCCGCTTCGGGAAAAGTCTATGGACAGCACGCCGGGGTTGTCCAGCGCCGCGACCATCGACGACTTGCGGCTCAGACGCAGCGACGATGCAGAGTCGCTGATCGAGAGCTCCTCCGTCTTGTGCGGCCGCACATGCTGGTGGACCATCTTGACAGGGTAGCTGGCCAGCTCGCAGTCGGAGCGGATGTCAAATAGCTTAAGCTCGCCGTCGTCGGTGCCGCAGGCAAACGAGAAGCCATCTGGGAAAAACTTGACCGCGGACGAGTCGTGGGTCAGCGAGATCTGAAACTGTCTTCTATTGAGTGGACATCGGATATCCCACAGATTGGAGAGCCGGTCCGAGGAGCACGAAACAAACAGATTGCTGTCTGTCGGACACATGGATAGGCCCAAAACGTCTCCAAGATGGCCGTTGAACGTGACAGACTTGGTGCCTTTCTCCATGTCCCAAAGAAGTATGGACTTGTCGCCGGAGCTTGTGAGGACCTGGGAGTTCCCCACAAAGCTCAGGTCGCTGATGTACTCCTTGTGGCCCTTGAAAATGGAGACAATCGAGTTTCGTTGCTGTATCTCTGCGTTCTGGGAAGAATGCAACTTGTACACTATGCACGCGTTCTCAAGCCCGCCGGTGGCCACCAGGTGACCGTTGGGCGAGATGTCGGTGCAAATCACGTACGGGTCGTCCAGCCGGATCAGGCCCTTCTTGAGCCCCGTGACAGAATCCCAGTAGAGTAGAAACCCGTCCTGCGCAGCGGTCGCCAGATGCCTGTTGTCGGGGTGCCAGCTGAGCGCCAGCACCTTGTTAAAATGGCCTCGCAGCGTTCGGTAGGGACGGAACTGAACGCGATCGATGGTGGTGCAATTGCCACTCATAGTCTGAAGAGTTGCATCTTTCACTTGCTGCTTCACTTTTGCCAGATGGTGCATCAGCTGCTTGGATTCCGATTGCACAGACTGGATCCTCACGCTCAGCAAATTGCTCATCTCCAGCTGTCTCGCATAGGCGTCTCCCAAACCAACATCCATGATAATCTTTCAAGATTCAGCAACTCTCCATCTTGTGCTACCTCACCGCTGCACAGCCCCATGTTTCAGATTTTAAAATTAACAATAGCGGTGTCTGTGTGTCATTGCATTTTACAACCACAAATCCAGCTCCTTCACGCTGTAATCTGTTTTATCAAAGCAAACGCGCGGCTCTTCTGCTTTGAGCTCCTTTCCCACCCGATCCAGCCGTGGATAGTACGGAACCATAGCGTCGCTGTTGTTCAGATACATGCTGTTGTGGACCTGCCAGTACGCGTGCCGCACCTTGCTAGCAGGATGGAACAGTCCGGCAACTACGTAGTTCATCACCATCCCGTATCCAATGGCAACACGGATGGCTTCCACACTTTCCAAAATCCGAATGATAACATGCGGCGAAGTTTCCAGCACATTTGGCCAAATCAGGTTCAAATAGTGGACAAACGCGTCCTCGTACCCCAGCCCCGCACAGCCCAGTGCCATGTGCTTCACCACCGTCGCGGCAATCTGTCTATGCACAAGGTCGCGGTCGGTAAAGGCGTCCTGCAGCAGCGTCAAAACCGCATACACGTAGTCTGCCCCCATGTCGCCGATGTACTCGAACATGAACGACATGGACTTTAGAATCCCGTTCTGCACGTTGCGGTCGAAATAGCGGTACTCGTTCATCATCGCTGGCAGCACCGTATACGGCGAACATGTGTCTGCGACGATGCCAATCGCGACGGCAGTGCACACACGAAGCTGTCTTTCTTGGACCCGTAAATTGTTAAGTAGAGTCACCAGCACGTCTGCCGGCCCAATGGCACGCGCAATGAGCCCGAACGTGGTGTTTGCGCTCTTGCGGATCTGTTTTTTGCGCGCTTTGAGCATCTCCAGCAGCTCGAAACTGATCCGCATCCACTCTCTGTGGTTGATGTACTCCTTGCCCTTGTCGGCAATGTCTCCGATCAGGTTGATGGTAGTCTCCTGCACCTTTTCGTGTCTATTCCGCAGGATCGGAGTCAACGTGGCTAGGATCTGCGATATTGGCGGATTTGTCATCTCAACACCCAAGTTCTGGATAACGCTGCGCATGGCAAGCAAAATTGAGCCCAGAACATCAGGATACACCTCGCCAAGCGCCTCGTACAAAATCGACGACAACCGAACAAGCAGGTCCTCCTCGCCGCAGATCTTCAACACAACGCTGCTGCGGGCAATCAGATCAGCAGCCTGCTGCCGAACCTCTGGCGTTTTGTTTTTCAAGCGATAGAGCAACGCGCTCATGATGTTCATGATGTGCGGCTTGACCCGAACGCCTAGCGACACAAGAATGTTGCCGAATCCGTTCAAAACAACGCGGTCGTCGGTGGTTTGTCTTTGGAAAGTAAAGAGCAAACCATCCAGCAGCCTTTGCACAGTTCTGTCGTCCAGGTCGAAGGAACCTAGCGAGGTGACCACTTTACTAGCAGTCTCAACAGCCATGCGCCGAAACGCTTCTGATTCGTCCTTCAGGGGCACCAGAATGTGCTCAATTACGCCGTTCGGGCCGATCTTGTTGGCAAGCGAAACGGATGCGTCCACACACATCCTCTCAATTCGCGTGTCCAGTGCCGTGCGCCGGTTCCAGAAATTGGAAAAGAATTCGTCAATAATCTTGCCTTCTCTGAACAGGCGTCCGTCCACAAGCTCCATTGAGCAACACTGCTTGACAATCCGCAGAACGGTCCTCTTCATCTCGTCTTCGGGAGACGAAAACTCTCTTGTAAGCACTCTAAACACCTCGCGGGTATAATAATTGCTGTATTCCTCGTCCATGAGTGGAATGATATACCCAATAGCACGTAAGAACGCAGCGAGTCCACGGCCCCTATGTCTGCGCACGCCTTGCCAGAGAGGATCAAGAATTGTTTCGAAAACATCGAATCCATAAGGCGCAGAAGCCTCAGCCAAATTGCTGATGGCCGTGGCTGCCAGCGTCCGGACACTGAGGTTCTCGTCTGTGATCGCTTTAGAAACACAACTCACAAGGCCATTGAGGTATGGCAGTATGCTCGACCCCATCAAAATAGCTATCTGCTGCACAATTTTCACTCCCGTGTGTCTAGCCATCCAGCTTTTTTTCGATCCGCAGACAGCCCGCAGAAAAGGCAGCAGCGATTGGATCCCCAACGAAGACGCAATCACAGCAAACGTGCGTGCAACGGTATTTCGCACGTAGTCGTCTGAGTGATCGATATCCGGACGTAGGACAGATATCATGTGTGCCAGACCAGCTGCCTTGGATAGGTTTGAAATAATCTCTCGCCCTTCTAGCCGGGTGACCATGTCCTCGTCAATCAACAACGGCATGATGGCCACCAGGATTTTGTGAGCATAGGGTCTGATTAGCTCTTCGAGGCGGAAAAGCACTCTTCCAACGACTTTGACCAGTAAGTGGCGTTCCTGGTCTTCGAGAGACTTGCTCATTAGCAGAGGAAGTATAACGTTGAATATGTGGTCCGCTCCGAAATAACGCGCGTTCTCTTGAAGCTGCCTCAATGATACCTTTCGAACTTGAGGCGAGCCGTTTTTGATCATTAAAATGAGTTTCATGCATTGAATCTCTTTCTTCTCGTCATTGCTCAAAGTGTCGAGATTTGTGTCCTTCGTGGTGATCAGTTTGCCGAAGACCTTCATATCGGTCTCTTTGAAAAACTGGATCTCCTTTAAACCAGGGACATCATGGATAAGCTGAGGATTGAAAAATTTGAACTCTTGACGAAGCGTGCTCTCGTCGGGAATCATATATTGGTCGACATTTGTCAAAGAATTGAAAGAAGTCAAATCTGGAGGAATGCTCAGGTCCGGCTTGTAATCTGCAGGGGGCTGTATCTTGTGGAAGCCACTGGGAAAAAGAATATTCAAATTCTCCTCTGTCAGTGGAATACCATCAATAACTGGTATTGGGAGCGGTTTCTCTTCAGGCTCTTCCTCCCATCTAGATTTACGCTTGGGCTCCTCTGCCTCTGCGTCAGAATCCTTGACATCCCATCGGCGCTTCCTTTCGCGACGAGGAGGAGTCTTGTCTCTCTTTCGTAGCTGCTGCGATTCTTGAGTTATTTCGCCCTTTTCTTCCTGCTTTTGCTTATCCTTGAACCGATTAGTCATCGCTTCGCGATAGCTCGAAGACTTCGAACCATCTCCGACATCTTCCAGTTTATGCAAAGTGTCGTACTTACGTTGCTGATACGAGTTTTCGCGAGCAGAAATGGCCTTCTTCTGAATCTGTCTTGTTAGAGGGTCTTCATAGGATTCCGCTTCCTCGGCCAATTCACGCTGGAATTGTTCCGGAATCGAGTAGGTTCCAGTAAGCTTTGCTCGATGTCCATTTTCTGACGACGGATCATCAAGTTGGATCACCTTTTGCGACATGCCTTTTGCAGAACTTTATAGAGTGAATTTTTTTAGCTAATTTTTTAATTCCCCTATCTCTGTCTTGCCACGGCTAGTGGAGTGGCTGAGCTAAAGTGGTTTTAAGAATAGAAAAACAGAATGTGAAAGGAGAAGAATCACAAATTTCTAAAAACTCATACAGAAAAAGTGTCTTATTTTTGAGTATGAGCTGGTGCAAACTGCTTACTTTGGTCGCGATTTCCGCGTCATATGTTCTCGCAGACGACTCAGACCTTTCGCTTAACGGTACCTGGTCATCTAAGGCAAACACTGTGTTTACAGGACCAGGATTCTATGACCCTATTGATGAACTCTTGATTGAACCAGCACTGCCTGGAATCAGTTACTCATTCCACGAGGACGGCTACTTTGAGGAAGCCATCTACCAAGTCACTCCAAACCCCAAAAACCACTCTTGTGCAGTCGCCGCGCTCATTTTTCAGCACGGTACCTATGAAGTTAATTCGACTGGTTCGATCATCCTTACACCATTTGAAGTCGACGGAAGACAACTTTTGAGCGATCCTTGCAATGACAATGGTGTGTCTACATATTCCAGATACTCACAGAAAGAGGTCTTCAAAAGCTATGAAGTGTCCCTGGATACATTCCACGGAAGATACAAGTTGAGACTCTACGAGAGCGACGGCTCACCAATGCAGCCCTTGTACTTGGCCTACAGACCACCTCAAATGCTCCCAACTATCACCATGAACCCTACAGCGGACGCCGGTAGCGCATCAAATACAGAGGCGGCGGCTTCATCATCTACAGGATTATCAAAAAAGGTCAAGAGAGCTTTAGAGAATAGATACAGAACTAACGCTGTGAGGAAGTCCAAATACAACTATGATATGTTGTGGTATGTGTCGATAGCAATGATCCTTGTGGGAGGATTGATGGTCTTGAGAGGATGAATATTAACTAGCAATGTGAACTATCTGTATAAGAATCATAAACCTATTTCTTGATCTCGTAGATTCTTCTGAACTTGTCATCGATCTCCACCAAATAGTAGGACCCCTTTGGAATGTATTCAATGTCTCCAGATGGCTTGAAGCTCTTTTGCAGGTGGATCCTCTCTCTCAAGCTCAAACAAGCCTCGTACTCCTCCGGGGTCTTTTGCATTCTGCTATCAAGCTTCTGTTGAATATTAAGAATCTTGATGATGTGGGAAAGGTCACCAGTAACCTTTAAGGAGAAGAGAGAAGCAGCGAGTCCAGAACCATAAGAGAAAAGACCAATTCTCTTACCCTGAAGTGCATCGTTACCCACGTAGTACAACAAAGAAGCCAGCGATCCGTAAACAGATCCAGTGTACATGTTACCGATGTTGGTTCCCACCTCCAGAGATGGGGCAACTCTCTCCTTGTGAAGAGGCTTGGCGATGTTGACAAAGGTTTTCTCCAGTGCCTTGTCAGTCAAAGAAGCTTCGTAGTCAACGGAAGCGAGCCCGACATCAACATCTGGGAAATCAGACTGGTCCTCTCTGAAATCGTTGTAGAGCATTCTTCCGTAAGACTTGGCAACCAACTTGCAGTTCGGAACGTGGAACACGTTGTAATCAAAGAACTTCACACCAACAAACTTGGACTTGCTCAAACCTTTGGCAGCAGCCTTCTTGGAGTAGTTGGCATAGCACTCATCAACTGCTTTGATGTAACATGTTTGCGAGAAGTGTCCATCAACCACAGGATACTCAGATGTGAAATTTGGCTTGTAGAAGTCGTAAGCATGCTGCATGTAGGAGCCTCTAATTGGCTCAAATGTCAGAGGAGCGTCTGGGCCGATCAGCATGGCAACAGTACCTGCACCTCCGGTTGGTCTAGCTGCACCCTTCTCGTAGATGGCGATGTCTCCACAAACAACTATCGCGTCTCTGCCATCCCAAGCAGAGGACTCGACCCAGTTGATGGCGTTAAAAACAGCATTGGTACCACCATAACATGCGTTAAGGGTGTCCACACCCTCAATGTCAGTGTTATCGCCAAAGAGCTGCATCAACACGGACTTGGCACTCTTGCTCTTGTCAAGAAGCGTCTCAGTTCCCACCTCCAGTCTACCGATGGAATTAGGGTCGATGTTGTAATTCTTCAGCAAGTTGCTGCAGACAGTCAATGCCATGGAGTAAATGTCTTCTCTATCGTTGACAAAGGCCATCTTGGTCTGTCCCAAACCAATAGTATACTTTCCTGACGAGACGTTATCAAAGGACTCGAGGTCAGCCTGGCTGACATACTGGCCAGGAACGTAGAGTTCAATAGCCTTAATTCCAACGTTTTGAGGGCGAGTCATGGTCTTTGTGAGGACGGTCTATTCAATTAAGCAGTGGGTCTCAATATATCAAAAGAGGGAAATATTGATAAATCAGCTATTTTTTTTTCGTAGCTGCCCGACACGCTAAACGAGTATGCGAGCACCACAGTGAAATAAGGAAAAAACTTTACACCGTGTTTGTATCGAAATTATCCATTAGTCATTAAAACCGGTATGTAGCAATGCGAGTATATAAAAAACCGTTCATTTGATGCGAGAGAGCCACAGTTGGTAGTTGCGAGCCGCGGAGTCAGCCTGTGTCTCCTTCGCGGTTTTCTTCTGCTCTTTGGATAGCTGATATCCCCACGAATCAGGCGGCAACCTAGGTGTGTCGTAAAGCCATTTCTCGTCTAAAGCTGCCACCTCTGGTTGCTCCCAGTCCTGTAGATCACAATGGTGGATTTCCACGGTATCCTCGTTGTCGTAGTAATCCAGCGAGGGAGAGTCCTCGAGAAGAGACGGCAGTGATCCCATGTAGGTCGATCGGCGCGTCGATGCAATGCTAGGTTTGTATGAGTTTGTGTGCAGGTCTTCCAGAGCAAAGAAGTCTTCGTCATCATCGTCGTGTGCCTCCGGGGCCATTGTTTTGAAGTTCGTGGTGGAGTATGTCACGAGCTTGCTCGTCTTTGGAGGTTTGTTAGTGGATGAATCGTAACAAGAGTCCTTCATTTGGCACTCCTTAGAGCAGTAGATGCTACCAGAGTAGTCGTCAAGCTGCTTGTTGTCCACGATGCAGAACTGGTCGTGAAGAAACATCATCGCAAAGATAATCTTGATGGGTTTCAGAAGGATATAAGGATATATTTATACTGGGACCTGCTGATGCGGAGACACTAGCCACAAGGAGCCACATGAAAACACAGGTGAAAATTTTGTCTTTGGCATGGGTGTACCTTGGTGGGGCTTTCCCCAATAGATCACGCGCATTTTAACAATACTTTTCGGCCACTAAGGTTATTTGCTATGTACAGATGTGGAAAAATTTCACTAGCCACATGACTCAGTATGACGCGACAGCATGCCACAACCAAGTCCGATATACCAGAAAACTCCACAATACCGCGGTCAGGAAATTTGACTAATTGCGGAAAATGTCAAACTAAGAACTTTCTGATGAGTAATTCAGCAAACATGACACATTGCGTAATCGCTTATCGAGAGCATCTGCAGTGGTTAGTGCGGCGTCAGTGTCTAGATCGGTTTGTAGTTGTCTAAGAGCGCGTTTTGTCACGTCATCGTTCGGCAGCTCTCCCGTCTGCACAAAATGGTGGCCGAGATTTACCACCAGCTGAACCATCTGTGGATTGCTGATCAGATACAGCACTTTTTCTTGTGTGGAGCTTAGCAGCTCGTCGGTCACGTTGGTGAGAAGATCCATTCTCAGGCGTTTTCGGTCTTGGTAAAACAATTCCATGTATTTGGTAGCCACAGGAATGGAAACTCCGATAGAATTTGAGCGCACGTTCTGCACCACGTCCTGGATCTCTTTGAATGACTCAGCGTGCTCTGCAAACGTGTCAAACGTCCATTCCGGAATGACGGGGTAGAACATAAAGAGCCTCTGGTCCCTGGTCAGGAAATCAAACATGTCCAGAGGAGAATGGTACGGAATCATGTGTAGCTGATCTTCGAGCAAGTTCTCGTCATACGATGATACGTCCAGCTCATTGTGGTGGATGCACAAATCTCTTACAAGCAGCGGAACGCCCACCATATCTTTGGCCAGCTGCTGCTCCCCACAGTCCAACAAGGCGTTCGCAAACGTAGCGATCTCGTTGGGGTCCAGAAATAACGGAATTTGAACCAGTCGCATCTCCAGCAGGTTCAACAGTCTGTTAGTGTCTCTGAGGTTCCCGCAATGGTCCGCCATCAGCTGGAACGTCGTTCTGTTAGGCTGCACTCCGGCCTCGTTCATTTCCGCCAGAATCTTGTCAAACAGCGCAGAATTGCGAGCAACGACACATGCAGTCAACAGCATGTTGTAAGCCTCTACGTTCAACTCGAACCCAGACCCCGTAAACACCTGCTTATACTGTCTGTACGTGTCCTCGTCGAAATCCTCGCTAGTAGCCAATGTGCAACTCAGACTGCGCACCAGTTCCTCCTGCGTGATCATCATGCCAGAATCGATGATGTCCTGGAAAACCAAATTCACCAGCTCCGGACTCAAGTAAAGACAATACAGTTTGAAATGCTCAAGAAACGTCTCCAGGTGTTCTGGCTGGATGTGCTTTGCCCGAGGAACAGGGAATTTAGCATACTCCTCCAAAACAGTATTAATGTTGAACTTGTCCTCATCTTCTTTGAGCGAATCCACAAAGCGGCTGTAAAGACCTTCCTCCACCTCCTCGCGGGGGGTCTGCAATCGCAAGTTCAAAATCTGAATATCTGTCTCGCCTTTCAACAACCCCACAACAGCCTGATAGTAAGCAGTCTCCTTGCCTTCCTGCTCAGAAATCATGTGCAAAGTCTCGTCCTCAGCAACAGCATCCTGCAAATACCGGTCCCCAAACTCCGAGAGACTATTGTTGAAGGCGGTGAGAAAGTCTGGAACCAGCTTCTCAATACTCTCCATTGACGTGTACTTGAGCAGTTCAGATTGCAGGTTCTTAACGCGCTCTGGAGCTGGAAGTTTCCCGGGCTGGGTTGGCGGAGAATTGAACACCTTGAACCAGTCAAAGGATTGGAACTGGGGCAATTGATCTTCGTCTGGGTTGGGCTTCTTCAGGATGTCCACGGCATCAAAGTTCAGGTCATCATCATCCTCAAGCTTTCCTTTGGTCGAGTACGGACGCACCGCGCGCACACCAGAAAACAGAGCGGGTCTCCTCAAACACCTGAGCAACATGATCTGCTAGCATTCTCTGCAATTTTTTTCACGCTAAATCAGCATTACGTCAGCGCACATTCCGTCAAGCTCATATGGAGCACTGATGGTTATCAGGACATTTCTGCATAACATCACGCTACAACCGTACCTGGGCACTCGGATCATCATGCATAGATTACCATGCACCTCAGTTTAGTCTGGATTTATGTCGGAATGCCCACGTTACGTATTTATTATTGTGGTAAATCTTGGATTCATTTTGGCAGAGCTCAAAGACTAAACAAAAGTGCAGACCTGGAGCACATCTGCTATGTACATACTGGGGAGAACTTGACCCGGCTGATTTTGTCTACCGTCTTTTATGGATTGTTGATCCTAGCAATGTATGACTTAGAAATCAGGTTCCACGATCTCATGAACTTGGACGCGCAGTCGTTAATGCAGTTCTCTTCAACTGAGGTCAAGCTCGATGATGGCTGTAAGATACACTTATCGAAACAATTTTCAGTCAATGAGTTCACCAGTGAGGTAGCGTATGCGGTGGCCATTTCCGTAGCGATGGAAGACTTGACTTGGTCCTTGACCTGCTGAGTCTGCACAGAGCTCAACGAAGAGCCTGCACCCGAGTTGCTTTTGGAGCCTCCTAACCCTAGAAAGGACGACATTGAATTAAATTTTAAACTTTATGAAATGCGCTAAAAAATAGTTTTTCAACTCGATTTTTCAAATTCGGAGTCGCGCGCATCTTCGTCGTCGTCAGCGGTGGCCAATTCGTCGGCCTCGTCTTCCTCGTCTTCCGGTCCCGATTCGTCTTCGCTACCTCCAAACACATTCAGCGTACCTTTTTCTTTCAGGAAATCGTCCAGGGTTTGCAACTTGTACTTTCTTGCACTCTGTCTTGGCTCGATGTTTATCGTCGTGGCAGAGTTCACAACCGGTGGAGGCTTTGCAGCGTGAGAAATTGACTTGTGCTGGTTATAATCCTTCAGTTGGAATTCCTGTGCACGCAGCTCGTTGTAGTATTCAAGGAGCTCTGAGTTCAGCTCTTGTGGCGTAACTTGGTTGTATTTGTTTATATTGCTGTTGTTTACCGAGGAATCCGTAGATATAGGAGCCGGTTTTGATGTCTGGAAAAGCAAAATAGAAAGCTCCACCTCATTCAGTTTCTCCGCACATTTCTCCAAAACATAGGCTTTCTGTCCGTAGTATTGCTGAAATTCTATAGCAGTGGTAGCAGTGAGGTCTTGGTCGAGATAAACCACGTTGGGAAGAATCGATCCAATCATCCTTGACCTGTCCCTTAGATCGACGTTGGAGTCATACTTGGTAAGCTGCAAGACGAAGTTGAACAATTTCCATATCAAGCTTTCGTAGTTGTACTCTTCTCCTTGCTGCTTGCTAGCATACAGTTCTTTCGAGACTAATTTTGTCAGGGCTGTTAAAATCTCCACTTTGACCAGGTACTCCTGTTTCCTAAAGTCTCGCACAAGGATTCGCATCAAGTCGGGCAGGAAATTGGCTAGAGCTACTGATTTGTCGTCATGATATTGCTGGTTTGAAAACTCTCCCACAAGCCATATGATCGAAGCTCTGGCAACAGGCGTAAGCTCTCTCTCATTCACCAGTTTTCCTGTGAGCTTTATCAGCACGTCGATATTTCCAAACAGGTCATTCTGCACCATAATCCGCAGTCCTGTGACATACTCTGCAACCAGAAGCTCTTCGTTCTCGGAGTCGAGCCTTGAGAGGTATAATTGGCCTATCTTGGCTTTCTGTTCGGCCGTGCCACGGTATTGGTTGAGTAGCCTTACTACTGCTAACTTGAGCTGTGTGGAGCCCGTGTTTAACAGGAAAACTAGTTCTGTGAAAATCTGATCGAAATTTTGTGTGTTGAGCAGCTTAACCAAGATGTACACTTTCAATTCGCTGATCTTGAAGGGCTCATTTGGAAGAGGAACGTAGTACGACAGCTGTGAGTTTGAAAATTTCACCAGTTCATGGTCAAGCAAGTACACGATCTCTTTGAGCACGTAGAGCGTGACCTCGTCGTCACCCAAAAACTTGACAAGCATTTTTGCCAGCGGTATTTCGTCCAACTTGAATGGCAGCACGTTTACGTAGAAGCGCACCAGAGCGAGCACGACGTTAGCAGAGGAAGAGTAAATGAGAGAGCGCAACTTGGAGTCCAAAAGAGTTAATTCCGGTGCCATACTATCATCCGTCGGTTTAGGAAGGTACAGACGGGCGTAATCTGTTGCCAGATCAATCAGGATGACTTTTGAGTAATCTTCAAGCTCTGTCAACTTGGACACCAAAAAGGCAAACCTGGGATGGATTAGGTCCATATAACCTGGAAAGATGGTGTAGAAACAATTCAGCGCAGAACTCAATACTCTTGGATCAGTGTCGCTCAAAAGAATAGCCAGAAAATTGTACATTTGGGCCGGGACTGTTGATTCGTCTTTGAGGGTAGAGGCGGCGTGGTGCTTGTTGAAGCTGACGTCTAGTAGAAAACATTTTGTGATAGCCACAGCAGTGGCAGAACGCACAAGAGGAGACGAATCTGAAATGGTTCGCTTGATCGACAGGACCAAGATCGGCAGGATTGCCGGGATACGGATTCCGCTCAGCGTTCTGATAGCCAGAGCTCTATTGATGCAGTTTTTGTCTGTGAGGGATTTTTGAATGGCATTGATTGAAAGGAGAGCAATGTCCTGCTGCATATGGTTATATCGTAAGAGGATGATATAGACTAGGCGTTTGGTCCTAAGATTGTTGGAGGTGATATTCTTTATGACGTGGGGGAAGTATTGCAATAATTCAGGGTCTGAGTTCTGTTTAGTGGTCATCAATCGCACCAAGTACTTGAGGGACGTTTGTATTTCTTTGTCTGATGAAGAATTGAGCCCCTCGATGACTTGCGAGGAAGTGAGCTCTTGATTTTGTGCGCGGCCATTGGAGAGAAAAGCGTTCAATCCTGAGGGCAGCTTAACGTTTTTGCTTTGGATGGCCTCATTGACGGTTGACGAAAGGTTCTTGGTTGCGTTTTCCAGCAGCACGCCAATGTTTTTACCAAGTTCAGCCATTAGCGGATTTGTAGTACAGTGAAAAAAACAAATGGTTTAGGGTGTATTTCTTCAAATTTATTAACATTCCACATTTCCTCCTTGAAATAATGACTTCCAAGGATCAATCGGCTAGATCAACATCGCCGACCGGGGAGAATGCTCTCAAGCGGACATTGTCAATGAATAGTCTGATCAAAACCGACTCTTTCACAAAACTATTCAAGAAGAGCAACAAGCGTTCGAGATCAGAAGACTCTGATTTGGATGACATTGAAGCCAAGCTCGACATCCAAGCATCGAAGAAACCCAGGACACGCTCTTCAAAAGAGGAGGAAGAGTTTCGTAGAAAAGAAAAAGAGTACGACGAGCTGCTGCCTCCCGAGTATCGCAAGTTCCGGCCAAAGGGATTCAAGCTCAATCTGCCTCCAGAAGATCGGCCGGTCCGAATCTACGCAGATGGAGTGTTTGATCTGTTTCATCTGGGCCACATGAGACAGCTGGAACAGTGTAAAAAAGCGTTCCCCAATGTGACTTTAGTGGTTGGGATCCCCAATGATGAAGAAACACACAAGAGAAAGGGGCTGACAGTTCTCACCGACAAGCAACGGTACGAAACCCTGAGGCATTGCAAGTGGGTTGATGAGGTGGTAGAGGATGCTCCCTGGATTCTGAACATGAAATTCCTCAAGGATCACAAAATTGACTACTGCGCTCACGACGATCTTCCCTATCAGGCACAGGGCATTGATGATATATATAAACCCATGAAAGAAGCTGGCATGTTCCTAGCAACACAGAGAACAGAAGGAATCAGTACAAGTGACATCATTACCAAGATCATCAGGGACTACGACAAATACCTGATGCGCAATTTTGCTCGGGGAGCCACAAGAAAAGAGCTGAATGTGTCCTGGCTTAAAAAGAACGAGCTGGACTTCAAGAAACAGATCAATGACTTCCGCTCCTACTGGAAGAGAACCAACGATAGCCTCAATAGTGCATCTCGCGACCTTTACACAGAAGTGCGCGAGTTTTTGAAAAGAAGAAACGAAACATCACCTGGTCAGTCTCCTGCAGACTCATTTGCCTCCAAATTCAACGGCAACGGCCTGGGACGCACTAATTCGCGTCGCAGTCTGATTGAAAATTTCAAAGATTGGGTGGCAAGGGACAGCCACTCGGAGTTTGAGAGTGACGAAGAGGAAAAGCCGGTCGTCACAAAAAGAGGACGCAAGGTGAAGAAACCCGCCAGTAGTGAAAAAAAAGTGCTAGAAAAAAATAGTGGAAAATAAATTATAATCATGTTCTCTGTCGCTAACATAAAGTACCTAGAGCCGACGACGCTGCGTCAATGGTTCTCCCAAAAATCGACCAACCACGGGTCGCGCTTTGTTGTGGTAGATGTGAGAGATTCGGATTATATTGGCGGCCATATCAAGTCTAGTCTTCATATTCCCAGTTCCAGCGTGGGGTCCCATTGCCAGACAATCCTCGACGAGATTTCGAAGAACAAGGCAGACAGCGTGGTATTCCATTGTGCATTATCGCAACAACGTGGACCTTCCGCTGCAATGAAGTTCATGCGGTTCCTGGCAGACCTTGAGTCTGCCCCAGACCTCAAAATATACGTGCTCAGAGGAGGGTTCGTGAAATGGCAGGAACTTTATGGTAATGATTCAGAAGTGACAGAGGGCTACGAGCCAAGCTTGTGGTCCTGATCGTGTTTTTTCTGCTGCCGACGTCGTTTGGAAGGCTGCTCCTCAGTCTCTGCAGAATTCTTAGCAGCATTTCTTAATTTCGATGTGGCATTTTTTAATCGCTGCCCCATTTCCAGATCACGGCGGCGCCTAATCATCTCAACAGGGAAAAACTCCTCAATACTTGTCTGCGGCTTGTTCATGTTCTGGATAATCGGCAGCAAGATGGTGTCCACTTTCTCCTTACCCCATCCAACATTGTACATCAGGAAAGTGCGCAGCTTGTCGAGGTTGGGGTAGCCCCATTGGAACTCAGACTTGTCGTGGTCAACCTCTGGATGCAGATATGCTTCAATCACACGTTTGTCCGGAAACTCGGGAGTCAGATATAGATCAGTTTTCTTCAACGACTTGCGCAACTTGCGCTTGACCGGTGTTTCTTTGGACTCATCAATAATGCCGTTTTGATAGTCGAGCCACCAATGCTTGAAACTTTCCAGTGTTCCAAACTCAGCAAGAATCTCCATTGCTGCAACTTTTCCAACACCCTTAATACCTTCCGTATAATCGCTTCCTAATAATATAGCTAAGTCGATCAACATTCTTCTATCCAGGCCTAGATCGCGCTCCAGGTCCTCCATTTGGTAACATTCAACAAAGTTCTTCTCGTTGAACATGTTTTTGTACACTCGGTCACCACCAAAAAGGAAACAGTCCGAATCGTCTGTGATAATGCCGTCCACTAATCCCAGACGAAGAAGCTCAGCGCATTGGGCTTCTGCCTCCATCGGTGCCGTTATGTAGGGGAGACCAAACCGGGAGAGCATGTCTTGGATGTCTAAAATCATCCTAACGGTAACCTCGTCTGCATCTCGTTTTTGTTTCTTCATACTCTCTTGAAGTTGCACTTCGTCGTCCATCGACCAGAAACTGGAAGACGATGATGGCTTTTTAGTACCGACTTGATCCACAAATTTTTCGTACGCAGCTTCTTCATTCTCAAGGTTGTGCTCAAGCTCCTCCTCCTCCTCATCCGAAAATACGTAGTCCAAAGGTTCTGGCATTTTGGAGACTTCCTGCTGTATATTCTCAGAATGTTTGGTTTCCCTCTCGACCTGCTGACCTGCCAGAGTAGGCGTAGCTTCTGTCAAAGTGGCCTCTGAGGAATAGTGGTTCGGTCCTGGTTGGTCAATTACAGTAGCCCCCTCCAGCGTGTCATGGACCGGGTTTGTTTTCTCTGGCTTTGTCTCTGGCTCTGGATCTAGCTCGATGACCTCAGACTCAAAAGCTTCGTGGTCTTCAGCGTCCCCATAATCCTCACTTTCATCTTCCTCCAGGTACGGTTCCAGGTCAGCGTAATCGAACAGTCCGGCTTTTTGGTCCTCAGTTTTATCTACCTGGGTCTTTTCGTGACTTCCTGTCTCACCATAGGCATTCTTCGAAACTCGAGTCTGAAACCAGACAGGAGTTTCCTCCGGTTTTTTTTTATCATTCTTTGGCTTTGGCTGTGGCTGTGGCTGTACGCTCTTGGGCTCTTCCGTTTTGCTAGCAGTGAGTATACTGCTTCTGAAATCAAACTTAGGCACAGACACAGGTTTTGACTCAGTGACCTTATCTATATTCGACCCGAGCGATTCCTTGGTCAATATTAGCGGTGGTGGAGCCCCATAATCAAAAGGCGCGTCATTTTGCTGCTCCTGTTCCATCATATTATAGTAATCCTGTTTTGATCGTTCAACAGCCTGTCGCAATTGCTCCTCCTCGCTCATTTCCGCAGCCTTTTGCAAGTTCTTCTTGTTGTTATTCGCGTATTCGTACAGCGATTGGATCATGGCCATAGTAGTGTCCTCGCTATTTTCTGAGCTCTCAACTTCGCCAACAAACATCGGCTCAGATGCAGCAGTCCCCATCGGGGAGGGCATCTTGACAGGCTCTATAACATCTTCCCACTCTTCGTCATCTTCATCTTCGTCCCGCTCCTCATCACTGTTTAGATCAATGGGCTTCTCTGCACTATGGCCATCATCTTTGATCGACAAAGTATACCCGTTTTCGTTCCTCTGAAGCTCGTAAATACGATCTCGATCGCTAGCAATACGCCGCGACTTGGCCTCCTTCTCATCCATTCCGGCCACATTCATCAGTTTTTGAGTGAGAAAGTTGCGCTTCTGAACCATCTGAATTTGAAATTTAGAAAAATCCATGCTGTTCGGGAATAGGGTCTCTAGTTGCTGCTTTGTGTAGCCCATTCTCAAACGCGAACGCAGTCGCAAATGGGAAAGGACTATATACTGAGTAGAAAGCGGAAGACGGGCAAACTCCTCGGATTTTGGGTCGATCGTGTCGAGATCAATGCCTCCAAGCTCGTCTTGTAGATCAGAAGTAAGTCGGTCGTATTCATAATCTGTGATCACCCGCTGGTCATTCTTGTCTACCTTAAAGCTCTCAATGTGCGGGAGATCGTACTCGTCTTGCCTGCGGAATATGCGGTTTTCATTCTCTTTCTTGGGCGTCCGTTTCTCAAGTTCCTGTTCCTGCTTTTTGTCCCTGGTGTCAAAATAATTATTGTCTTCGTAAAACTGAGTAAACTGTCGTTGGTCAATGGGCACTTCTTTGGTCTTGGCCTTGGATTTTGGCTGTTTGGACGCATCAGGGTTCCCCTCGGCCCGATTCTGAAGCTGTTTTGCCAGCAGTCTGCGCGCAACCTGCTCTGCGGTTTCTTTGCTGCCTTCCCTTTTCTCTCGTCTCTTGCTGATGGTTTGTTTCTTCAAAAGCGGCGCCCCGCCATCAAATACAAACACAGGCCTGATTCCAAAGTAGAGAAGCTTGCATATTCGGCGGAAAAACCCAACTATATGGGAGTTGACCAGTTGATTGCCTTGCACATCTCTCACAGCCTTGAGGAACTGGTAGATCCAGATCGAGGCGTCAACAGCAAGCCTCTTTTTTGCCATGGCCTCGAGTCGCACAGGACGCGCCGTAGGGCCGACAATCTCCCAGAGTCCATGAACGCCCATAAATCAGATATATTTGTCTATCGATATTCGTTTTTAATAAACGTCGATCGACGCATTGGGGCCCTTAAATTTTCTTCTCTAAGGATAATTCTCTCATCCCTATTTCTTTGGGCGATAACATCCGATCGCCTATAACGATTATAGTTTTCCCCTCTTCCTGCTTATGGCAGACTTTGAAGTACGTTCAGTCATTTTCTAGGAAAGCGCCAGATCTAACCGCTTAAGTTACAGACTCCTATCGCAAACAAGAGAAAATTAAATCCGGAGTTTATGATGGCTTACACGCCCGAGCATCCTCACTCTATGCCCAACCCTGCCACGCAGTCCAAACCACAGTGCAAGTTTATACCTCAATTTACAAACAATGAACAGAAGAACTGTTACAATTTGTTTAAGGAACTTCAAGACACGCCGAAAACAAACGGAGAACTGGCAGTGTCCGGGTCTCCCGTGCCAATTGGACAACTAACGCCATTCTTGGTAGCAAACCAGCATCCAAGGAAATTGAGCAATAACACTCCAAGAAAGCAGCGACAGCATGATCACTCACCGCTCTCTCCCTCCATACAGCCTATATTCATTCTTCCAAGCGACCATGATAGAGATATGATGTCTTACACAGAGATCCAAAAGTTTCCGTCAGAGTTCAATCCACGACAAGCAGCAAACATGCCTCACAAAGAAAAAGTCGACAAGTGGATAGTCAACGTTCCAGCTTATCCTCACCAGGGTAAGGAGACATGGTATAACGAGTGCTATCCATCGGTGGTGGAACTGTCGACTGCGTCGACGCCGGATGAGTCAGATGTCGATTTTGCAAGCCACCAAGACATTATCGAGTTTCAATCAAGAATGATCACTTTCCTCGTGAACCGCTCGTATTACAACGACCCCACCGAAGATATTAATCGAGGCGAGGAGTTCGAAGAAGCGAACTTGGCTGAGTACTCATACGAGACCAACGAAGCAGACTTTAATTACCACGAAGGTATTTATTAGGCATTCATGACCCAAAGAAGAGCTATTGCCCAGGGCCTTTTCTATACAGAGTTGTGCTGATCGACATACTAAAAATCCAGGGGGAAAAAAAAAAATTATATAAATTCCATCAATGAGTTCTGTCAACTCGGCAACTGTTCTCTTGAACAGGGTGCTGTCACTCAAAGAGTTATCGCCACTGCTGTTAGTGCTGGACTCTGTTATTCAGTCAAGCTACTACTTGCAGCAAGAGCTCATACACAAGGCCAAGAGCGAATCCGTTCCTATCACATACTTATCCTTTGAGACTCTCAACCGACCCGAAGTGGACGAGTTTGTGTTTTGCGACGAACTGTCTCCCGAGGAAATTATTGCAAAAGTTGCCAAGAATACAAAACAGTTAGTGATCATCGATTCGATCAACTATATTCCTGAAAATCAGCTTAATAGTTTCCTGCGTGGGGTAATATCGCCCACTACAGTCCTCTGCGCAACTTACCATACTTCAATTCCTCAGGTTTCTGCGCCTGGCTCTCAGAACATGCCAACCGCTCTTCAAAGGCTGCTGTTCATGGCAACGACAGTTTTCGAGCTAAAGCCTGCAAACTCGTCACTGACAGACGAGGAGCTGGAAGTTGCGTCTCACAAGCTGGAGATTCCGGTTGGGGTGTCAAACAAGCCAGTTTTCGAGACAAAGATGACTTACAGAAGGAAATCGGGCCGCGCTTTGGAGTATGCATTTATTATAGATACACTAACTCACGCATACGAAGTCAAGCAGGAACGTGTTGTCGCCGGAGACGACGCCGAGCTGTTGGAGAATCTCACGACTTTTAACTTGACCACCACACAGAAACAGAAGCTGGCTCGTGAACAGGTAGACCTTCCATTCTTGCAGGCGCAGCAGTCCTTGGGAGCCGTGGGAGGCGCCATTGTTTACGAGTTTGAAAAAGATGACGACTACGATGAGGATGATCCTTATGAAGATCCGTTCTGAGTCTATATGGTTTCGTCTTCATCGCCAGTGCTCGTTTGACGAGTCGTTTTCTTGCGCGGCCACAGGCTAGGCAGTTTGATAAATTGGAAGCGAGGCTCGATGCATCTCTCTATGAACCAGTTTCTCAAGGTGTTTTCGATAATAGAACTTATGCGAGGAATGTTTTCTAGCTTTGTACGGGAGCCGATCAGCGACTTGATATCGAACTCGAGTCGGAAATCTGGGCTGAACGAGAACATGAGTCCGACAGAGTTGTCTGTAGCGTCAGACTCCTCAGCACTGCTGATTAAGGAGACAGTAAGACAGCCAGAAAATCTGACAATAGAGACCGACAACCTGACCGGAAGCGACGCTGCTAGCGGTTTTGGCTGGTTGATCAAAAGTTTTGTTTCGACTCCTAACGTAAGCGTATCTGCCACATCGACATCGATTTTGGCTTCTAGTCGTCCGTCTGTATTCTTGATCCGACAATTGCTGAAGATGGGGAAATCGTTGCCTATACTTATTTCTGTAATCACGATTTTGTCGAGAAAATCCGGTACGATTGAGGACCCAAATACTTCGTTCAGCGAGCGATGGATATTGTTGTTGTTGAGGGCCTCGTTTCTAAACTGCGATATGAGTTGGGCGACCAACACATTGAACCAGTCGAGGGATTCGGGCTGGTGGCTGCGCACGTCGTAGTATGTTTTTTCCAGAATTGTGTCTATCGTAGAGTCCTCATTTTCCTGGGCTGCATTTGGTGCATTCAACACAGGAACATTTACTTTCTTCGAGTTGCCCGGTACGGTGGGTGCGCTTTCACTGAAAATGAAAAACCTGATGAACATAACGAATAGTACGATGACAGAAAGCTGGCCCAAAATAAAACCCTGCGTGAATGTCCATGTCGATTGAGGCGTAGCCACCAGACGGTGCTCGGGTGGCCACGCTACTATTTGCTCGGCAATTTTCTGCGACAGCTCTTTGATAGATTGATCTGAGTAATCAGGGGATTCGATGCTCATTAAATAAATATATAATATTTTTTTCGTGCACTTAATATTTAATTTATTTTAGTAGTCTGAAAAGGAAGTTGACAAACACTGACAGCGCCAGAGCTGAGCAAACCAGCGCAGGGCCAAACTTATCATCGTAGCGCACAGCACGCTTGTTCCTAATATTCACGACGCGGAAAATGTAGACATATGTGGAGTAGACGATTGTTAGGATGGCAGTGAAGTAAAAACAGGTGGAGGTGATGAACGAGACCAGATCGCCGTAATTGAGAAGGGTATGGGCAGTGGCACCAAAAATAAGGGCAATCGAGAGCCACGAAAGATAAGTTCGTTCTGTGGCAAAGTAGACTTTAGGTTCCACACGCACCACAACAGCGATCTTCTTCCCCGGTGGAGCAGTAAACTTTGCATCAAAAACAGTTCCCTCCGGCACCTTGTTGAAGGAATGGTCTGGTTTGGTGAATTCCTTGTACCAGGAGACCAATCTGTGTATTATCGTATTATTTTCAGGTTCCGAGATCTCCTCAATTCGATTATTGTTTTCGTTGAAAGAGACAGATCCGTAGTGAGGAGCAGCAGTGCCCGAACTCAAGCTGGAGCCAGCTAGCTCTTCCTCATCAAGCTCTCCATGGCCCGATTCTGTATGGCGTTGTCTCACAATACCATAGTTCTCGTCTTTCTTTGGCTTCTTAATGTCGACGTCCATCTGAGGCAGCCAGAATGGAATCAGATCAACTCTGTCAGAAAGCAAGGTGGCACAGCCATGAATAAACTTGGAGAATTTGGGAACAGCTTCCACCAGATGTGAAGATACCATTTCTTTCACCCATTGTGGGGGCTCCTGGCCCATTTGGGTTTGGAGTTTGACTTCCAAAACGGCATACGGAAATCTCTCGACATCCTTAGGAGGTAGGTTAGCAAACGGATAGTTTACACCAATATCCATTCTTCTCCAGTTTCCGTGAGTTCGGTCGATGCCGTCAAAGTTGTCTTCTCTGACCATTGTGAGCTCTGTATCGAGAGAAATTCTGACTCTTGCATCTCCCGGAAGCTGGAACGCTGTTCTATTGTAGAAAGACCTCATGACCGGTCTCAGCTTGTCCTTGATGACTCTATACTGCACTTCCTGGGCAAGTCTTTCGAGGCTCTCAATTTCTTGCACGCTTTTCTTACCATCCTTGCGCATCTTCTCAAATGCCTGCTTGACAGTGTACTGTCCCCGCATGAACTCATTCACGTTTTTCTCCTTGAGAGGGAATCTGGCCTTGACACTCTTCTCCCCTGTCCAGTCCTCTCTGTGGGTTTTTCTTTCCACAAAAACAGTTTCCGCACCCATTCCTCCGTACCATCTAATTCTGATGGCCTCTGCTCCCTCAGTCTTGAGCAACCGTCCATAATAGAGGTCCATGTCCTTGTTGTCGTAGTAGATCGACGTTATTGCTGAGTCTTCGGGCTCAAACTCCTTATTCGAGTTGAACACGAGTACAGGAAGGTGTTTCAAAATAATAAGTTTCAGCTCCGTGATGTTATCAGGATGCACCCAGTACTTTGTCGTTTGACGGACAAAGTTCTGCATAGAACCCCCTGCCGCAGAGTCGCCTTTTACAGGGTTTCCTCTTGTTCTGACGAGGTCGTAGAGCCTGGATAGGTTCACAATCAGAGAGTCGTAATTGTCCTTGTAAAATGCCTTGGCGTTCAGCCGGGCCTGGAAAATAGGCTTCAGGATAAACTTGGTCAGCTTGTCATGCTTTTTGAGGATCTTCTGGAAGCCAATATAATTGAGCCTTGTGAACTTGTTGAGGTCGTGCACATCGGCAATGATATCGCTAAGCTCTTCTTCCAGATCCTGGAAGTCTTGCTCGTAGAATTCTGCCTCTTCGTCAGTGGCATTTCTGGAGTTTTCGACCGTGTCATTCACCAGCTTCTCCACCTCTTTCATCCGACGAAGAATCTCTTTGTGCTTTAGGACCACGAAGTTGTACACTTTGTCGAGCTCTCCTTCCATCTTGTTGAGAAAGTCCTCCTCGAGGGAGTCGGACCACTTGTTGTCATTCTTGCTTAGCCCCCTGCTGATGGCATATTTCAGCTCATCGTACTGAATATAGTAGTAGGCATACTCCTTGATCAGCGAGGACTTGAGCGTCTCTCCAAACTTCATGATGCCAAAAAGCGAGCAGCTAACAAAAACTAACTGCTGACCCACACGTGCGTGCACAGCCTCGAGACGATCAATATTTTATATTTATGGCAAGCTTCCAGCATGCGACCTTACACCGTGTAGAGTCTATGATTTGGAGGCTTGACCAAATTCAAGGGACACGCCCACACAGGTGCATGCGGGTTCTTGAGCTATGACTAAGCAGCATGTGTAAGAAAAAGTGCCAGCGGAACAACTGCTGGGACCAATGTCCATGTAGCTTAATTATCTGCTACTCTTTTATTTCTAACCCCTGTTCAGATAAAAATTTTGTTTTTTTAGATTCTCCACGATGGCGGACCAGAGACGGAAATTGATGCGCCTCAAACGGTTCGTCAAAAGCAATCGCAGACTACTGCTACTGATCATGACGCTGTTTACTATCAACCTCCTATATAACTTGCGTGTTTCGAACTCCATTGAGTTTGATCTTGGGGACGAGTACGCTGGCACCTTCAAGGAGAAATATCTCAGAACAATCAAATCTAGGGACCAGCTAGACACGGATGAGTTTTACCAAAAACTCACCGTGATGGGCCAAATCGATGATCTGGTGAACGAGCCTATCGAACGTGTGTCCTTTAATGAGACACTAAATCCGATGGATGTTTTGAAGGAAAAGTACCCCAACGGTAATGACTACGCCAGCCTCGATACCGTTCAGCAGGCTCAAGTGTATCTGAATGAAGTGCTTCCTAAAACAGGCTTTAGCTTCAGACCCATCCAAGAGACCATCTACCGAGACATCTACAATCCCAAAAATTATCTAGAGTCCAGGCTGTTGAAATGGGTGGCTTTGAAGGACATTCTTTCACCCGAGGAAATGGGCGAACTGGGTCTTACAGACGAGCTTTTCAAGTCAAACTTGCTAAACATAAAGGATCTCAAGCTCAAGATCAACGAGAACTCCTCGAGAGAAATCCTCAATACGCTGAACCACTTGAGGATAGTCAACAAGCTGTTTTTTCAAGACCCAGCTCCTTTCGAAACCTCCGAAATGAACGACCTCTGTTGTAAAGCAACAAAGGTGGTGTATCCATGGCTTTCCGGATACCTTCCCACTTTCACAAAGTACAACAAACGTATGGATGAAGTCAATACCGATGTTTTCGGGCAAGATGATTCTACATGCTTGCTGAAAAAAATTCAAACAAAATTATCCGGACGGGGAATTGTCATCACAGCTTCAGACGGCCAGGTGCCAGAGTTGAGCGGATTGCTTGCGCTTCTCAGGGTTTCTGGAAACAAGCTTCCAATCGAAATTTTTCACAACAACGATCTCAGTTTGACGTCCATCAAGAAATTGGTTGAATGTGCGACAGACCCAATCATGAAACTGCCAAAGGGCACCAAATTTGCCAAACAGCCAACCCAAGATCTTACCTTTGTAGATGTTTCCAAAACGGTCATATTCCGGTACAAGCACTTCTTCCAGAGGTGGTACATGAAGCTGCTGGCCTGCTTGTTCAGCTCCTTTGAGGAGATCATTGTATTGGACACAGATACCGTTCCATTACTTGGGATTGAAGAGTACTTTCAATTGCCTGCTTACAGGGACACCCATTCACTGTTTTTCAGAGACAGAGAAGCAAACTCGTTCCTTTACGAGGGAATCATGAAATTCTTCGTTGAGTTTTTGAACACTGACGTCGAGCGTGATTATCTGCAGTTGAAGGTGCCTTCAGATGAGACTTTGCACAATAGATTCTTTGGAGAGAAGGCAAGACACTACATGGAAGCTGGCCTATTTGCACTCAACAAAAAAGAAAAGTTTGATGGTCTTTTAATGGCTGCATCGATGCCATTCTTTAAGCTGCTTTCCAACTCAGTGCATGGAGAAAAGGAATTCATCTGGCTCGGTCAAGAATTCATGGGCAGGACCTATAGATTTAATTCCCATCCAGCTGTCGCGGTGGGCACGTTGACCGACAAAAAGCATCGGATGGTGGCAAATGAGCTGTGCTCAACCCACCCAGGACATATTTCCGACGACTCCAAGAAATTGCTTTGGTTCAATTCAGGATTTTTGACATGTAAACGTCCAGATTCATATTATAAAGACATCAACTACGAGAGGAATGAAGGGAAGGACCTGCTGCAACTGAAGAAAGAGTACATTTCTCCGTTGCATATCACGAGCGCCCTCATTCCTCCTCCAGCAGAATACAACCTTGATTCTGGAGACGGGGAGCCAACTCGTGGTTGGGTGATGACGTCGCAGTGTGAGAACTATCTTTGGTGTGCTTACGATGTAATTGGTGGAGGTAAGAACGAAAAGATCCCCAAAGGGCAAGTTATTTCCTTCAGTGCCCAGGACACTGAAAAATGGGACAACCTGGGAGAAATTTGGGTGACTTACTTCAAACTTGCCAGTAAAGGCACAAAGACTGACTTGGGCTACGTTGAAGACGATGCGTTTGATGAGTTGGGTTTGGATAAGATGCCATTTGGAGACGAGGAGGACACAGGAAACACATACCAGAGGGGAGGATTTGCATCATCCAGTGGCTCTTTTGGAGGAGCTACGAAAGCAGGCAAAAAAGGCGGAGTTGCTCCAGAGAAGGATACGGGCATGAAAATCAAAAAGCCAGCTAAAGGACAGAAGTCCCATGACGCTTCAGATTATGAGGAGTATAATGACCCTGGAAGAGCGGCTGCTGATGCAAGCACAAAGAAGAAAACAGGCGTTTCCAGCAAGACTACATTGAAGGATGACGATGCGGATTATTTTGAAAGTGATGGCTCCGAAATGAGCAAAGGTTATAAAGAGACCGATGATTTCGATTCGGTGGTGATCGATGACGAGTTGTCT